TCTGAAGCAGGGATAATGCTCAATTAGACCGATTCAATAAAATACGAGTCTCGATTTGGGGAAAGAAGTTCATCAGTGTACTGCGCTAATATTTTTTTGCGAAAAATCTAGAAATATTACCCAAATTAAATTATGACTATTCAAAAGAAGACATTTAAATCTATATTATGTAAAAAAGTCAATTTTGTCCGAAGCAGGGATAATGGTCATTTAGATTGATGATCTTCATTCTCCAAACCGAGAATCGTCCTTTTCCTAAAGCTGGACTGATTTTTTGAATTCAGCCATATCACATCATGATAAACCATGACATCTCATTTCTTCTCAGCCCGGAGAAACAGAAAGATGCTATGAGTATCAGAACGCCATATCAGGTCATTTTTCATACCTCGAGGTCTCGAATTCAAATTCAATGGTGCCAACACGTCATTAAGCATTCAAAGCATGTGCTCATTCTCTTAACACAATCAACCAGGCCAAAGATATTGAGCCTATAAAATTGATCTCTATTGATTTCTACATACTCGTGCCTGATTTTACACTCTCCTCTCAGAAATTCATCACTTGTTTCTGTGATTTATCAAGCACACAAACAAATTGTTTGTGAAGGGATGAAATATGGTTCTGTCAAATAGAACATTTAGGCATAAAATTATTCCAAGTATGCACTCTGTCAAACTGCTTTCCAGATTCTAAATTCAGCTTTTATAAAACTGGACTACATTCAACTGAACCACATGGGCTTCCAGTATTTTTTGAAACAAGAGACAATATGATAAATACAGTACATGTATCGTAGGCGTAACCAGGGGGTGCACCCCCCCAAATAACAAATCTTGCCTTGCCTATGCCACGATCACATCGCACACCCCTGACTGAAAACTGAAAAATTTTGCCTATGCCCCTGTGTATATCATACTTGAAAAGCAAAATGACCAATTATCCAACATGCCTCAAAGTCACATCTAACAAGATCTTGATATTAGTCTACTTTTTCACCCAGTGCAAGAGATCAACTTAATAAATGGAGACGACAATATAAGTAACATTTTGCAGATAGAAAAACTCATTACCTCATTGGTTACCTAATAGATCAGAGGCTTGTTCTATTAATCTCCTGTCCATGGTATGGGCCATTACATATGTGAGGGGTGTATAGGGGGGGGGGTATATCAAATATTACAGACAGCTACAGAGATTACCACCTAGATCAGTAGGCTTGTTCTCTTAATCTGAATAATTACCTGGGGCATTCTCAATGTTAACTTCCTGCCCATGGTATAGGGCATTCTCAAATGTTAACTTCCTGCCCATGGTATAGGGCATTCTCAAATGTTAACTTCCTGCCCATGGTATGGGGCATTCTCAAATGTTAACTTCCTGCCCATGGTATGGGGCATTCTCAAATGTTAACTTCCTGCCCATGGTATAGGGCATTCTCAAATGTTAACTTCCTGCCCATGGTATGGGGCATTACATATGAGAGGGGTATATCAAATGCTAGAGAGATTAATGAAACACATGGCCAGTTTATGAAGCAGGCAATTTGCTAATTAATGTTAATAATGTATTGGGTTTCCCATCAATGCTTTAATCATGTAGATTGCCTGCAACTTGCACTCTAAGTATCGGGGTTAATATGTCCTCTTTTACCCTTTTCAAACCTGTTATAAATCATCTAAAGAAGAATCAGAGCAAGTCATCAACATTTCCAAAAAGCGCTTCAATTTTGCAATATCTTGGACTCATTCCTTGACTGTATTTGTAGTTACATGTTCATTTTTCTATAAATGTGGTTGTCTTCCATTTTGATTATTCATATAATTTTGTTCTTGAATCTTAAGTTTTCAACCAGACCATTTGATATAAGAAGTCACATATTTTTGGGAGACAAATTTTTTTTAAATGGAGTATATTGGTAAGTCAATATCTCTGTTTCAGCTTTTAAATTATTTATATTCTGCCAGTTTTATTGAGGCGGGCATTGCTCCGAAGACATAATATAGTCATTTCAAGATATAATGTCATATGGATAATAACATACCTCTGGTTAGTACATTTAACAGCAAACTGAAAATTTATCAATTGTGGTCAGAGTCTAGTTCTAGTACAGTGGATGACAATCTCAGGGTAGATTTCCTTCACTGTTATCAGCTGACTTTCAGAATTAATATACATTCAATCAGTAAATTAAAATCCTGACATATACAATACAATACCCCTGCAGTAGAGATTTATTTCAATGAAAATCATACTGAGCCTCAAAACATTTCATTGGAAAGAACTAGGATAGGAAATTCCATGATCAAGAATGTTCAAAACAAACACTTAAGTTGATCTAAGGCAAATTACAGTTGTAATACTGATAGGAGTAAAATTGTGAAGTACTTTCTTGAATTTTCTAACATGAAATATCTCTTTTATATGAGCCAGAAATTATGATAATATTCAGGGGCATAGCCAGCTTTCAGTCAGGGGGGTGCAATCGCCAAAATTTTTTCGTTTTTAGTCAGGGGGGTGTGATTGTAGCAATAGCAACCCAAAAAAAGATGAAGATTTGTTTTGAATTTTACAAAAATTCATGTAACTTCATTCAAAATTAAGCAAGAAGCTTCAAATAAAAAGCATTTTAAAGCTCTTCGCTTCCTTTTCTTCCTGTATCTGTTAAATGCTAATATTTTCATTAGTTATGGGGGGGGGTGCGATCGCACCATCGCACCCCCTCCTGGCTACGCCTATGATATTCCATTTTAAGGTGTTCTAAATTAAAGATATCCAATGATTTAAAGGTGACTTATGAGCATTAACATCTCAATTATGTTGACATAACATATTTTCTAAAAGTGCGAAGCTATCTAAATTCTCCACTTTACTGGGTTAAAAAATATTTTCAGCAGATCTCAGGTTATGTATAGCAGTAAATTGCTTGCTGGATATTAGTACAGATGTAGCACTGCACCTAATGAGCCATATGACCTTCGAAATATTGATGTATGCTTCCTGCCTGCTTAGAATATAAATAAACATGTTATTCATATTATTTACTATTTTCTGTATCACAAGAAGACATTTCTGCTAATGTCACTCACTAGTTTTATAAATGCTTTAAATATTAAATGGCAAAACTATTTTTTGTGATTACTAAAAGCAAATGGTCAATCACTCGAAGTTTTGAAAGCTGGCTTCCACCTACGTACCTACCACCTGAAAACCTATTTGCACCCCCAAACACCTATTTGCACCCAGTTGAAAATTCATTTGCACCTAGTTGAAACCTATATTCAAATTCAGTTGAAAATGAGAAAAATCATAAGATGTTGGCATACACTGGCAATGCCTGAAAATGATAATTTCATCCGTACTTCTTGATATGAGGAAAATACCCCGGGGAGGACATGTCTCTTATATGACAATATCACAACAAAAACACATATGTCACAACTTCAATAGATAAATTACAACAGAATTATTAACTAATTATCAAAATAATTATGACAAGGGATATTTTCATAAAATATATGGGTACTTTATATAATTATAGGGGTACTTGGTATGTTTAGTTGCATTCTTTATAACTCACTTTTTTTATTCTTTTAATGTATCAAACAATTTGGTATATTGAAATCAGAATTGGCTACACCTTGTCCCTTATGAAAGGCCCATTCTCATACTTTTAGACTACATATTGTCAAAAAGACCTACTTAAAAAATCTTTTTTATAATTTTTGACATGTACAATGCATATCAGTTACTTTTTAATTAATAAAAATGTTAAAATTACCTTTATCTTTCATATTCAATCTGTCACATTCAATGGTCACGATGACTCAAAACTTCCTACATTCATGAAACCTATATCAAGATAAATATTTAGTCCAAATAAAAACTCTGAACTCTAAATAGATTACTGTACTTGTAGTTCTATATTTTTCATCCTAAAGTTGATATTTTAACATTACCACCATCTGATAACGACTTTTTACTGTTTGAAACTTGAATCAATAACATGGACTTTGGTTTTACATCACTCATACAGCGCAAAGTGTGTACTCAAGATAACAACCAGCTATATGTTCAAATAATGTTTGGTATAATTTAAAGAGAAATAATACCGATTTATTCAAATTTTTTTTATTCAAATGTATGAGCATACAGTTTTATTTTAGAATTCATGACTTTTTGGTTGGACTATTTTGGCTAACTCTAATGACTATATAGAGTACTTGTATTTACAGAATGGGTATATTTTGAGTTATCGATGCTTGTGATACATTAATATAGGACAATCCATTGTATTTGTACTTGCAAACTTTTCATATTCTAAAATAATCATAGGTTAGTTATTATTTGTTTTTAATTGATTCCTGCCTTTCAGCCATAATTCTGCTTTATAAGAGTCCTGTCTATCTAAAGTTAGTTCTCTTCCTGAAATAGAAGAGTTCGTTGACAAATTGAGCCAATCATAATGCTTATGCAGTATGGCCATGATTCACACAACCTTTAGATTCAACCAACTTTAGCGTGAATAATTTACATTTTGAAATCAGGATGTCACAACTTTTGAAGCCATATAGATAAAAGTTAAATTAGCTTGACTTTTTAATATAAATAATCTTATTAGAAGCCACAATTTAAAAATGGCACCATTTTGCAGGTTTACATTGTCAAAACATGATATTTTGATGATAAAATATCTTCAATTACTACCACAGATCTTATAAATGGATATAAGCATAATAGTTTAGATGAATAGCAGTTTTAGTTTGACTGAAATAGTTGGCAGATGGACAGACAGACAACCAGGCATTTCCACAGCCCATAAAAAATATGTTGATGGTTACAATCTGACTTTCTATATCTAACTTCCAATTAGTTCAGTAATTTCTTATAAATTATAAATTTAACTCTATGATTAATTACCAAGCAATTTAATCTATCAAACCTTATTAGTTTATAATGCAGACTTATAATTACTTTATCACATTCAGAATTGTTTGAAAGTTACTGATAGACGTCAAATAATTACAGCATGGTAAACACTTCATGTTTGGCAAGATATGAACCCTTTCTATCATATGGTCTTATCAACTCTAAGATTGTCTAAATATTCTAGTGTTCAAACCTTTTAGTAAATTTACATACAGGTATATCGGTGTTCTCCACAGGATTTTTTCTCAATTGGTACAAATTCTCATTTTCAACATTCAGAATGAAATTGGTAAAAAATGCCAATATTTCATGATTTTTATTATTTTTAAGTTGGTGCAAATGGATTTACAGGAAGGTACAAGCAAATTTTCAAAATCTCAGGTGGGTGCTGCACCCACTTGCTTTAATGCTGCGGAGATCACTGTATACCTTGAAAAGAATGATCTATTAGAAAGAATTTTAGCTCAAAGATACTCATTTGTATGAATAAAAGATAAAAAATCATAAAAAACACTTATATGGTATGTACTTATATTATATTGTAACAGTATGGATTAATTCTTTGATTTTGGATTATCTGATCGAATTCGATTTATAAAAATTAGTATGATGAAGTTTAAAATCTGGATAAGATATCAACAGAAATATATAGTTGCAATAACTGCCTGACTCTGCATGTGTTCATCCGTGTACAAAATGTTTGTACACATTGGATAGCTTGTGGTTTGGCTAACTTTAGGAATTCAAGAGAAGGCCGATGGGGTAACAAATGTGTATCTTGTATTATAATTAACTCCTAAAATCTAAAAATAAAACTAATTATTTGAAATATACAAATATTGTACCTGTATATCTAAAATATGACTGTATTTTTCCATATAATATTGCACCATGGTCCCTTATTTTTCTTAGGTTTGATTCTCAAAAAATGATTCAGACTGAACTCAAGTTTCTTATCCCTGCGCAGGTTTTGGGGGGAAATTGTAACTTTTTGTGGTGCCAACAAAAGGACCTCTAAGTGCATTGGACCGGGTTTATAACATAATCATCCATGATAATGAAAGCCAGCGTGCACACGATACACTCGATGAGCTCAAAACCGTGGCTAGAGTTCATTATATCAAATAAGTATAAATAACCCAGAAAAAAGGTTTTTACCCTCTTCTCCTGGTTCTTCAACTCAAGATGAATAAAAAAATGTTACCTCGGCCTTGCTGATTCCCCATTTCCTCAGTGCTGTCCAACAGTTTGATGCGTTATGTATAATCCATTTTGATAATCATACTTCTATGTAGTTCAAGGTGCTTTTCTATATGCGTTATACTCCTGATAAACGTACGAAATCTGAATAAAAAGTAAAGAAATATTTGTTGACTTTGTAACCGGAAGTATAATGCAACTGTGATGCTGCTCAAGCTAATAACAAATAACCATTAAGTTTCTACAAAAACTCTAATGCGGGCCATGGGTACCTCAAATATATCTTTCAACACCTAAAAACAATAATTATGAAAGACAAAAACCAAAAAGCATAATGTCCATGCGGTTTGGACATTTTAAAATCAGCATTGCTGAAGCGGTATAGGTAAAATTCAGAAAAATTTGTTCTGTTTTCATCCCGGTTTTCATATCCTTTTTTGGCCGTAAATGATTAATGCACACGATTATATATATCAATGAATTTACCACCTTTCCCTTCAAGTTAGTTATAGTCATTCAATATACTAAGTATGTTGTTTATTTTACATTTATCTTCTTCCATTTATGCAACTTCATCAAAACTCAAAGTCCAACACTCTAGTATGTATATAATTCAGACTAAATAGGATATAGTCTACCAACACTCATTCAATTTGAATTTCAAATTGTGGAAATGTAATTGAAGCCATGTCAGGCCAAAGTTAGGCTAAGTTTTTGTTTTGAACCATTGTTTTGTGGAACAGAAATGTAGACAGAGATCAAATGTGCTGTCAGTCAATTAGATAACCAATACTCGATGTTACCTGGATTTACCTACATCAGTGTAGAGCTCTATAGTACGTGTATTTATAAGTCTGTCTCTGATCTATAAGATATCAGAAGGCAGCAGTCAGCAGTGACATATGTTAACCTGAGGACCATGTACCCCCCCCCCCCCTAGATACATACTACCCCCCCCCTCCTCCCTTAGATGGGCCATGGCGGACTTAAAGATTAAATGGATCAAAATGTCTAAAAATGGACCAAAATTTTAAAACTCATTGATTTTGGGATACCCCTACATTGTCCACTTCAGATCTGACACTGACCTTGTGCACACACATTGTACCATCTGTGCTATCAGGCCCTGGGCTGCACTGCAATTCAATCATACTTAACTTGTATTATATTGCAAGTGTTTTCCTGTACAGTTTTCTATTTGGTCATGTTCTGTCACAATATTCTCATTTACTGTCATGCTTCTCTCATGTACTGTCACTCTACTCTGACGTACTGTCACACAACTTTCATGTACTGTCACACGACTCTCGTGTACTGTCACACTACTCTCATGTACTGTCACACTACTTTCATGTACTGTCACATGACTCTCATGTACTGTCACACTACTCCTATGTACTGTCACACTACTCTCATGTTCTATCACACTGGCACTCTCATGTATGTCACTCTATCACTTATTCATTACAATATAATTATTGTAGGTATCGCCATCCACACCTGAATCCCAGGGATGCTAAGTTACATCATTCCTGTAAGTGTCACTGTTGGAGCATCATATATTGGTTACCTATCATACCAGTCCTTCAGCAACATGCCTAAGTGCACCAGTAAGGCCAAGCTGGATGGGAAGACAGTCATCATCACTGGGGCAAACACAGGTAGGCCTACATTGTGCATCAAACAATGCTTTTAAACTTGTTTCTCATGGTTTGTTTGTTTGCTTGTTTGTTTGTTTGTTTTAATGATGTCATTTTATGCAATTTTTATTTTTTTGGAAACAATTCTTTTACACTGTTGCACACAAAATTGGAACATCCATTTAAGATACAGTGCATGCATGTAGTTATTTAGTACATTACGTAACATATTCTCATTGGCTTAAATCCTTGTGTACTGTATTACCGATTAGCATTATTATCTGAAAAGGAGTTTTGTATTTTAAAATACATTATTAAAGTGATAACTATTGAACATGTGCATGAACTCGTAACTTTTAAATGTTTTTTTACAATATTGTTTATGATCAATATCTCTGTGTGTATTCAAAAAGGTATTGGCTTAGCTACTGCCAGAGATATGGCCAGACGAGGGGCACGTGTTATCCTAGCATGTCGAAGCCTGGAGAGAGCCAACACAGCAGCTCAGGATATCATATCTACAACAGAAAATCAAGATGTCATTGTGAAACAGATCGATTTGACATCAATGGAGTCTGTGAGGAACTTCGCTGCAGAGATATATAAAGAGGAGGCCAGGGTGGATATACTTATCAACAATGCAGGGCTTTCTGGTAAGTTACTTTCTTTATTTGAGTTTTTGTTGAATGTGAGAATATCTTCAATGAAAGTGATTTATTTGTTTTTTTCATTCATCTGTTATTTTTTTAAGTGAATTTTTCTTTTTGTATTGGTTTCGAGTCTCAAATGCCTTATTCATGTCTTCAACAGTAATTGATTGCAATTTGCCTATTTATTTGGGATTATATAACACCTAGACACTTAAATAATAAGAATATTTTTGTTCTGCTTTGTTTCAGCCTTGCCTCATAAGATGACCTCTGATGGCATAGAGATCACCATGGCAGCAAATCACCATGGGCATTTCCTCCTTACTAATCTGTTGTTAGGTATGTGTCATGTCATGTGGATCACTTTTCGAGCCTTCAATTTATGATCACCAAAATACAGTGTATTCCATACATATAACTTTGGATGAGGGGTGCAAATATATGAAACACCCTGTACTATGTATCTCATCAAGATTTTTGTACTTCACTGTTGCTTAATTTGGAGCTTGTTTCCTCAAATATTTTATCTTTGATGATACTATTAAAATAGATAAATGGTCGTAACCAATGTGTATTTGAGGAAATAATCTTCCATTCAACCTTGACTGGACTCAACTCCCCATCAGTGAATCAACTGTTCAATCACTTATTTCTTCTTTCAGACAAAATCAAGAAATCTGCGCCGAGTCGCATCGTAAACCTCTCTTCCCTCGGTCATAAATGGGCAAAACTTGACTGGGACAAAATCAATGGAGAAATGACAGCAGGCACAAAGATGTTGGAGAAACATGAAGGGAATGTCTACTTTGTTAGCAAACTTTGTAATATTTTGTTTACCAAAGAACTCAGTGAGAGATTACAAGGGACGGGTGAGTATATCAAACGCTTCAATACAGATGATCACATTTTTTTTATTTATTTCAAAATTAACAAATAACAGCAATCCCAAGGTACAACACATTCATTTGAACATCATTTTGAGTATTATTTCACAAATTAGCCATCATAGTGACTGTATTTACCTGTATGGTTTCACCACATTTGCTCATTCACCTTTAGAGTTAGGCATTAAGTTATAACAAAAGTACTGTAAAATTTACACAAAGCTAAACATTTTGAAACCACTGGCCATATCGACCATTGAGGAGAACATTTATTCCCACAAGGCAAATGTGTATAAAGTATGAACAATATCAGGCCAATGGGCAAGTTGCAGGATGCATGTTTTTCATGAGATCCACATGTATTATTTTAATTTCCAGGTGTAACATGTAATTCAGTGCACCCAGGAACTGTGAAGACAGAATTGTTCAGAAACTCACCGGGTTGGTTGCAGAGTATAGTCTCAGTCGTAGGCGGACTTTTCCTCAAGGTATATTTAAAATTTGACATGGCAATGGTCCAGCATGTTAACACACAGGTTGTTCAATAAGTAAAGCTAGTTATATCCTAAAATTTAATTTTTAATATCATTCGATCAGATATCCATGGAAGAAGCATTATGCCCCACTTTGAAAATATTGTTGCGATATGTTGACATTTGTCCGTATTGTGGTTGTCATAGTTACTTGAAACATGGTACCTATCATAAACGTCACATGCAATATTCCATACATAAGCTTATTATATTTATTAGGTATTAGCAATAAATATCTACACGCATCAAGATTTCTTCATTCACTGTGTATGATTTATGGCCTCATGATGAACATTTCTACCACTTTGCATATAACTGAATACCACTTTTTGTTTTTGACCTTTGTTTAGTAGCCTATGCTATGCCTGTAAACAGAATTTTATTAAGTTATCACTGTCATCCTTTTTAAACATTTTTATTATTTTATTTTCCAAATTAGTTAAACTGAATTATATTGTCTACTTCAGAGTCCAGAGCAAGGTGCCCAGACTAGTATTCACTGTGCAGTCTCTGAAGATATAGAGGGAGTTACTGGTCGCTATTTCTCTAACTGCAGAGTGGATAATGAAAGTGAGGCTGCAAAAAGTACTGAGAGTGCCAAGAAATTATGGGATATAAGTGCCAAGTTGACAGGACTTAATGAGACCACGGAGGCATCTAAAATATAAAACAAGCATAATTGAATGGACCATTTCAATGATCTAGCATAACATGGTCATAGCCAGCCATAATATAAGCAGATGATGGGACTTTACTGCCTTGCCAAAATTTTGCCTAAAATGTTATTTACACAGCCATTTTTTAATATTGAAACTGTAAAAATCAATTTTACTCAATTTTTGCCTCACCTATAAAAATATGCCTCGCCAATTTTAAGACCCTGGCTACACTCTTGATGAGAATCACAATTTATCGCCAAATTGATAAAAACAAAATTTCTTGACATTTAAATAAACAATCATCAATATGCCAAATCCCACTGAGACAAGAAAATGGGGAGCTGGGTATCTCCTTTTTTACATATTTCTGGCCAGATGTGTCATCTTTACTTTTGAAGTGTTACCAGGTAACACTAATTCAGTAGACAATCAAAAGACAGATAAAGCCAAATCTTAGGCTCGTCAGGTTTTGCCTCCTGTATAGAGAGCATATATTATTAATCTTATCTGTTGACAATGTCAACAGAATGTTTTTGTTATTGTTATTTACCTCTTCACAAACACCCTTTTAATTCTTATGTCACCACCACAATATTGTTATAGTCTCCAACTTTTTTGTAGATGGTGTTTGGAGGTTGAACAGCGTTCGGCAGTTGGGATATGTAACAAATGGCAGGTAGTGACATATTGCATGTTAATACCTTGTTTAAGTATTGTCAGGGACAACATTTCTAAGGAAGTGAGCTAGTCAGGTTTTTGATTCATGCTCAGGAGCAGATTATTTATTGAAATATTTCCCATAGGAGAAAATCTGACTGGTTAACTTCCTTAAAGTAATTTTATTATATAATAACAAAATAAAAAACTTTATTTTATATATTTATAAATGATCATAGATGTAATGAAGCTTTATTATATCAATATAAATAAAATACAGTCGATGTAAACATATGAGTAATGTTCAAGTCGTAACCCTCTATTCTATAACTTAAACGCCTTTGTAAGGCGAACACTTTTTAGTACAATGACATATAGACTTTAATACCTCTTTAAGTGGAACAACTCCTGAGTGGAAAACTTTTAAACCAAAAACTCTCCAATTGCATAGGTTTACTGCACTTACAAAAGTCAGGGATGAATATTTGTGATTGACTAACAATGTTCATGTACAGATGTCAGGCCAGTATGGTACACAGCCTCCATATTAGGGAAGTAATGTTACACTGTTTTGAAGAATGGATATAAAATGTGTAATATTATGGTCCCCTATGTAGTATTTTCACCTCACTGGGCTTATTTGCCCAATTGAGTATGAAGGTGAGAGAAAAATAGTTGTAATGAAGTCCCTGTTTTAACCAATTGAGAGGTGGACAACAATTTCAGGGGATCATATTTTATCACACGTTTATGTTCCAAATGCGTCTAATTTAACCTCTCCAGTATAGCTACTTATGGAACAATGTCATATCTATGAACCTTACATCCAATAACATATAGTACAAAATACAGTCAACTATGATTTGGTTGCATACTTCTATTTCAAAGAAGTCACAAGTTCAATTCCCTTATAAGGGTGGGAATTCAGTCATATCAGTCTCTCATTATATTTTAGGACTATGTAGAGATATAAATTTGTTCCCTTTGGCACTTCCCTTTGGCAGTCTATATGATGTAACTGAGGGCCCATCTCATGAAGAATATCACTTATGAACATTTAGGAATTGATTCATGTGATATCATGAATTTATGATCAAGTCATTTTGAGTCCTTATAAGGCTTGTGCGGAATACAAGATGGAAAACTCAAAACTGAGAATTAATGGCACGCAACATTCTCAATAATTGTTTCATTTCCATTAAATAAAAAATCAAATAAATCTGCTTTATTCTACACATGCTGTTCTCTGAGTATTTCTTTTAGTCTCTGTAATCGTGATTGGAGAATATTTTGGTCACTTCCAGGTTGACTTCTGTGTAGTAGACTAAGGGCATTCATATATTCTAATTCTGTAAAGAGGCCTCCTTGTTCCATGATCAACCTCAAAATGTCCTGGAAATAAAAAAGCATCACATGTGTCACATTTTGAAATGTGGACAAGATTGTATACCCCAAAATAGCAGTAATTGCCTTTAGTGGGAGATTCAATATGGAAAATTGCAAGGTATTAACATTCATTGAAGCCACAATTTGTTTATAAATGGGCGATAATAATTAATGAAAGGGCTGATCTCTTGAGAGGTAGTTATTATAACATGTACTTCATTGGTTTAAATGGTTTCTTAGGACTATGCAGTATACATGTAGTGAAAATAACATGTACTTCATTGGTTTAAATGGTTTCTTAGGACTATGCAGTGTAGTGATAATAACATGTACTTCATTGGTTTAAATGGTTTCTTAGGACTATGCAGTATAGTGAAAATAACATGTACTTCATTGGTTTAAATGGTTTCTTAGGACTATGCAGTATAGTGAAAATAACATGTACTTCATTGGTTTAAATGGTTTCTTAGGACTATGCAGTGTAGTGATAATAACATGTACTTCATTGGTTTAAATGGTTTCTTAGGACTATGCAGTGTAGTGATAATAACATGTACTTCATTGGTTTAAATGGTTTCTTAGGACTATGCAGTGTAGTGATAATAACATGTACTTCATTGGTTTAAATGGTTTCTTAGGACTATGCAGTATAGTGAAAATAACATGTACTTCATTGGTTTAAATGGTTTCTTAGGACTATGCAGTATAGTGAAAATAACATGTACTTCATTGGTTTAAATGGTTTCTTAGGACTATGCAGTGTAGTGATAATAACATGTACTTCATTGGTTTAAATGGTTTCTTAGGACTATGCAGTGTAGTGATAATAACATGTACTTCATTGGTTTAAATGGTTTCTTAGGACTATGCAGTGTAGTGATAATAACATGTACTTCATTGGTTTTAATGGTTTCTTAGAACTATGCAGTGTAGTGATAATAACATGTACTTCATTGGTTTAAATGGTTTCTTAGGACTATGCAGTGTAGTGATAATAACATGTACTTCATTGGTTTTAATGGTTTCTTAGGACTATGCAGTGTAGTGATAATAACATGTACTTCATTGGTTTAAATGGTTTCTTAGGACTATGCAGTGTAGTTATTATAACATGTACTTCATTGGTTTTAATGGTTTCTTAGGACTATGCAGTGTAGTGATAATAACATGTACTTCATTGGTTTAAATGGTTTCTTAGGACTATGCAGTGTAGTGATAATAACATGTACTTCATTGGTTTTAATGGTTTCTTAGGACTATGCAGTGTAGTTATTATAACATGTACTTCATTGGTTTAAATGGTTTCTTAGGACTATGCAGTGTAGCGATAATAACATGTACTTCATTAGTTTAAATGGTTTCTTAGGACTATGCAGTGTAGTTATTATAACATGTACTTCATTGGTTTAAATGGTTTCTTAGGACTATGCAGTGTAGTTATTATAACATGTACTTCATTGGTTTTAATGGTTTCTTAGGATTATCCAGTGTAGCAATAATAACACGTACTTCATTGGTTTTAATGGTTTCTTAGGACTATCCAGTGTAGTTATTATAACATGTACTTCATTGGTTTAAATGGTTTCTTAGGACTATCCAGTGTAGCGGTAATAACATGTACTTCATTGGTTTTAATGGTTTCTTAGGACTATGCAGTATAGTTATTATAACATGTACTTCATTGGTTTTAATGGTTTCTTAGGACTATCCAGTGTAGTTATTATAACATGTACTTCATTAGTTTAAATGGTTTCTTAGGACTATCCAGTGAAGCGGTAATAACATGTACTTCATTGGTTTTAATGGTTTCTTAGGACTATGCAGTGTTGTTATTATAACATGTACTTCATTGGTTTAAATGGTTTCTTAGGACTATCCAGTGTAGCGATAATAACATGTACTTCATTGGTTTTAATGGTTTCTTAGGACTATGCAGTGTAATTATTATAACATGTACTTCATTGGTTTTAATGGTTTCTTAGGACTATCCAGTGTAGCAATAATAACATGTTCTTCATTGGTTTTAATGGTTTCTTAGGACTATGCAGTGTAGTTATTATAACATGTACTTCATTGGTTTAAATGGTTTCTTAGGACTATCCAGTGTAGCGGTAATAACATGTACTTCATTGGTTTTAATGGTTTCTTAGGACTATGCAGTGTAGTTATTATAACATGTACTTCATTGGTTTTAATGGTTTCTTAGGACTATGCAGTGTAGTGATAATAACATGTACTTCATTGGTTTTAATGGTTTCTTAGGACTATGCAGTGTAGCGATAATAACATGTACTTCATTGGTTTTAATGGTTTCTTAGGACTATGCAGTGTAGCGATAATAACATGTACTTCATTGGTTTTAATGATTTCTTAGGACTATCCAGTGTAGTGATAATAACATGTTCTTCATTGGTTTTAATGGTTTCTTAGGAGTATGCAGTGTAGTGATAATAACATGTACTTCATTGGTTTAAATGGTTTCTTAGGACTATCCAGTGTAGTGATAATAATGTGTACTTCATTGGTTTTAATGGTTTCTTAGGACTATGCAGTGTAGTGATAATAACATGTACTTCATTGGTTTTAATGGTTTCTTAGGACTATGCAGTGTAGTGATAATAACATGTACTTCATTGGTTTAAATGATTTCTTAGGACTATCCAGTGTAGTGATAATAACATGTACTTCATTGGTTTAAATGATTTCTTAGGACTATCCAGTGTAGTGATAATAACATGTACTTCATTGGTTTAAATGATTTCTTAGGACTATCCAGTGTAGTGATAATAACATGTACTTCATTGGTTTTAATGGTTTCTTAGGACTATGCAGTGTAGTGATGATAACATGTACTTCATTGGTTTTAATGGTTTCTTAGGACTGTCCAGTGAAGCGATAATTACATGTACTTCATTGGTTTTAATGGTTTCTTAGGACTATCCAGTGAAGCGATAATAACATGTACATGTAAAACCTGCGAACAGGGAATGCTCGTCGGACTTGAGGAAAGTTTCCTTGTTCAGAGGTTTTCCCTATAGAGAGGGGCCGCACTTTCAGCAAACTCAGAATTGCCGAATAAGCATTTTTTGTATATATTTGGGCATTTATTGATTTTACCAATGCCGACTCCATACTTGGTTGCTAGACCTTGTTGTGACATCTTGGAAGATGTATGAAGGTCTCCCACCTCCCTCCTCTAGCTGAGGGTAAGGAGCATTCTCCCAATGTTGATTTTAGCCGCTGCTGCTGGCGTATGATGATGTCTAGTTGTTGTAATTGTTGATAGATTTGGCTCAACATGACACATGTACTTATCTGTTTTCTCCATAAAACAATTGTGTCAATCCCTAGATTATCACAACTGATTTGATGTAATTATGTTTGTTGAAAGGAAGAATTAGTGTCATGATAATTAGTAACAAACAAATTAGTATTAGTTTTAAAATATATCAGGGTAATTAACAGTGGGTGGCACGCTACATCTTGAAAACAATTGGCTTATCTTAATCTCAATCATATTAATCCAAGCTTTTTAGAATCAGATATTGGCTTAAGACTTTCACACCTCTGAAAAATAATGGAATATACAGTGTCATCAATATTCCATATTCCTTGTTCACAGGTGAATTTTCATAATTTGCACCAAAATAGTGTTCCTTGTTCCCTGTTCACAGGTTTTCCCTACAGAGACGGTCCGTTAACATGTAAGTCAATGGAAAAATATTTGGTTCTTTTGAAAAGCATTCCTTGTTCATAGGTTTTCCCTGCAGAGAGGTATTCCATCGGACAGGTTTTACTGTACTTAATTGGCTTTAATTTTTTTTTAGGACTATGCAGTGTAGTGATAATAACATGTACTTCATTGGTTTTAATGGTTTCTTAGGACTATGCAGTGTAGTGATAATAACATGTACTTCATTGGTTTTAATGGTTTCTTAGGACTATGCAGTGTAGTGATAATAACATGTACTTCATTGGTTTAAATGGTTTCTTAGGACTATGCAGTGTAGTGATAATAACATGTACTTCATTGGTTTTAATGGTTTCTTAGGACTATGCAGTGTAGTGATAATAACAAGTACTTCATTGCTTTTAATGGTTTCTTAGGACTATGCAGTGTAGTGATAATAACATGTACTTCATTGGTTTTAATGGTTTCTTAGGACTATCCAGTGTAGTGATAATAACATGTACTTCATTGGTTTAAATGGTTTCTTAGGACTATGCTGTAAAATAGACTTAAAGGTGCACTTACATCAGCTGTGAGATAAAGCAATTCGTAGTATTGTCGGGCATGGTCCAGGTCAGATTCACGCGACATTGTGATATTTGTCATATTCTGCTGCACGGCAAATATATTTCTACACCTATAATACAGGTACATGTATAAATTAATATCATTACTCTGTTATGCATTCTAGCTTCTGATAATTGCATTTCTTTGCTCTTATAATATTTTCATTGTAGCCCTAAAGTTACGGCAAATTAAAGGACTTCTCAATTACCTCCGTAGCTCTACCTTAGCTCGTTAAACTGCCATTTCTCTGTTAGAGATCAATTCTTTTTTATTAATCAAACTGGATCTCATTACATTGGAAACTTCATAAGACATTGAATGACTCTTCAAAATATGTCCCCCTGATAGTTCATTTTTTATATTACACCTGAAATAAATCATATTTTTCACAGTCATACTTACATTTTCTTGATTCCATTCTCATTAATACGTTTCAAGTATTGAGTACTATTTATGAGTATGGTGGACACTAAATGCCCCAGGCCTTCAAAGACATACCTAGAATGACCAATAACATACTAAGTATGAGTTAAGATGATAAAGGACCATTAAACAGTCCATGAGAAGTTCCACTTTCATACTTTCAGAAAAAATGCAACAAATTGTGGAAATTTTAAAAAAATATTTTGATTTTGAACTATTTATTCAACAGTAAAATGTAAATATCCACATGAAGCTGAAAAATGTTACCCACTTCATTAGTGACTGGTAACTGTTATCATGAAAATTACATATAAATTCCCATCATGCAGAACTTCCTTAAATAGGCGAAAATAAAATATTGGCATATGATTACATAATCTTACTTGAATTTTTTAGGTTGTAGGCTCTGTGCCATAGCTTCCTCAATGCTGGTGAGGTCTCTGTTTAGTTTCAAAACATTTGAGTCAGGGTCCATGTCATCTATGGCACCGCAGTAGTTTGACTAGAATAGAACAAGAAATATATAATTAAATGGTTCATATTGTTCGTTGGCTTAGTCAGAAATGAGGTTGATGAAGAATTTTACATATTTTTTTCTTTTGGTTAAACTTTTTTTAAAGAAAACTGTGAAAATGGAACCAAATGATAGAATTTAATGGCCTTTTGCCCAAAAATTGCCTCATCAATTGATATTTTTACTACAAAATTTTAGATTCTGACTTTAATGCTGCTGTTAAGGCATGAAGTACCTCAACAGAGAAAATTACGGGGGTTTATCACATGGCCTTGAATTTCATGTAATTTTTGATAAACCTCTTTATACTGAAAAATAGATAAAACAGGTGAAAAAGACACAATGTTACATGTTCATAAAATGAATGATATACTGTGTATCATGAAAAGAACACCACACGAGGTCTACTTAAAAATCGGAAAGAATGACTTGCATAATAAGTGACCTCCTATAAAAGGAGTATAATTAGGTAAAATGCATGCGGAACAGGGAAGGGGGGGGGGGTGAAATCAGGCTTATTCTAACTTGATCAAAGTAATGTATTTGTAAAGTTGCTTATTTTTTTATTAACCAGCTTTGAGATTGATGCTATACTATATACCAGATCTAGCATCCCAAATCACCCTTAACAGAACCGTTTTATCCCATAGTACCAGAAATGAAGGTTCATATATGGGACAGAGCAAAGATACGGGTGCAGTAAACTGTATACTACAAATCTTTGTCAGTAGTCAGACTATGCTTCAATGAGTACAATTAAATCATTTCTGATCACTCAAAATCTCTCATATTAAACTTCAAGGGGATCAACATGGATGAACAGGTTTCAACAAGCAGGATGATAAGAGGAAATGGGAAAATGAAGAACAATGAATGCTTGGCTCAAGTTGTGAGGTGGATTCAGTGGATGATACAAAAAAGTCCTAAGTTACTAACAAACTAAAGTGTTGAGGAAATATAAGAGACTAGAGTGGCTAACAATAACTAAACACATGCAAAATGATAAAAGAAGGAACCAAGTTATGATTGAATAGAATAACACATTTCAATATAGTAATAGCCACCAGTTATTTGTTCAGTGCAATGTCATTATTGAAGGTCAAATTATGACAATGGCTGACCTAAGATACGACAGGACCTACAAGAAACTAAATGGGAAATGAACTCTATAAGATTGACAAAGACACTTCTATAAGTAAACATGCAAAATCAAAGGTATAAAATGTAACAAATAGGCCAAGTACCTTTTTACCCTTGCTAAGCATTTCCTGTGAAACATAGCATGATAGAAATAAAATTTTAAAAATCTAGATACAAGTAATATGGTTGCTACGGTAACTAGCATTCTACAACAATTGATTTTTCAATTATGGCATCTGTCCAAATGTCAAAAGTTCCAAAAATGTATATGTAGATTTTCAAAATAGGTGAATTTGAAAGGTGAAAAATGTCAGAAAAATGTGAAATGAAACAATAATTTTAGGAGTACAACAATTTTAAGACATTAAAGATATAGGGGTTAGGCAAAATGTAAAAAAATAATCTTTTGAGATTTGGACACCATCCCTGAAAGACTCAAAATGGTAAGAAGTGCTCCATACAAAATGTGCTACTACATCATACATGGAATTTATACGAGGGGTGATCCAAAAGTCTTGGACGCCCCGCTATTACTTTGCTATTTTTTAATATAATTACATTAAACTTTCAGATAATAAAGATCAACATCTTAACAACTTTATGTATAAGTTTCAACAGAAAATGATATATTTTAGCTACTTTTCTACATATCTTTTAATACTGGGTCCCTGCCACCTGGAACGGTATTTAAATATAGCAAATCACGTCACAACTGTTATAACATGGCAAATACTTTAGGTGCAGGTGCACAACCTAACACCAGCCATGATATGAAAGAATTTTCTATTTTAGTCGAGTGTCATCTGCCATCATCATCTTCACATATTAAGACCTACTTTTCAACATATTTTCCACGAATTTGAACACATTTTCATACCACTTTACCAATGAATGGAAGACATTTATGAAACCGCCATTGCTTATGTGATACAAATGCTGCTGGAGTGCTACTCTAAACCTCATCATTCAATGAGTAAAAAACATTTTCTTTCAACCCTCCTTTCAACTTGGAGAAAATCACATGGAGCCATAGATAGACTGTATCATGCATATGGTAGCTGCTCAAGGTCAATAAATAATAGTGAAAATATCTTGTAGTATTCTTTGTTCCACTTTGATTTCTTTCGTGTTCTGCATTTCAGCAGCCATCTTGCAGGAAAAAATGATACCTGAATGAGGGTTGCTTGTCTGATGGCATTTTCTTAGAATTTGACATGTGCGGCCATTGTCATATGTGACATTATAATTAAAACACAATTAATTGGTTGCCTAGTAATAAAGGAAGTAAACTAACATGGTTTAACATTCAAAATTCAAAGAAATATAGTGGTCAAGACTTGCGAAACAAGTGAAATGGCGGTAACATTTAAGGCTGAAAGTTGCCATGTGCAAATACCGTTCCGGGTGGCAGGGTCCCTGTATTAAAAACTGTCTAGAAAACTATATAAAATATACCATTTTATATACCACTTTATTATTGGAAAGTTTAAAGTAATTTTATCAAAAACCAACAAAAATAGAGTAGGGCGTCCAAGACTTTTGGATCACCCCTCGTATGTACGCAGTGATTCAGATTTCACAAACATAGAACATGAAAAAAGCTGTGAAACCCCTTAACTACTAGCCATATTAAAAGGACAATACAAGATCTAAAAATATTAAGCCTTGTCAAAAATTCGTCAACTACATGTAGTAAGCAATAAAACAAGTTCCAAGATTTAAAAAGTACTAGCAATTTTTTCACTTTGAAAAGGCAATTAATTCCCCTTCTCCTCGTACATGATTGATTTTTTCAAGATTCAAGGTAAATATGCCCAAGTTTATTGTGTGAGTTACATATCATTATGAATTTAAAATATTTGGATGAGAACATCACTGCTTTTACCCTTTTGATATTCATAAAACATGAATTTAGTCAACACAGTGCAGAAACTAAATAATATTAAATACATAAAAATGTGCATTAGTGAATGAAAGTGTAGTGTGTTTAAAATAGATTCCACCATGTTATAAAAATTATTAAAAAGTGACACCACAACCATTGCTAACAAGTAATACACCATTAGATATACATGTAGTCCTGCACTCACCTGCTTAGCTACTGGCATTAGATAGTAGAAGCAATGTACCCGGACCTCTAGATGTAGCACCAAAATACATACTTCAGATATCTCCTCAAAGTCCGTGGCAAGGGATAGCAGAGAACTGGAAAAACAAAATAACTTTTTTAACTTTTTATAACTTTCCCTTTCATATAAAGGAAAAGTAGTACATCACATTTTGTAATAATGGTATAATATTAAAATCTTGGACAACTGAAACAATGGATTAAAAATTGAAATATGATATTTCAAATATTCCATTGTATTGTATTGAACAACAATAGAATCATATTTCATTTATTATTCAGTGTTATGTTTTTCACTCCTATAAACATGAGCGGGGAATATTTAATGTTTTCCCATGGTGCATGTGAATGTGCACCTATGAAACGGAGAATATATTCCTTTGACAAATGATATTCAATGGGGTAATAAAGCACTTTTTGTCAATTCTGACTGACCATACAACAGGTGGAATGAAAAGGAGGGAGTCTCATAATCTTTTATTAAATGTGAATTACTTTGGTATGGTCCCTTGTCAGGGAAAATGAAGTTAATATTGAATTACAAATCTGGTAGAGCTGATAGTGATATTCAAAGTTCCATTGTGGCTAGGAGGAAACAAAACATAAACTTCCTTGAAGATAAGTAATTTCTCTATTGTGATGTTGTTGACTCACAGCCACTTAATTGATCTTGTGTTTACTAGTAAGACTCATTTCTTAAAAGAAGGCTTGAAATAATTTTAAAAATGTGATATTTTGTCAAAATGTCAAATAAAAAATAATTTGTCAGAGATCTGTTTTCCTTCTTGATTATTTCATTTTCCTCAGTATTCAGTGTATTGAAGCTACTTTAGCAGCAAGCAACACTAAAGATGGCTCACAAAAGACATCTCCACAATTTAATGATCTTTTTATGTCTTGTTGTGACAAACAATGCGCAGATAACTGCAGAAAGATGCTTGCTCGGGAATCAGGCACCAAGCTGTACGTGTGAACCAGTTATCAACATTTCGCCATCAGCACCATCTACACCGCCAAGTCCAATTGACATTACAAATCTAACAAAATAGCTGACTAATTTGGAAGCTGCCCTAAACACTTCTCGTCAAGAAATAACACAGCTGAACTCTGAACTGGCCACATTAAAAGCAGGTATGAAGAAAAAATGTGACTCAAATTTTATTTACATCTCCCCAGCATGAAAAGTTGAAAGTTTCCTTTGTAAATAATTGATATTCCTATAGGTCATAAAACTAGATTGGGTAGAGTGTCAGTTGTAACTAGGTACAATATTGACCATTATAATATACCTTATAACAGCTTTAAGATTCCCGATAGAACGTTCATACATCTTGCATGTAGTCTGAGTTCAGCACATTTTCACACAATATCAAATATTTGAACCCCGAGTTCAGCACAGTTTCACACAAAACCAAATATTTGAACCCTGAGTTCAGCACAGTTTCACACAATACCAAATATTTGAACCCCGAGTTCAGCACAGTTTCACACAATACCAAATATTTGAACCCCGAGTTCAGCACAGTTTCAAACAATACCAAATATAAACCTTTAACTCATACAAAAAACACTATATTTGTTTATTACAATTTAGCACCGCAAGTGAATCACCCCAACAGTCACAATGAATCCGACTACAGTAACTACTATGATGAAATAGCCGAGGCAGCATGTACTGCAATGAATACAGCGGGTGGGTTCACTTATGCTGTCAGAAGAGAATGCCCAACTTCACGTACATGTAGTGTCATCTGCTCCAACCAAAGTCTTAGAGCCCAAGATGGACAAGTTGCAAGTAGAAGGTGAGAATAAATTCAATGCCCTGTGTGGGAATTACTCAGATGCGAGTAGGTAGTTACTAGTTTCGCCACCAGGTGGCTGATTCGGGGGAATTAACATGGCAGGGTATTACAAATTCCCTTAAACTTGAATATGCATCAGTTTTAGTGGTTCACTTTTCATATTACCTTTATGTATCTGATAGTTATACAAATTAAAATATGTCCAGTAAAAGAAAATATTATCTGCCCAAAAAAAAAAGATATTTCACTTTTTGTGGTTTTACAACATGGGGTCTATGGGGAATCTCCCCGACCTAGAAGTCACATTTTCAAAGAAAATTAAATTTTCAAAGTTGTTAAACTCTTTTGAAAACCACATTTCTATATGTAATTTTACATGTAAATTCCAAATATGACATCAGTTTGACTAAATTGTGAATTTTTAATGACGTAAATCAAGATTATTTCTACTCGCATCTGGGATATTGAACCTAGTTTCCTTGTATCGACTGATGCTCTACCAATCGAGCTATAAAGACTCAAGCCACTACAGCTGGGCTGTAGTAGCAATTTGCTATCCAGGGTCATTACAATATGAAAGAATGAGTGCTAAATTGGAAAACTCGATGAAATATATGACAAATTTGGTGTCTCAATACACTACATGTTTACATTTCATTTTCCAGCATGATGTGTCTTTAAGATATTTATCTTTCATTTTTCCTCCATGAGGTGTCTCAATGCCTTCCTTGTTTACATTTCATTTTCCAGCATGAGGTGTCTCAATGCCTTACATGTTTACAATAACAGGCCTCAGTTTGCACATGGTCATACTTCCGGAATAGAAAAGTTATCACTGAAGACCTACAGATACAACAGCTGTACTGGCAGTAGCTGTGGTCCTAACTATTGTTGCTGCAGAGCATAAGATGAAGAAGAGAACTCATATGATCATCAGACTCTAGTAAAAAGAAAGTATTTCCATAAGTCAACATGATTTAAAATCGAAGTTTATGCTTATAATGCTCATAAGTAATGTATTCTTTTATCAGGCCCGTAGCCAGGGGGGGGGGGGTTCGCAGGGTTCGGGCGAACCCCCCCTGGCCAAAAATTCTTTCAAAATCATGCAGTTTTTGACCATTTTGAGCACTTCTCTAGTGATTTTAGCCTAATTTGGGCCAAAATTGTCAAATGTGAACCCCCCCTGGAAATTTTGGAAAATCGAACCCCCCCTTGGCAAATCCTGGCTACGGGCCTGTTTATCATACATGAAGTAGAACCCCACAAATCAGGAGACCATTGTGCAATAATATATGGAAAACTATATTCATATTGTACATGAATGACAATTGTATATTTCAGATTATTTAGTTTTTTGTGCAATAAGCCTGTGTCCTCTTGTAATTTAAAGAATTTCAGCTGTGTTAATCTTATTGAAAATAACATGGCAGAGAAGCATTCAAATATAAGAGGCCAGACACTTTAATAAGCCAAACTAGGGGCAATCCAAGATATACAAATGTCATTTATGTACAATAGAAATATATTTTCCATATATTTTTGCACAATGATCTTTTGATTTCTTATCTTTTAGGTTTTACTGACGCAATAAAACAATGAAATTGGCTGTAGATGCAAGATGAATTTGCAAAAATTTGCAGTAGTGGAATATTTATACCTACTATTACCTACTAAATATCTGCATACTGTTGGTTGATAATGTGCATATCATAGCCAGTGAATAAATATCTTTAAATACATGTACATGTATTAAACATTATTTGTGTACATTGGTTTTTGAGAGACAAGAAATTATAATTAGGAATGTTTTTACAGCGTTTACAGAAAAAGTGGTTGTTCTGCACTAGAATTTGACACTCTGATTACATCATCATTAAAAAAAATTATTATGAGATTTTTATCATGTAGCTAATGGGAATCTAGATGTAACAACAATCGCTTTTTAGTATAATTCGGTCTTACTTAAAAACAGGATTTCTCAATAAAGCTTGATATTTGGTTATGATAATATATATTTACAAAATTCATCACTAAAACTTATTTTATGAGCCATTATTAATGTCACCACCTCCCATTTGTTACAGACACTGACCAAGGAACTCCAAACATCAAAAAGCAATGGCAGTCCACAAAAAAGTTGAAGACTACAACAATATGTCACCACTTGTGGTGGTGACATAATCGTAAAGCTGTGAACTGACAACCATTTGTTATTTCATTTCAAAGTCAAATTAAGAATGGCCAAAAAATTTGAAAAGAAAAATTTCAAAAATAAATAGATATCTACTTATTACATGCAGTATCTTTGAGATATATCTTTATGGAAAATAAAATATTCAACTTAAAATCAGCTACTCTATATATTTTAATAAAACTAATAAGCTCATAAAGTATTTTTGTAAATCTTAATTATCAATCAACATAGGGCAAAAATATCATGCATGAAACATTCAGATATTAGAAAATCTAGTTTCCAAATACGAACATTCACAGATGTAAAATCAAACATTAAAATTAAAAAAAAATAAAATAAAATTTGGGAAGATGCAGCAACTGGATTTGTGGCAGGGTGTCCAGGAAATAAAGACTACCGGTATATTATAGATAAAGAGTAAAAAACAACTTCTCATGGATGTTTGAAATGTGTTGATTACACCCCCCCCCCTTACCTGGTAGTGGGCATAAATCTCATTGATAAATGAGTTCTACTTAAAATATTTGTAAAATTGAATTTCAGTTTTAATTTTGCTTTTCATCAAGCCACACAGTGATTTTCACACTTTGGAAAACAAAATGGCTACCACATAACAATCGATTCTTGCATCTGCAAAAACTTCAAGTTGAATGGACGAGATATTCCTGATATTTTGATGACAAGACTTATGTGGCACCGACCTGCCTAACAAGAAGTACACCCAGCAGGCAGCAGCACAAGATGATGACAATACAGAATATTTTAAGTGTGAAAAAATATATATAGAGCATGAGTGTGTCACAACATAGAGCTTTTTTATCTTTAATAACTTCTGTACATCATTAGATATCTCAATTCATTTTTGCGAAAAAATGGAATGGAATGGAAAGCAATAGAATGATTTTGAAATGATTGCTTTTTACATGTTACACTCTCTGCCTCTATCCCTTCTAATTCCTTTAAGCTTAAATTGGATAAATGCATCTCCGTTTCCGAGACACCCTGCATATAGTAAATAGTATTAAGCAGTGCAATTTTTCATTAGGTCTCATGTTTCCATTACCCAATCACCATACTCTGATGCAAAATAGCCAAGAGGTGGGGAGAGACTAAACGCAACAAGCTGTAACAAAACTGGATGAATCCTTGGACAACAGGAGGGGTCTATAAATATTTCAAAGAGTCTTTGTAGAAGAAGACCTCTTATACCATGAACTCTATTCATATAGACCGCTCAAGGGGAGGAAAGGGGTTGGTGAGAGGCTAGGTTTTAACAACAGTGGAATAAAAATTCTTACTTCATAGTCTTTTCTGATATACTAAACGAGACAAAGTATTTCAACAATTATAACAATGCTCCAGAATATAACATTACACACTTTAAAGTCTAATTTCATTGCATACAGATCCAATCTTTATCAACTTAAATGATATTTTCTTAACAATGTAGAATCATAATTTTCTAAAGATCATAACCTGATTTTTTTTCGACTTTTATACAATATATGAAAATCCCAGATGAAATACATTCCAACTGATTTTTATTAATTTTTAATTTTAAATTAAATATTAACGAAGATGACTCACTTCATGGTTTTCTCCGTGACACTGGGTATGGCTTTTGTTTCATCTTCCATATTCAATCCGTCAGTACTGATGTTGGTGGACATTGTCGTGAGATCCTTGATTCTATTTGCAAACCAGTCCTAGAAAAAGCAAAAATCCCATAAGTTATTTAGTTAGTTACAGTAGTTACATACTTTTATTGTCAAACTATCATACATAAATTTTACATCAACAGCAACTTATTCATAATGGGGATAATGTATACATGTGTATGATTCCTGAATGAATTAACGAAACATTTCTAACTTCAATAAACAAACAATGTGAGTTCTATCGACATCAATATCCATTACAGGATCATTTAATTAAATTCACAGGGTTATTCCATCTATGGAATAAATATTTCACTACCTCATAAAAAAAAATTAATTTTGCCCCACCAAGTATTGTAGGTCCTGTATTATAGCCTTCTAAAGTTCTTCTGGGGCAGAAGAATCCAAAGTATTCAATGGCTCTTAAAAAAAAGATAATTGATTCATATTTTTTTTTTAAAAATTGGTCCTGCTTCTTCTACAGACTCTATGCTTCGTGAATCCTGAACACTCCGATCCCTTGTTTATGTTAGATTAGCGAAATCTTACCAAACTTTCATGCATATTTCCCAGAGTTCTAAGCTGGCCAATGTCATGTATGATTTCGTGTAATGGTATAAGACTTTCCACCGAGGCTAAGTTACTTGTAAGAATATCACTCTCCTTGGAGTTCAACACCCTCATGTCAGCTTCCGATAGCGTATTCTCCCTGTCAGCCTGTTTCCATATCGACCATATAGGCAAAGACCTGAAACACACATTTAAAAAATCAAAATTTAAGTCTCTCTAGTATATGTTTTAATACAATAAAAGAAAACAATGGCAAGTTTATGGTATAGTAAATCTCAACAAGTAAAAATAGAAATTAAATATCAAAGGATAGGTATTGATATGGTGAACTGAATTCAACAATGTCTTTCTCTTAAACAAATTATTGAAAACATTCTGTAAAAAACACAGTCCTTTATATAATGTTGACTGATTGACAACAATTTAATGCAAAAATTATTTAAAAATATTTCATATAACATTTTTTTTAAGTGCAATTGTTTTTTGCTCCTTTCTACCAATTCTTGAGAATGAAATAAAATGTCTTTCCGAACCTTGTTGAAACAAAATAGCATATACAACATTTTCTTAGACCTCTCAATATTATGGTTATATAAAGGAAAATTTTGGTTGATTTAACAAAAAAGTATTCAAAAAATTAAAACAAAACCCCCAAAATAGATAAAAATCAAGATACACCTTTTATTTCATAAACAAGATACTTTTTTGAAATCAACCAAAATTTCCTTTGTACAATTACAATATTGAGAGACCTAAACACGTTGTGTTTATGTCGTTTTGTTCCAAAGAGGTTTGGAAAGATGTTTCATTTCATTCCGAATGTGTGATACCAAGAACAAAAGAAGCGTTTAATGTGTTTTCTAAAACAATATAAAGAAAAGTATATATACATTCTTTTAAATTATACTGTTACCATTCTAAAGTCGACCATTGAATTGAAGATGTGTAAAATTTTTAGAATTTTTTGATGACTGGTTTAAGAGAAACGTGTGTTGAAAAAGTTCACCATATCAATACCAAATTCAGAACCCAGTGAAGGGATCGAACCTCAGCGGGTCTCTCTCAGTCCCTTGTCTAATCCTCTACCAATGAGCTATAAAAGTCCAGCAAAGAATAGCTGTGGTGAGGATGCAATTTGCTACCCAGGGTTCTCACACTACTTTGAAATATCTTTGCTACTGAATAAAATACTGGTTTGAAAAAGTCAGTCTATCCCAGTGGGACCAATTCTATTGCTGGATGGTAAGATTAAATAAATACTATTTAGTCAATGGTGTTTATTTTGCCTCATTGTAATATTAATCTCTCTTTAAAAAGTTCAATAATATTTGTTCAACATTCATCATTTACAAAACCACTATTCAGGAAAAGCATTAAAAAGATCATAAAGATATGAATACTGATTGTCTGTTCATTAGTTGAAGTAAAGCTCAAATTGGGAACACATACAAAAACAGTACAAATATTAGTTGGATAAACACAACAATTCACCAAGTTTTAGGAAACTGTGTTATGGAAAATGTAACATTTAACCACAGCTTGGATGAAATCATCAAGCTTTTAAATGACATGAATATAAGTTTTCCTTATGTTTTTCCACATTAACGCAATGAGAAGGCACTGAATATGACATATATGTAGTTCTATCATTCGTTCTTCGACTGATGTTTTCTAATTTTGTGACAGGACTAGGACTTATAGGGAACTTATTTTTATTCTCGGTGCTTTCAAAGGAGAACATTTCAAACACAAGAGTATTTTTTCTGAAGACACTAACCATAACAGACTCAACATTCCTCCTACTAACAGGGCACGCCTTAAGCGTCGGACAGCTGGTCATTATCTGGTTACTTTTGATACTGACCAGTTGATTTTTTCACTAGGTATAGGAAAATAACATTGCAACTGGTCAGTAATGCCTTTTTGACCAGCAGCTCTGGAATCCTTAGGGCATACACTGCCTACTAACCGTACCTTTTACTGTGGATGGCAGGCGAACTTTTAAATGACGGAAAAATAAGTTTTCCTTATGTTTTTCCACATTAACGCAATGAGAAGGCACTGAATATGACATATACATATATGTAGTTCTATCATTCGTTTACCTTTTACTGTGGATGGCAGGCACCAAATCGGGGAGATAAAGTTATAAGTGGACATTACTGATACCATAAATCTACTACTTCCATGTCTATCTACAGCATCTACCCGCAGAACCTGGATTATTGTCTTAGTAACCATTTACAGATAGATACACATAAAAAAACACTCCGTGTGAAGACATTGTTAACTGTGAAAAGAATGAAATGGATTGTTGGATGCCTTGTAGTTGGAGCATGTCTCTACAATTTACTGTAATGACCCGAGGGCGCCCCAGGGGAATGACTAACTAATGACTATAACGAGCATAGTGTAACAAGCCAGATAAAGAAATTGAAAGAAAGTGTGCTAAATTCAATGCCCCGCATGGGAATCGAGCCTAGGACCCTTGGATCTGAAGTCTGATGCTCTACCGACTGAGCTATAAAGGCTTAAAGTAAGTCACTACAGCTGGGCCGTAGTAGCAACTTGCTATTAAGGGTCCTTACAGTACCTAGATATTTTGAATGGTCTCATAGTGATGGTACTTGCTTATTACATTGTAATCCAAGCTATCACATTATATATCATGTGATTTTGCATGCAATTTTTAGATCCTGTGGACCTGTTGTAACAGTTTAAGTATCGGGAATTCCAGCGAGATGGAAAATATAACATTCAACCAAAGCTCAGTCATATTCATTAACAATGGAACTGATGAAAATATTAGCTTAAATTTCACAAATATTTCACAGTCACAATACACAACCAATAGCGATGAGGACAACTGGTTGAAAGTCTTTCAATTTGTACTTGAAGTGTTATCATATATTGTAATAGGACTTGGACTTATTGGGAATACATTGGCATTCTTGGTGTTTTCAAAGGAGAAAGTTTTGAACACAAGAGTATTTCTTCTAAAGACACTCACAATAACAGACTCAACATTTCTGTTACTGATGTTTCTTTTTGTAATGCTCTTAAATCAATGGGAAGAGTTTATAAAGTTGGGAGCTGTTCAAGACCACATTGCCACATTATATGATGTACAGACACCAATTGTTTCAACAGCAGGTACCCTCACAACTTGGATGGTTGTCTTGGTAACCATAGACAGGTACATACATATAACAAACCCACTCGGTGCAACGACATTGCTAACCGTCAAAAGAATGAAATGGACGGTTGGGTCCCTAGTAGTAGGAGCATGCCTCTACAATGTACCTAGATTCTTTAAATGGGCTTACTTGCTACTTGCAAGTGATACTTGCTTATTACAGTGTAATCCAAGCTATAACCTTATATATCAGGTGATTTTAAATGCAGCCTTAAGGTACTTTGGACCAGTTTTCATAGTTTCTATTCTTAATGTGAGATTAGTTAAGACCATCCAAAACTCCCAATCAAAACTTAAGCAGATGACATGTAAAGAAATTGAGGAAAGAAATCATGTCATTACCATGGTTGCAATTGTGTCAGTATTTATAATATGTTCAATATCTAATTTGGTAACTAATGTCACATATATGCTAATGATGTATAATATTATTTCACTGTCAGATTCCAAATATAATATGATGGCCGATGTCTCCAATTTTTTTCTTGTATGCAATTCGTTGTTTAATTTTGTGATATACTTCATGATAGGAAAATCATTTAGGAAAAGGTTGAAACAATTATTTAAGCGAAAGAATAACAATTCACAAATACACTAATGAGTATGATAACAATTTGCCATTACACCTATGTTTAGAATAACAATTCACAAATGGTATACTAAGTAGTTAACTAGCTAACTAGTTAACGAGTTACAAATTGTGAATATCCAATAACATTGTTCGAGGGTTGATCCTAAAGATCTGCACCGTTTTCTCCAAAAATCATAATACTTAATGAATATTGTTCATATTTGGCCTCAGCCACCCAATATTTGTATAGTACTTTTGCCCCACATTCCCTGTAATCATGTTGCAGTGGTAACCAGACACCTATGTTACTGGTAAAATTTGCTTTTTTACACAAAATGAAACTTCTATACTATATGTTGTATTGAATGTAGTGAACTTTTGTATTGATAATAAAGTAATAAATCACTTAAAATACAAGTTTGTTTCATTCCACTTAAGGTGACATGGCGATACATGAAGGATAAAATGGTTGGAAATAACAATTTATAATTAATTGTGAGTTGATCATTAAATCGAACAATAGGTTGTTCAGTCTAACTAGTGATTGCTGTTTGGTCTTGTCCAGAGAGAGAGTAATTGAACTGCCTCTTTATCTGAGAAATGCTTAAATATCATACAAAAACAATGGCATTCCCTATTACATAAAAAATCTTAATGATACATACTTTGATTGCTAAAAACCAGTCACAAGTGCATTGGTGTCAAGGAGTATTGGCTCTCAGGGACGCCAATTGATATTCTGTTCCTTATATGGGTATGACATAGTCATGTTATGAATACAAAATTCAATCAAGAATATCGGCCATTCTCCTTGCAGCTATACAGTGTGTCCCAAAAAAAAGGAAACCGGCAATAGATTGCTTATTTCTCAAATATGAATAATAATAAGAAAATTTCACAGCTACCATCTGATAGGTTATGATGTCCTTTTTCTTATGATACCAAATGTGTTTATTTTTCTCCACGGATGACTGAGTTCTAAGAGATTTAAGTGACCATGTCAGAAATTGGTTTGTGCCACTTTTTCTGTCATGAATGGCTGTACAATGAGGGATTAAAATGGCTATGCAAGACATTGTCCTATTCGAAATACACATTTCTGAACAAGCATTCAACATAGCAAGTTCATGCAGCTGACCCAAGATCAAAGAGTATTTGTAGTGCTCCTCCTATCGTTCGGGACAGATTAACGGCGCTGTTCAACAGAAGAGTGATTGCCTTGAACCACGAGATTGAGTTCATCGAGATCCCCAGACCTGACACCCTGCGACTTCTCCCTTTTTGGGTTATTTCAAGAGTAAAGTCTTCACAACACCACCAAGAGACGTTGATGATCTAAGGGCCAGGATTGTCGCAGCAGTGGAAGATTTAAGGGGACAGAGAGACATCATCGGGGATGCCGTACGTGCGATGAGATCAAGGGCAGACATTTGCATTGAAAGGAATGGGGGTCATGTTGAAGGACATTGGGGTTAAAACAACTTTGAATGGACATTGGGATTTAAGAGGGATGTTAAATATGATATGTGTAATTTTAATTGGAATAAATGAGTAAAAGAGTGATATCCTGATGTTTGTTGTTACTTATCACTTTGTTATGATGGTGAAATTGACTTGGCTGAAAGTGGTATAAACTCATTTCTGACATGGTCACTTAAATCCCTTATAACTCAGTCATCCGTGAAGGAAAATAGACAACTTTGGTATCATAAGAAAGAGGACATCATAATCTATTAGATGGTAGCTGTGAAATTATCCTATCATTATTCATATTTGAGATATTAGCAATCTATTGCTGGTTTCCTTTTTTTTGGGACACACTGTAGAAATAAAGGCAGGATTGGAAACTACCGCATCGATTGGAGATTAATGAATATCGAGTTGGAACCCTGGCTTTCAATCCTCCTTGAATGGGGTGATATAATTATCTTTCAGATGATATCCCACTCTGAGCATTAAATGTTTTTTGCTGCAAGCGTGCCACTGTTTTTATACAGTAAGTGACAAAGAAAATGCATTAAAGTCAGAAAAATTGAGTAGCTCCAATATTTATTTGGTATTACTTGGTATCGGGGACTTTCCCTACTTGGTCCTACAAGTCTAAGAGGGGGGAAACCCCAAGAGCTTTAGCGATGACTGACGTCATCTTTGAACTCTGGGGTTAATTCCCCCCCCCTGTTCAAGTCTTATATGAATCAATCACATGACATTCAAGATGGTGGACAACAGTTAAGTTGGGTTTCTATATGATCCTATAAGCCTTATATAGATATCACATAGATATCATGTGACCCAATACCAACTATAAACTTCAGTAAATCTTCACCTGCATTAGAGTGAAAAAATGATTAATATGGCTCTATATTCATATTGAAGATGATTAATGTGGCTCTATACCCTATATTTGAAGATGATTATTGTGGCTCTATATTCATATTGAAGATGATTAATGTGGCTCTATACCCATATTTGAAGATGATTAATGTGGCTCTATATTCATATTGAAGATGATTAATGTGGCTCTATACCCTATATTTGAAGATAATTGATGTGGCTCTATATCAATATTGGAAGATGATTTATATGGCTCTATATCCATATTGGAAGATGATTAATGTGGCTCTATGTCTATATACCCATATTTGAAGATGATTAATGTGACTCTATACCCATATTTGAAGATGATTAATGTGGCTCTATATCCATATTTGAAGATGATTAATGTGGCTCTAAATTCATATTGGAAGATGATAAATGTGGCTCTATATCAATATTGGAAGATAATTTATGTGGTTCTATATCCATATTGGAAGATGATTAATGTGGCTCTATGTCTATATACCCATATTGGAAGGTGATTAATGTTGCTCTTTACCAATATTTGAAGATGATTAATGTGGCTCTATACCCATATTTGAAGATGATTAATGTGGCTCTATATCAATATTTGAAGATGATTAATGTGGCTCTATGTCTTTATACCCATATTTGAAGATGATTAATGTGGCTCTATACCCATATTTGAAGATGATTAATGTGGCTCTATATCAATATTGGAAGATGATTTATATGGCTCTATATCCATATTGGAAGATGATTAATGTGGCTCTATACCCTATATTTGAAGATGATTAATGTGGCTCTATATTCATATTGAAGATGATTAATGTGGCTCTATACCCATATTTGAAGATGATTAATGTGGCTCTATACCCATATTTGAAGATGATTAATGTGGCTCTATATCCATATTGGAAGATGATAAATGTGGCTCTAAATTCATATTGGAAGATGATAAATGTGGCTCTATATCAATATTGGAAGATGATTTATATGGCTCTATATCCATATTGGAAGATGATTAATGTGGCTCTATATCCATATTGGAAGATGATAAATGTGGCTCTAAATTCATATTGGAAGATGATAAATGTGGCTCTATATCAATATTGGAAGATGATTTATATGGCTCTATATCCATATTGGAAGATGATTAATGTGGCTCTATGTCTATATACCCATATTGGAAGATGATTAATGTGACTCTATACCCATATTTGAAGATGATTAATGTGGCTCTATATCCATATTGGAAGATGATAAATGTGGCTCTAAATTCATATTGGAAGATGATAAATGTGGCTCTATATCAATATTGGAAGATGATTTATATGGCTCTATATCCATATTGGAAGATGATTAATGTGGCTCTATGTCTATATACCCATATTTGAAGATGATTAATGTGACTCTATACCCATATTTGAAGATGATTAATGTGGCTCTATATCCATATTGGAAGATGATAAATGTGGCTCTAAATTCATATTGGAAGATGATAAATGTGGCTCTATATCAATATTGGAAGATGATTTATATGGCTCTATATCCATATTGGAAGATGATTAATGTGGCTCTATGTCTATATACCCATATTTGAAGATGATTAATGTGACTCTATACCCATATTTGAAGATGATTAATGTGGCTCTATATCCATATTTGAAGATGATTAATGTGGCTCTAAATTCATATTGGAAGATGATAAATGTGGCTCTATATCAATATTGGAAGATATTTTATGTGGTTCTATATCCATATTGGAAGATGATTAATGTGGCTCTATGTCTATATACCCATATTGGAAGGTGATTAATGTTGCTCTTTACCAATATTTGAAGATGATTAATGTGGCTCTATACCCATATTTGAATATGATTAATGTGGCTCTATAGCAATATTGCAAGATGATTTATATGGCTCTATATCCATATTGGAAGATGATAAATGTGGCTCTAAATTCATATTGGAAGATGATAAATGTGGCTCTATATCCATATTTGAAGATGATTAATGTGGCTCTAAATTCATATTGGAAGATGATAAATGTGGCTCTATATCCATATTGGAAGAGGATTAATGTGACTCTAAATTCATATTGGAAGATGATAAATGTGGCTCTATATCAATATTGGAAGATGATTTATGTGGCTCTATACCCATATTGGAAGATGATTAATGTGGCTCTATACCCTATATTTGAGGATGATTGATGTGGCTCTTAATCCATATTTGAAGATGATTAACGTGGCTCTATGTCTATATACCCATATTTGAAGATGATTAATATGGCTATGTATCCACATTGGAATAATTTTAGGCAATTATGTCAATCCATCATATAATATGTAGATCATCGGATGTCAAAATAGCCATTCCTTATAATTAGCCCAACCTCCCTATGTTTGAATGTCAAAATCCCCTCATCCTTCAATACACAAAGTTTGATAACCAAGACAATCAGTTTTGGAACAGATTAGAGACAGTTACATTCTTAAATAGTAAATTGGGGTCAGGGTTAAGTAGATATACAACAAAATCTAAAATGAAAATACATGTATGTATATAAACATATTTCTGTTTTTCATGTAAAGCTTTTTATTTTTGTCATAGGATTTCAAAAGCATATCTAGTGAATGCAGTGTATTGTTATCAACAAATGATTTTTTGAAAGCCCTTAGAATTTCAAAAATGAATATACATCCGATGCCATCTATTTAAGACAGTTTTATTTTTTGTGTTGTCTTGATGAAAATTCTTCTTAGTATGCAGTACATAGCCAGAATCACCATGGTTACACATCCAATAACAACAAACAGTATATCAAGTAGAAAATACTGAAAGAAGTTTAGTTGTCTCATTCCTGTTGACTTAAGATGGTCAGCCCCTTTATGCTTCATGACATATTCAACCCAGTACTGTATTGTGTATGATGCATTAATAGGTTGATCTCTGGCTAGTTCTTGAGCCTTCAAAGCATTAGTTTTATACTTGGGATTGTTCAGAACTTCAAGTAATGCATTAGTTAACCTCTCTACTGTGATGTCATTCAAGAAGAGGACTTTGCCCATGCCGTGACGCTTTGTGAGAATTGTGCAATGTTGACGCTGGTCAAAAAACAATGGGATGCCGATAACTGGAACTGCTTTGAAGACAGCCTCAGCAGATCCCGATACCCCACAGTGAGTTATAAATGCTCGCACATTTGGATGACCCAACATGTCATTCTGTGGTATCCATGGAACCAACATTGTATTTGGACCAAGACTTTTTGGTGTCGGGCCACCATATCTCCAGATTACTCGCTGTTTAAGTTTGGCAAAAACGGATGCAAAAATCTCTCGCTTTTCCTCATCCATTCCTTTTGGCAAAGAGCCAAATGAGAGAATAATAAATCCATGTTCACCAGCGCCATCTATAAACTCTTTGAACGGAGAGTTAATTGGATTGGACTTTTTGTCCTTGAGGCCTAACACTGGTATAACATTGGGCATTAGGGGCCGGGGGTAAAAATATGCAATACTGGATTGTGCTAGAAGAAGATCAGCATCGCATAAATCCTCATCTTTGGCAATGCTAAGTCCAAGCTTCGGTCCATACAGTTTCAAAAAATCAAACTTCATTTCTAAGAATGACCTTGTGTAATATCTCATTGCTAGGTGATAAAACACATTGTAAAATCGTTCCATGAAAGTCATGCTGTCGGAGTATTCGGTAAACATAGATGGCACTGTAGACAAGGAAAGTGGAACATGCATGCTGACACAAGTGAATTCATATCCAGTATTTGACCACATTATAGTAGGCCTGTTCAAAAACTTCTGCATGATGCCCCCTAGGATAACGTCAACAGAGTCAAAGATCGCAACATCATATTCAGCTTCTTTCATTTTTTCGAAGAAACTCATGTCCATACCAAAAAGGCTCCTTGCTGGATTTACTTGAACTCTCTCATATGAGCTTCCACGATTCATTATAAGTCCCATTTCCCCGAGTATTGGCGTTGAAATATAGCTATCAATGTCACCTTCTGTCAATTCAAAAGTGCTTTCCTTAGGGAAATTATATTTCAGTACATTAACCCCTGAAGTTGTAAATGTTTCAGGTATTTTATATTCTGTATGAGCAAGAAAAGTCACATTATGACCAGCATCCGCAAGAATGTCCGCTATTTTCTCCATGGCATCCTTACGACTAAGACTTGAACTTGAAAATGGCTGAATAAAGACTTTTCCACCATCTACCTTTTCTCTGGCAATCAATGCTAACAAAATGTTGCAAAATGATAATAACCATATTCCAGACATTCTTCAAGAAAATATGTGCACTACTATCCTACTGTATTCAACTGTTTAGTCGTAGTTAAATTCAAGGTTAATGGCGTTTAAGTTTTTATGAGTAAACTAGATTTGTTACAGAGTAATAAATAATACAATGCATATGTTAGCATGTACAAGGTTCATAAAAAATGGACACCATATGTTTTAAACATGTAATATCTTATTGGCACCTCAGGGATTTTAAGTAATTCTAGTGACTCGAGAAAAGAAACTTGTCATTTATGGTGTAAAACCATTGCAATTTTATAGCAATTAAATGACACACAGTATTGAAGAAAAAACTTTAATTTAATCTAAAGTCAATTAGCTTCCTTTTTGCAAGGGCAGTATCTAGGGCTCAACAAGGCAGAGATCAGAGTTGTGATTACCCCCAACTGACACATACTTACTGTTTGGTTCACATCAGTTAGAAGAAAGTGTATTCAAAAGATATTTTAAGACATGTATATTAAAAGTTATAGTACACATCGATGCTCAGCGCCAAAAGGATGTATTTTAGTGGAATTTTGTATTCACATACTACATCCTTTTGACGCTGAGCACACGGCATATGTTAATGCTGTTTTATCACCAACAAAAGTCAACTTAATGACACTTGTTCAACAGAAGTGGAAGCAAGGGTTACCCCATTTAGGGTTCTTAAATGGGGGAACCCTTGCTTCCACTTATCTTGTTCAACAGAGAAACCTAAATGGGGGAACCCTTGCTTCCACTTAACTTGTTCAACAGAGAAACCTAAATGGGGGAACCCTTGCTTCCACTTAACTTGTTCAACAGAGAAACCTAAATGGGGGAACCCTTGCTTCCACTTAACTTGTTCAACAGAGAAACCTAAATGGGGGAACCCTTGCTTCCACTTAACTTGTTCAACAGAGAAACCTAAATGGGGGAACCCTTGCTCCCACTTAACTTGTTCAACAGAGAAACCTAAATGGGGGAACCCTTGCTTCCACTTAACTTGTTCAACAGAGGAACCTAAATGGGGGAACCCTTGCTTCCACTTAACTTGTTCAACAGAGGAACCTAAATGGGGGAACCCTTGCTTCCACTTAACTTGTTCAACAGAGGAACCTAAATGGGGGAACCCTTGCTTCCACTTAACTTGTTCAACAGAGGAACCTAAATGGGGGAACCCTTGCTTCCACTTAACTTGTTCAACAGAGGAACCTAAATGGGGGAACCCTTGCTTCCACTTAACTTGTTCAACAGAGGAACCTAAATGGGGGAACCCTTGCTTCCACTTAAAATGCACATATCAATTTTGGTTTTCACCTCAAATCACAATTCATAAGCTATTGTACATAGATACTTTACATGCATTTTCTCGCTCCAAGTTCAATTTTTGACCATTCAAAGGGACTTCAATTATATTTCATTGTGCTCCCACCAGTAATTGAACATTCAACGATTATAGATTATTTTCTATCCTCAATCTAGTCAGAATTTCAGAATTCGTTTATATTTTGATTACAGATACTGTTGATCATAGCTATGTAGCATAACTCAGAATATGATACAGAGTGAAACACTTCTTTTTTTGAAACATTTTGAAACCTCATCTATTATCAGCTCAAATATGGTAAAATATATATGGCCCTATTAGGGCATCAGAACAAATAAATCCTATTATATAATACAAACAAGACACAGAGTGATAAATATTATGAAGTCTGCTTTTGCATCTGCAAAAATTCCTAGATGAACAGGATGATTATGATCTCAAAAAGGCTACTAAGGAACTAAATAATAGATACAGTGACATCTATATAACAAGGAAATTAAATAATATGTTGATCAAGGAAGACATAATCACCTCACACAACTGACATTTTGTCTTAAATCCTAAGGTGAAGTACAGAAGTATACATGGCACTGTGGAAAGGGTTATAGGACTGCTTAACATGAGAACTGGTGGTTTAGGTTTACAACTTGCAGTAACTGCAAGTGCAAAACATTTGTGACTTGAGTCCTTATAAGTAATATTTTCAGGTCTTCTATCTCCCATTCGTATTTTATTAACAGTATTCTACCATTGTCAACCAATCACCATTGTGTATTTAGTTCCAGTTCTTATTTTACAGAGACTGGTGGCTTTTAGTCAGTGGTACACTTATATTTTTATTGTACATCCAGTCATATACTGTATGTTTGATTTGTTCTGCTCTATTGTTATGGACACCACCGTCAGTGTTTAAGTCATAATATAATATTTTGACATGCTACCAACGTGTCATTGACCAATGGGCTAGGCTGATATTTATATTTCTGTTTTGGGGATAATCCCTGCCCCTTGCTTTGTCTCTGGGGAAGTATACAAGTATCCCCACCCTCAGAAATTTCAGTCTTGCACCTCCCGGTTTTCGCGTTTCCGCCTCTCTCTTGCTATTCAGCAGACTCATAGGATAGGATAGTTTAGGATATATCGAGCACATTTAGGATATAGTATAATATAGAACACGTTAGAGCACTGAAGTTTGGGTGAGTTATTAATTGATTGATTGTCTTTAATTGCATTGATTCATTATATTGTTTATATTCTATCATAGTTGAGTCAAACTCCCTTAATTACTTTCAAAATTCATTTCCCGACAGTTAAGTTTCTCCAACAGACTTGAATTAATCCAACCCCTTACGCCTGCCTACGGCGGGTCGTTACACATTTATTATTAGAGTAAATTCACCAAAAGCCTTCTATCTACTGTTTACTCTAATTAGACCATATTACAAGGGGCGATCTATATATTCTGATAAAAATGCTATCATCTTGTGATTTTTTCACATATCCCTCTCATTTTTTCAGAAAATGTAGATTATGTAATTACACATACAATGCTTAAATATTGTAGCTATATAAAGGATTCTTGATTGCAGAAACAATTCAAATGATCCACTTTAAACTCAAACACGAGAAATATTTAGTCTTGCTTAAAGACCCTCCCCCCATATCTTCAATCACAGGTTGTATGTTGAGCTGTTTGACTAGTTTTGATTTTGAAAGTTTACCTTAAAAGTCTACTGATATCCTCATCCTTGGCCCATGTTGCACTTATAATTCTTTGGTCCTCAGATTCAGCACTAACTATACCTAAAAAAATTTAAGAAAACTTCAAATGAAAATTGCCATTTTCCAAAAGTGTATCAAATATAATTGTACATTTATTCCGATGGCATAAAAATGGTAATATATTTAACTAAATAAAAAAGACCAAGATTCAATGATTTATGGCACAATAATATATGACAATGACTTTTCGGATTATCATATATTTGCCATAAAAATAGAATCAAGGTTTCTGTTCCGATCCTAATATGACAAAAAAAACGATTTTCATTCGTGAATTTTAGTGGTCATACATACCTCAATATATATCAGTAAATCAATTGTTCTAGCAATTGTGATGTCACATATCATACTTGAATTAAGGAATAAAGACCAAGATTTGATATGGCGTAATATATGACTGAAAATTGTATTCTGTTCATTGTCAAAAGACCGAAATCGTATAGCGATTGAGGTCTTTGGCAATGGCCAGAATAAAATTTGAGGTCATATATTTGCCATAAATCATAAAATCGAGGTCTTTGTTACAATTCTAATATGATAAACAGACGAGAAACACAACTATTTCACCATGTATTTGCATTTACGAATTTTAGCGGCCATACATACTCACATATAGACCAGTAAACCAATTGTTCTAGCTATTGTGACGTCACATATCATATTAGAATCATATTTATGAAAATTTACAATTACAATGTAAGCCAAAAAGTGCATCAAACACACTTGCCACAGACCTTTTTAACATCCATAAAAATGGTAATTGGTAAACTGGTAAATAGCAGGCAAATGGTAATTTTTGATGAATAAGTTTACCTTTATAAGCCTGATTGCACGTTTCTTTGTAGTCTTCCAGTATCTTACATATCATATGAAGGAATTGGTCTGCGTAGTCTGGCAGGTCGTTCATCAAGTCTCTTAACTTCAGTATATTCCTATACACTGCTACAGTGCTCTATAATTCATATGAGTGACACTGTAATACTTCAGTTATTTTACCATGGGTGGAACTCTAATGTCTAATCTTAATATAAATGGTACCATTCATCAGTCAGTGGCAAGGGTCGTTTTATGTCTTCTCTCAAAAAGGACAAGAAACTGTCCTCTTTTTACCAACAATTCATTGGGCTCAATACATTGTTAATATGAACCTTTTTATGTGACATTCTACCTCCTTGCTAAAACCAATGCCGATTACATGAGATGACTCACTGCGCATGCGTAGGTTAGATTTATTGCGACTTTGCAGGTAGGTGGACGTGTTCCACATTTGAGCTGCTCAGCAGGTGAGAATTCACTTTGCGGTTTTTATGCCTGGACTTTAGCTACCCTGTCTAATGTTCAGTACATTCAATACATTGATATATATCTAACTGGATATATTTCGATGAATAATTAACCCTGACTTGGGGTTCAATTACTTTGTGAATAGCAGCTTACCCCTGATTGGGAATTTCTTTGTCTCGCAAAACGCGGGAAACTTTTTACAAATAAACCAATGGTCATAGCCTAACTGGGCTTTCATTGTGATAAGCGTTTTGTTCTTATAAACCACGCTTGAAGTAATTCTTTCGAGCTGACTTGGCTCTGCGTGAATATAATTACGAGCTGACTTAGCTCTGAGTGAATGTAATTACGAGCTGACTTAGCTCTGAGTGATTGCTAAAAACTCTCAATACACTATAGTAAAGAGATCAGTGTAACTCAACACGACTTTATCAGTCAATATGGCACAATCTCAACACGGAGATATAGATATGGAGACAGAAGATAGTCTCCTTGATTTGCCAAAATCTTCAGATGTAAAAGGAAAATCAAAATCAAAATCTAAAACAAATTCTAACAAAGATGCTAATATAGCTCATGTAGGTAAGGATGATTTCCTAAGCCTAACAAATGCCATCACAAGTGGAATGAACGCTATGAAAGATTCTATGGCTGACATAATGTCGTCATCATTGAAGGACATTAAAGATGCAATGAGGCAAAATCCAAACTCTCTCGAGGAGGACAATCAGTACATCGATAATGATGATGAATATGATCAAGATCAGTATGATTATGATGAGGACAGTGAAAGTTCTCAACCTCCAACTAAGAAATCAAAAGCCAACAATTCGACTGATAACGAAATTGTTATGTCGGATTTTATGAAACAACTGAAATCTCAAATAAAACCTCAGGAGGACCAAGGTCCACCGATTGCAGCAGCAGCTGCTTCTTTAGTGAATGAGTTGATTCAAACCAACTTGGATGGAGATGATGAAAAATCTAAACATGACACTTATAAAACTCCAAATAACACACCTTTACTCTGTGTTGCAAAGGTTAATGAACAAATATGGTCAAGGGTTTCATATGATCTCCGTACTAGTGATGTACGACTACAACAGGCTCAGAAGCCTATCATAAGTGCTATAGTGGCTGCCACGAAATCATTAGAAATACTGGATCAAATCAAATCTAAGTTGGCAACTAATTCTGACGAATATGAGGACCAATTTGGAAAGATTGGTCTGATGTTATACGATAGCATACAAATGTCGTGTCAGGCCAACTACAAATTGAATATGAGACGCCGGGAATTATTCAAACCGGAAATAGCACAAGGATTCAAGCACCTGTGTGACAAATCTGCATCAGTAACCAAGTATTTATTTGGCGATGATGTTACAAAACAAGTAAAGGATATCGCTGAAATGAACAAAGCTCAAGTTCGAGGTTCAGTATTTTCTCAATCAAGAGGAACTAACCGTGGTGCTAGAGGACGTGGAGGTCGTTCACGTGGTAGAGGGCGTTCCCAGAACCATTTTTTATACCAAGGCCAGGGACGCAGCAACTATCAATGGGGATATTCCCAGCAAAACAACTCCCAACGCGGAAGAGGAAGAGGCAAATCTCAGAAGAGAGGCCAGTCTCAAGATTACGAGAATCAGCAAAACAAATAGCTACAACTGACCCTACTGAGGTAAGAAATTCACTTAGATCTCAGTTAAAATTGTTTAAAGGTGGCAGATTGAAATTTTTCTATGATGAATGGAAAAGTATCACTAACGACCCAACAATTCTCAAAATAATTGAAGGTTATGATATCGAATTTGTTGATGTTAACAACATACCATCGTGTACCGATTGTCGTCCAATGGTTTTTTCTGATTCGGAATGCTTGGCTGTAGATCATGAGATCGAGAAATTTTTGAATAAGGGTATTTTGAAACAAGTTGATTGTTCTGAAATAGGATATTTATCGTCCATTTTTCTGACACCCAAGCGTGATGGGTCCAAGCGGACTATTCTGAATTTAAAACCATTAAACGAGCATATTGTGTATCATCATTTCAAGATGGAAACATTTCAAAATGCCACAAATCTTGTCACCAAAAATTGTTATATGGCCACCTGTGATATCAAAGACAGTTACTATAGTATACCCATGTCTGAACATTCTCAGAAATACCTCCAATTTAAATGGAAGGGTAAAATATATCAATACACTTGTCTACCACAAGGCTTATGTTCTGCCCCTCGTATTTTCACAAAAATTTTGAAACCAGTCTATGCAAAATTGCGAAACCAGGGTAGAAAGTCTGTGGCTTACATTGACGATACGTGTCTATTTGCAGATACCTACGAGGAATGTAAATACAATATTGCTGATACTATACACCAACTGCAAACACTTGGTTTCATTCTTCATCCAGAAAAGTGTGACTTGATCCCTTCACAAAAGGTACAGTTTCTTGGGTTTGAAATAAATTCAAATACTATGGAAATAAAACTACCATATGACAAAACAGAAGCCTTGCGTTCATTGTGTATTGATACCATCCGACACAAAGACAACATTACTATACGTCAAGTTGCAAAATTAATTGGGAAAATGGTTGCTTCTTTCCCAGGGGTTAGGTATGGTCAGTTATACTACCGTCACCTTGAAATCCAAAAAAGCAATGCATTAACGCAAAATTTTGGCAATTTTGACGCGAAAATGTATCTTAACCAGGATGCAATCGATGAAATCAATTGGTGGATTAGCAATGTCAGATTGTCTAAAAGCCCTATCTCTGTTACAGATCCTGACTTAACGTTTCGTAGTGACAGCAGTAATGAAGGCTGGGGTGGTTTTGATGTGAAAAACAATGTAAAGACTGGTGGAAGATGGTCTATTGATGAATCCACTAATCACATCAATTACCTTGAGCTGTTAGCAATTTACTTAACGTTGAAAACATTTTGTAGGTCGTATAGGGACATACATATAAGGGTCCAAACAGACAATACGACGGCTATGACGTATGTCAACAACATGGGAGGTACTAAATCTACGAAATGTAACATCTTATCAAAAACCATTTGGAAATGGTGCATATGTAGAAATATTTGGTTATCTTCCTCTCATATACCTGGTATCAGTAACATCGAAGCTGATCACGAATCCAGAACGTTTCACGATGGAACAGAGTGGACGTTGGATAAACATGTCTTTAGCATGATATGTAGAATAGGTGAATTTCCAACGCCAACACTTGATTTATTTGCTTCTAGATTAAATGCTCAACTTGAGAAGTTCGTGTCCTGGAGGCCAGATCCCGACGCACAATTTGTTGATGCATTTTCCATATGTTGGAACAATTATGTAATGTATGCTTTCCCTCCTTTCAGTCTCCTCATGCCTGTTCTTCGGAAAATTCAACAAGACCAAGCAGATGCAATCGTAATTGCACCATTCTGGCCGACCCAACCCTGGTGGCCTCAACTACTAAGCCTTCTGGTATCGAACCCAGTAGTATTACCACGTCAGAAGACATTGCTGGGACTTCCTCACAAACCCGGTGTTCACCACCCTTTGATTGGGAAAATGACCATCGTAGCATGTTCATTGTCCGGGAAATCATACAAAACCAGGGAGTTTCTAAGGAAGCAACAGACGTTATCGTACAATCATGGAGACCACAGTCCCAAAAAAAATACAATGTCTACATCAAAAGATGGGTTCAGTTCTGTTCTGAACGGCATATTGATCCCCTTCAGCCATCTATACAAATAGGGTTGGACTTCCTAGTTAGTTTACACCAAGAAACTCTAAGTTATAGCTCGATAAATACAGCACGCAGTGCCTTATCATCATTTATCTATGACGGAAATATTTCATTTGGACAGCACCCACTTGTGATTCGTTTTATGAAAGGTGTATATAATTCGAATCCACCTAAACCTAGATATCAATCAATATGGGACGTTTCAATTGTTTTAAGACACCTTCAACTTTTGTTTCCGCTGGAAAAATTGACATTACGTGATTTATCTCTGAAACTTGTAACGTTGATAGCACTTACTACAGCACAACGAATGCAAACATTGGCCTTGTTAGACATTGAAAACCTCATTACTGAGGAGAACTGTTTTGTTTTTACTATAAATCAGAACATTAAACAGTCTAAGGCGGGAGTTAAAAACCCAGTTGTACGACTAGAAAAATATGTAGATCCAAGTATTTGTGTATATAGAACATTGAAAACATATTGTGAACGAACTGAGCCTTTAAGAGGGAAATGTACAAGTCTGTTCATAAGCTTTATAAAACCCCATCAATCTGTTTCGAAGGATACCTTGAGTAGATGGGTTAAAACAGTTTTAACAGAATCTGGTATTGATACAAAAGTTTTCAAACCCCACAGCACAAGAAGTGCTTCTGTTTCTGCAGCAAGTAGAAGTGGACTTAACATTGAATGCTTTTTGAAAACAGCTGGTTGGAGCAACGAGTCGTGTTTCAGAAAATTTTATAATAAGCCAGTGGTGAAACAAAATGATTCATTTTGTAATAAGATTCTTAATGTACTGTAACAGTTATGATGTGTTTATCAGGTAAATAACATGATTTAAATAAATGTATTAATACATTAATTATAATATCGTGTTTTTTGAAATGGAAATTTAATTTGTAAAATTCCATTAAATATCTAATATGTCCAGATGGCTTTAAAGTCTCATGTAATCGGCATTGGTTTTAGCAAGGAGGTAGAATTGAAAGTTAAACGATACTTTCAAGGAAAGTTGAAGTTTGACTGGAATTCTACCGACTTGCTAAACACCAATAGATTACATGCCCGCCCTATGAAGCCACACCCTTTGAGAACATGTATAATCATTTATAACTTATTTTACATGTAATCACATAATAAGATATCAAATGTACAATATCATTATTATAGTATTTATTTTCATCTGGACAAATAGATATACTTTAAAGTTCTAACCTACGCATGTGCAGTGAGTCATCTCATGTAATCTATTGGTGTTTAGCAAGTCGGTAGAATTCCAGTCAAACTTCAACTTTCCTTGAAAGTATCGTTTAACTTTCAATTATCTGCATTTGAAACTCCACAATGCCATGATGTATGGAATGATTTTAACAAAACAATAGGATAATTACAACAAAAAAGATAATTAAGATAAACAAGGCATTAATATGCAAAATGTCACCACCTGTCATTTGTTACAGATACAGGAGGTGAGGCACCAACTTCCAAATGCCAAACACCAACAACCGAACACCATCCACAAAAATGTAGGAGACCATAACAATAAGTCACCACTTGTGATTGTGACATAAAAAATCAATTGGCCTTTACCTGTAATATGGGTCTTGATACACCAAGTTCTTTCTGACTTCGTTGGTCTGTGACACTCCTCAGAGCGTCAAATCCTACAATTTGACATAGATCCACAATTAGTTTCAGCTATAGCCATGATTATGTCATATGGTAATTTAAGTTAAAGAGTTTAAGTTAAAGAATAAGTTTAAGTTAAATGTAAGTTGATTAAAACACAGAATGAAATCCTGTGTTAATAGGCCCGATGTGAAAAAGTCAGTCTACCCAAGTGGCTATCATATTTTAATGTAATGTAATGTGCAGTATTACCAATATCACTCAAAAAAATTGTTCAAGTGTAAAGCACATCTACTGTTATTTTAGAAATACTGCAGTATTACCAACTTCACTTGCATTTGATAAGCTGTGACCACCAACTTTCATGTTACAACAGATATTTGATTATAGGAAAACTGATAAATAATATCTATAAGGCTAAGCACTGACTACATATGCAGCAGGCAAGAATATCTTCTTAAAGTAGGATGAGGTTGTTTCCTGACAATTTTAATGGTTGCAATTTTCTTAAATGTTTTCAACTTCTTTGTCATTTGTGTCATTTGTGTTTTGCACCTCCACTTCACTTTTAAACAGAACTGCTTTTTTGCTGAAAACACCTTTCCTACAACTATTGGTAATGCCAGCTATTTGTAGTACCACCTATTGGTAGTACCAGCTATTGGTAGTACCAGTTATTGGTAGCATTAGATACTGATAGTACCAGCTATTGGTCGTGCCAGTTATTTGTGGTACCAGCTGTAGGTAGTACAAGCAATTGGTAGTGTCAATATTGATAGCACCAGCGATTGGTGGTACCAGTTATTGGAGGTGCCAGTTATTAGAAGTACCAGCTATGGGTGCTAATAATTTGCTTCTAATGCCTGAAATGTCCCAGTCTACTCCAAAAATTGTTATCAAATGTCAGAGAATAAAATACTTCAATCAAACTAATAGGAGGAAATTTGAGAAATGGAACAAGAGATAAATCAGCCAATAATATTCTTGACATAGGATCGTTGAAAACACAGTTCCAGGTAATTCTCAATCAGGTTTTATATATGAAGCACGTTTTGCAATCAAAGCACACTCTATACATTCTAAAGTAAAATTAAAGCAATTCAACTGTAACCAAACATAGGAAACAAAGGGAAGCAAAAACATGTGATATGTAGCTGAAATGTAACAACTAAATACAAATATAGAATATATAAATGCTAGTGTTTCTATGGGTGTACAAAATATACTAAATGTAACATCTGAACAATATTTACAGGGCTTGGATATTAATAGTGGAGATAAAGCCAATCTACATGTATACATTAAATTGAATATATCTAGTACAATAAAATATTGAAAATGGAAACATGAACTGGATAAAGGCACAGTAGTCTAATATACCAAATATACTTTCTACAAACTAATTTATACAACATTAGGAGATGAACTTATTTGGTTGTCATATTGAACATTGCATATGGTTTATCAAAACAGAACTAAACAATTCCAGGTAAAAAAATTAATGAACAATTTCTAGTTGAATTTAGTTTGCCTTACTGTACCTTTAAGGGCCAGATATAGGATTCATTCAAATGCTTAAAGGTAAGCTTTTTAGAAAGGTACTTTAATATACTATAAAATAGCAAAATGCAGAGTAGTGGTAATATCAAAAGCAAATTGTAAGGCACAATGAGCAAAATATGAAAATCATGCTCAGTGATCTGCTCATCTGACACTTTCATGTATCCCATAATCCTTTGCACAGGAAATGTCCTCCAAAAGTCAGCCATACTGTGTGGATATTATTATTGCAGAAAACCCTTTAAAGTGGAACACCCCTCAACTGGAAAACTATTTTTAGATACCATAGGTGTTCCACATACACAGGTCTAATTGTATATGAGCAACAGGATTATGGGGAGTTAGAAAGTAACAGATTCGGCAGGTTGAAAAAATGAGCTGTTATTACCCAACCCTTCCAGCTCTGCATGTGAGCATAAACATAAATAAAAAATCTTTAATGTAGTTACTGCATTTAAAACATAGCAACAATAACTGCAATGGGGCATCTCAGGAAAATTGAACTTTCAGTTACTATAGCAACAAGACAACTACCAAGCTTGCTTGAATTGATGTAGAACAATATATGGTTTCAGCTCTGCTCGTTGATAATAACATGTCAAAATTAATCACCTAATTCAATGCCTGGACTTTCAAAATAGATAGAAACATGAAAATTCAAGATAGATAGATACAAACAAAGATATTCGTTGATATTTAGCCAAAATTTGAATTGTCAACAAAATGTAAGATGTGGATAAAATGTGATTTAGTTTGCTCTCACCTTTAGTTGCGGTATCTATGCTGTTGGTAATGTTATAATGGACCTGACCAAGGAATAAATTTGCCACAAAATCTGTGATGAATGTCTGTAATGTACAGCTCCTAAAAATCAAGAAAAGGTAATTCTAATTACATGTACTACTATTTTGTAGAGTAGTTCATTTAATTCTCAGTTATAAGGTTGCTATGGAAAACATCACATTGATAACGGCTATTCACAATTTCTATTTGAGCCATTAAATACTTGATCAACTTACCAATGTCTGCAGTTATCTTGTGAACTATAAATTATGGATAACACCAGAACTTGCCCACTTTTATTTTAAATGTTACCATAGCAACTTACCCAGGAGCAACTTCTGTAGCTATTTCAATCTCAACTATAAACTTCTTCAAAGGATTATAAATCGCTGAAAGTAAAAATAGTCACAATGAATATCAAAATTTCTGGACAATTGTTTGCCCACCCTATTATAATTGGCTCAACCAATATGGCACCCTAGGGGTTATTTTATACAGATGTATTCATAGTCTAAAATGTGTTAATACACAAGTACTTTTATATTTGCTTTGTCCTCCAAAATAAAACTGGATCTTTACCATCACCAGATATGTTGCATTTGAATAAAACACTGTAATTTATTATTTGAAATGTGTGGTGGTTCCTACATCATGTAGCACATGTTCTTGACCAATTAAATAGAGCCTAGATAGGACCTATGTATCATGGTACATGTTTCCTCCTCTGTTTATTCATCTCACCTGTAATGTTATCTGGCCCAGCTTTGCAGACAAATTGTTGTTTTCCAAAGTGACTGTCATTTGCTGATAAGATGTCCCCCTAAAAACATAAATTGACAAACTGTAGACTTATGTGGAGTCGTGGAAGTTTTTATATAAAAAAAAAAAAATCCAGTAGTTGTCAAAGTTGCATGTTCAAGAGCTAATTAATGTGAGAGTATTAAAAGCACTTCAAAAATAAAGACTGGAAGGGAAGGGTTGGACAGATAATATACTGTATACTATTTCTATACTCACCATGCCATAGACATCTTGTCTCTGCTCTCTGAAGTAGCTGTTCATACTAATAGCATGTGAGGAGGCATCAAACCTGAACAATGCTGACTGGAATAAAGAATCCCCAAAAGTGAATAAAAGGCAAGTTCAACATTGCACAAAGCAGACAAAATGGATAATTTCCACTGAGTAAAGGTCCATGTGCAGTTTGGCAAGTGATTTTAGACGGTCATATCTTTCACCATGAATACTTTCTGGGCATAAATACAGTGTTTTTTATTAATATATATGGAACTGAACACAATCAATTAAACCAATGCTGATTAGAACAGGCAGTGAGTTAACTGCAATAAAATGACTAGATCTGGCCTATCGGGGGGGGGGGGGAAGGAATTGAGGGGGTGTGAGTGAATCTCTCCTGACCAAAAATTATTTTTAAATCGTGCAGTTTCTCATCATTCTGAGCATTCATCAATTTATTTTGGGTCAAAATGGTCAAAAGTGAAGTGAACCCCCTTGGTTAAGCTGGCCTGCTAAGGGTCTGCTAATCTTACTTTCTCCAGTGCCAGGCGTTTTTTAATTGAATATGAAATTTGGGCTTGGCACTTTCATTTTACATTTTTATTGATTGAAAATGTGGAAAATATGAGATAAAATAATAGGCCTTTGAGGTTGCTGAGATTGAAAGTTTAGTCAATGTAGTAGACTAAATGTCTGGGTATAAAAATGTGTGAAAGTGAGACAAGTTAGGGCTACATATATTGCGGGCTTTCAGTCCCGGGGGGATGTACTCACATAAATTGACTATATGGGGACGTGTCGCTAAAGTGGGTCACTTTTTCGCCGAAAATCCCTAGATGTGGGTCTCATTTTGAAGAAAAAACTCTAGATATGGGTCCCATTTTGATGAAAAAATCCCTATTGAAAAATCCTAAAACTGAGTACTGTTTTTGAAAAAAATCGCCGGAAGTGGGTCTTGGTTTTTAAAAATTACCAATCAAATTGAAGTAGGTCTATTTTTGATTTTGACCAGTACCCCCCCTCCAGGCTTTCAGTTAAATAAGAACAGGCTAGAAGGTCAGGAGAGGGCTAGATAGAAAAGTAAATATGCGTTTGGAAAATGGAGAAAAGTTAAAGATCTGTAGATATGATATTGAGGACTTTGTACAATAGAAAATTAGGAAATAAAGTGAAGATGAAAATTATATAAAGTCTCGGCTTATATGTTTAGGAACTTTATGAACTTTTATAGCACCATAAATACATCTATACAGCACCTAAAATACATCTATAGCACACTGACAATATAGTATAATAATTATGATGTTGATGGTGCAATTTTTAGCAAACCTGTCACTCAGTTAAGATCTGAATGTATTAATTGGTTCTTATATTATGAAGCCTCATCACAAATTCACTGTAGCTGCCATTAAAAATATTATCGTATGATCTGTAAAATGAAGCCTTCTGATTGGTCAGTTCTTGTGCTGTACCAATCTGTATTGCTACTGAGATTGTCCCCATTGATCATCTACGTCGCAATACAGAAAGTATTGGTATGGAGGAGACATATTCTGCTCTCGATATTCTGTATTGGCACTCGACTTTGTCTCATTCCAATACAGAATTTCTCAAGCAGAATATATCCTGTATTGCACTTCAAATCATTCAATAACTTATAGTATTATTGAAACACTAAAATTTCAGGATAGCATCCCCACAGCATTCATTGATAAGATGTTTTCAAAATTTGAAACATAATGATATGGTATCTAAACTGAGCTTCTTTTACTTCAAACATTTTCCTCAGTTGTAATTTCACGTTTAACTGAGTTTCTCCCAAGATACATTAGAAAATAACCTTCATTCATCATATTTGTGAAGAATGCCTATTTGAATGAATTTCTAAAGAATGAATTCGATTCAATACTGACACATGAAATGTTAATATGTGCTTCTTAACAAAATAAATATTAGAAGTTTAGCCCAACTGAACTCAATTTCATTGTTCAAATTTTTGTAAAGAGTGTAGGGTAACAGTCTAAGAACACGCTATGCTGTTGGAAATCCTAGCATATAAACGACTCTAATTCTGTTGTTTTAGGCAAAGCAACAAAATGGCACATGGAGGCAGAGAGCTGATAATCAACGTGGAAGAACAGGATCAGATCATTGAAGGTTTAGTGGGACAATTTGGAGATAAACAGCTCCCTGAAGGAAAGGAATACCACATTTTCTTCTCCCATGCTTCCATAGATCTAAAATGGGTGAGACAGATAGTGAAAATACTTGAATCCCCACCTTATAATCTCACATGTTGTTATGACGATAGGGATTTCATGCCAGGACGAACTAGTATATTTGAAATCAACAGGTAACTATTTTTTTATTTACCTGTTATATGCAACTTGAGAGAACAATAATGTAAACATTACATTAGCTGCTTTAATCTGTTTTGGGCATCTAGTAGAACAGAGACTATTATATGTCTCTGAGTAGAATAACTGTAGTTAAGAGGAAGTGGAACCAAAAAAGAATAGACATAACTAAAGTCCCATCAGACTTGAATGTACAACTGCTAGTAATGGACATAAACTAGAAAGTAGCAACTCAGTTGAGTAGCAAACCCCACTGAACAAAACATATTTTATTAAATCTCTATCATTTTGATCATTACAAGATAGATACAAGGCATTAACATGACAAAATGTCACCACCTAAAACAATTTGGTCAATTTAAAGCAAGTTGGAAAATACCTTTTGACCTTAAGAAGGTTTGATTTGAACTTCTTAGAACATGTAGATGATTTTGAAAAAAAAATTCGTCAATTTGAAGCAAGTTGAAAAAATACCTCTTTGACTTTTTTTGACATTGAGAAGGTCATTGAAGGTCAAATGTCAAATGTAAAGTCAGATTTGAACTTCTGAGAACATGTAGATGATTTTGAAAAAAAGTTAAGTAAATTTGAAGCAAGTTGAAAAAAGACCTTTTTGACCTTGAAAAGGTCATTGAAGGTCAAATGTCAAATCTAAAGTCAGATTTGAACTTCTGAGAACATGTAGATGATTTTGAAAAAAAAATTAGTCAATTTGAAGCAAGTTGAAAAAAGACCTTTTTGACCTTGAGAAGGTCATTGAAGGTCAAAGGTCAAATCTAAAGTCAGATTTGAACTTCTGAGAACTTGTAAAAGTCAAATTTGAACTTCTGAAAAGATGTAGATGATTTTGAAAAAAAAATTTGGTCAATTTGAAGCAAGTTGAAAACAGACCTTTTTGACCTTTTTTGACCTTGAGAAGGTCATTAAAGGTCAAATGTCAAATCTAAAGTCAGATTTGAATTTCTGAGAACATGTAGATGATTTTGAAAAAAAAATTAGTCAATTTGAAGCAAGTTGAAAAAAGACCTTTTTGACCTTTTTATTTGACCTTGAGAAGGTCATTGAAGGTCAAATGTCAAATCCAAAGTCAAATCTAAAGTCATATTTGAATTTCTGAGAACATGTAGATGATTTTGAAAAAAAAAATTAGTCAATTTGAAGCAAGATGAAAAAAGACCTTTTTGACCTTTTTTGACATTGAGAAGGTCATTGAAGGTCAAATGTCAAATCTAAAGTCAGATTTGAAGGTCAAATGTCAAATCTAAAGTCAGATTTGAATTTCTGATTTAGTCAATTTGAAGCAAGTTGAAAAAATACCTTTTTGACCTTTTTTGACTTTGAGAAGGTCATTGAAGGTCAAATGTCAAATCTTAAGTCAAATCTAAAGTCAGATTTGAATTTCTGAGAACACGTAGATGATTTTTAAAAAATATTATAGTCAATTTGAAGCAAATTGAAAACAGACCTTTTTGACCTTGAGAAGGTCATTGAAGGTCAAATGTCAAATCTAAAGTCAGATTTGAATTTCTGAGAACATGTAGATGATTTTGAAAAAAAATTTAGTCAATTTGAAGCAAGTTGAAAAAAGACCTTTTTGACCTTGAGAAGGTCATTGAAGGTCAAAGGTCAAATCTAAAGTCAGATTTGAACTTCTGAGAACTTGTAAAAGTCAAATTTGAACTTCTGAAAAGATGTAGATGATTTTGAAAAAAAAATTTGGTCAATTTGAAGCAAGTTGAAAACAGACCTTTTTGACCTTTTTTGACCTTGAGAAGGTCATTAAAGGTCAAATGTCAAATCTAAAGTCAGATTTGAATTTCTGAGAACATGTAGATGATTTTGAAAAAAAAATTAGTCAATTTGAAGCAAGTTGAAAAAAGACCTTTTTGACCTTTTTATTTGACCTTGAGAAGGTCATTGAAGGTCAAATGTCAAATCCAAAGTCAAATCTAAAGTCATATTTGAATTTCTGAGAACATGTAGATGATTTTGAAAAAAAAAATTAGTCAATTTGAAGCAAGATGAAAAAAGACCTTTTTGACCTTTTTTGACATTGAGAAGGTCATTGAAGGTCAAATGTCAAATCTAAAGTCAGATTTGAAGGTCAAATGTCAAATCTAAAGTCAGATTTGAATTTCTGATTTAGTCAATTTGAAGCAAGTTGAAAAAATACCTTTTTGACCTTTTTTGACTTTGAGAAGGTCATTGAAGGTCAAATGTCAAATCTTAAGTCAAATCTAAAGTCAGATTTGAATTTCTGAGAACACGTAGATGATTTTTAAAAAATATTATAGTCAATTTGAAGCAAATTGAAAACAGACCTTTTTGACCTTGAGAAGGTCATTGAAGGTCAAATGTCAAATCTAAAGTCAGATTTGAATTTCTGAGAACATGTAGATGATTTTGAAAAAAAATTTAGTCAATTTGAAGCAAGTTGAAAAAAGACCTTTTTAACCTTTTTTGACTTTGAGAAGGTCATTGAAGGTCAAATGTCAAATCTTAAGTCAAATCTAAAGACAGATTTGAATTTCTGAGAACACGTAGATAATTTTGAAAAAAAAATTTAGTCAATTTGAAGCAAGTTGAAAACAGACCTTTTTGACCTTTTTGACCTTGAGAAGGTCATTGAAGGTCAAATGTCAAATCTAAAGTTAGATTTGAATTTCTGAGAACATGTAGATGATTTTGAAAATTTTTTTAGTCAATTTGAAGCAAGTTGAAAAAAGACCTTTTTGACCTTTTTTGACTTTGAGAAGGTCATTGAAGGTCAAATGTCAAATCTTAAGTCAAATCTAAAGTCAGATTTGAATTTCTGAGAACAGGTAGATGATTTTGAAATAAAAATTTAGTCAATTTGAAGCAAGTTGAAAACAGACCTTTTTGACCTTTTTTGACCTTGAGAAGGTCATTGAAGGTCAAATGTCAAATCTAAAGTCAAATCTAAAGTCAGATTTGAATTTCTGAGAACATGTAGATGATTTTGAAAAAAAATTTAGTCAATGTGAAGCAAGTTGAAAAAAGACCTTTTTGACCTTGAGAAGGTCATTGAAGGTCAAATGTCAAATATAAAGTCAGATTTGAACTTCTGAGAACATGTAGATGATTTAGAAAAAAATTGAAGTCAGTCTAAACAGTATTTGTTAAGTTATAGGAAGTTGTAAGAAATTGTTACAGACGCCGGACGCCAACCGCCGGACGCCAACCGCCGGACGCCAACCTCCAACCGCCGGACGCCGTCGCAAAAAAACGGAGACCATAACAATATGTCACCACTTTTGGTGGTGACATAATAACCAGGAAGTAGTATTGTCTCGTTTTTGCAAAATAATGTAAGCAGATCGATCAACTGGCATTTGAATTATAAAAGATTCCTTTTTATGAAATATGGCAATAATTTTGAAACATTTCTTTTTCATCAATTGGTATTCGAGTTACTGTCTCAACAAACAAATGAAAGTATATCTTTAGGTTGCTGCTTGCATTGTTAGCCTAAGAGTCTCTATATTCAATATTTGGTATTTTATTCTTAGCCATGTCGTAACTCACTGGACAGCTTCTCTATATCTCTATGAATTTGGCTTATTGGGATAATTACATTAATCTTTATTAATTCTTTCTTTAACAGGTGCATCATCACCAGTATGAAGACAGTGTTGATCTTCACTCCAGAAGCAGTGCAGAGTCGATGGTGTCAGACAGAGGTGGACACTGCTATTACAGCTTCTTACGACAACCTCATTGACATTGTACCTATTAAACTGAGACAATGCGAACTACCTGACACATTGAAACACATCAGTTATCTGGATATTACAAACATGGAGCTGAATCAAGGGATCGAAAGAATCATTCCGGCTATTACAAGAGGGGATGACCAACCTGAATTACCACCTCAAGTGCAGCGGAACATGGCAACAAGTGGATCATACTTTAACATCCCAACAAAACCAAGTGGACTATTGTCAAGTTCATGCATGTTGGATATATCACCAAATATGTTGAAAGAAGGTTTGGACACAAGGCGCATCCCTCTTCAGGATAATGAGGTTGAAACTTTAACGAAGGACATCAATTCTTCTGGACTTATGAGAAAAGCTTGGGTTATACGTAGTAACTTTCCTTGTTTACCAGAACGAGGTTCAGTATGCTGCACAGTAGGTTATGGGACTTTTACATTCCTTAGCATTATACCAATCGTAGTTCTATCAACGCTGTTCATTCTTTTTCCACCATCGGGGTTAAATGCTACAGGTGTTTTCATTATTGTATTATCAGAATTGATATGGCTATTTTGTGTAACTTTACCATTGGTAGCTCTACCACTTGGGTATGTATTACTCAAACGAAACATGATAAAGCTCCTAATCAAGCTCTCAATAGCAAACTGTAATCAACAAAAAGTCATATTTTCAATCAGTTACAAAAACAGGAAACCTGTTCTAACCATCATGAAATATGACATTACACCTTGTATAAGGTATCTCTATGATGAGCACATTCTGAATGAGCCTGAGCTAAACTTTGATGAGTTCCAGAGCAGAATCATGTACAGATATCTCCATGAGTATGTGTTACTTATAAAGACGGGAACACACAAGGCTGTAGTAGTGCGTCACCCTGTGCTTTATGAGCAAATATGTTTCTGCCAACATGTGCAAGCAAAGCAGTAGAACAAAAGTTGTCTGATGCACTGAGGATCAACTTAAAATGAAAAGTTTTCTGTTTTGTAGAAATGGTACAAAGACATATTTTTCTTGCAAAGACATTCATTTTTATTGTATATATCAACATTGTAGTATTATCCCAGTGGAGGGTCACATTTGTACTTGAAATCACATTGTAGATCGTCTTAAAGGGGTTGAACTCTTTTTGTGACTCTCTGTGACCATTTTACTTAGTACAATCAGTTTTTAGTGAAAAATTCTTGACAGATTATAATTGTAGTTCTCGGGAGCATTAACGGCCACTTTTTAATTTGAATTCATGATATTTCATTAACTACATGTACTAACTGTAAGGCATGTTGGTACTCAATTTTATTCATATATGTGTAGATGATACCTAATAAAAAGGAAATTGTATGAATAGTTGTGTACTTCATTCTATAACGACACAGCATTAATCCACAATCAACCTCAGTCCATACCGATTGGTTAGGGGTAGAACATATCTGATAAATATTTTCTGTTTTTTATAAAATCACAATAAAAGTTTATGACTTTCAAAATGCAAAAATAATTAGTATCTATAGGTAGTCTCGATCATCAATACTGAAAGAAGGCTTTGTAACGACCCACCAATGTGAATTTCGTGGTACCCCCGGGAGTAGGTTGTTCTATTTCATTCGCTATGCTACCACTTTTTATCAGTAAAGAGCGCACTGCCCTTGGGGTGCTACAGCTGTAATTGGTGTATGAAAGCAGGAATTCTTTGCTTCGGAAAGATTTAAGCTTAGTTCATCGTATAGAATAAAGGACAAACCTTTGTCATGGACACAATTTCCCTTTTCTTAGGTACCCTATACACATGTATGAATATAACTGAATTGCCAACATGCCTTAGTTTATGAAATATCTTGAATTAAAATATGACCTTTAAAGTCCACACCACACGCACATAAATCTGCACCAATTGTTTTCGTATAGCACGGCCTACATATGGTACATGTACACTCAAAATTATCAACGAAGTTTTTTTAAATCTCTTTGATTTGTCGTATTACTAAATTGAAATAAATATCATAATCATCTACCTTTTTCTGTCTGTTTGGTCGTTTCTTGGCAAAGTAAGACGCAATATCATTGCTTCCGTCATCATAATTATTGCCACCACCTTGTTGTGCCGAAGAAGCATTCCGTACATCTAAATAGTCAGCCAGGAGTAGCTGGATCTGAGAGAAAATAAATACAAGGTATTTACATGCAAAATGTCACCACCTCCAATTTGTTACAGATGCTGACTATCGAATCCCTACCTTCAAACACCATCCACAAAAATGTTGGATACTATAAAAATATGTCAAAAATTCTGGGATTCTTGAAGGACGTTTTTGTTAAATTCACGAACGAACATTGTTAAGAAATAGTTGACACCAGTACATGACAACTACATCCTCACCTTTTTTGTGTTGTAAAGATTAAAGAAATTGGGAATAGAAAAATAAACAAGAAATTAAATTTTAAGCACAAAAAGTGGTTCAGAGAAAAATGGTTTTCAAAAATTTAGTTATTTAATCCAATAGTACAAATTGAATTGAAATTTAGGGTTTTACTGTACATACCACATCCTGGACTTTTGACCAGACATCCCCCATTGTGTACAACTCAAACCCTCGATCATCATTCTTCGATGAGGAATCCTAAAATAAAAATGAAGATTATGGTACAGTAAAATCTACTAAGTGGAACATCTGGAAAGTGGGAAAAATATACAAAGTGGATCAGTATTTCAAGGTCCTATTTTTTAAACCCATTGACTTAATGTTAAATCAGAAATGAAACTCTGTATGTGGAACACCTTTCAAGTAGAACATAGAGCTCCCAAATGTGTTTTTCGCATACAGGCTTACTTAACTCTGTAATTACACGCACATACATAGTGAACTTATTGGGAAAACTGCTACTGCAATCATCATGTGGGAAATATAAATCTTTTTTTTATCATTATTAAATCTTTATTTTCACATATTATTTTACAGGTTATTAATGTTGTTTACTGTAGGAGGAGAGAGAGATAGAGAGAAGGAAAATAGAGAGAGAAGGAAATATGAATCTTGCTTTTCCTAAGTAACTAAATTTCTGTGCCAACAGCTTACCTGTATTTTGGCAAGGTACTTCAGTACTATTTTATGTGTCTTAGCTACACATCTAAACTGTGCAAAAATCAGCTCTAGGTATTCTAGCAGGTAACGAGGGTTGTACTGTGTAGCTATAACCTCTCCCTCTTGAAAGGCACTGAAATAATTTCAAGTAAATCGTAAATATCACACAAGCCATTAACATGCGAAATGCCACCAACAGCCATTTCTTAGAGACGTCAATTGCCGAATGCCAAACACCAATCACCAATCCGATTTCAGCCTAGGCCCTATCTTATGTATGTTAATTTTGCGAAAAACGTGAACGTGAATGGAAAATCACTTTATCTTGGAAAATACTAATTCAATTCTCCCTTTCGCGGTTCGCTCTTTGAATCAGAACGTTCGCAAATATGTATTGAAAAAGCACTCAAAAAGGACAACATTTGATTGGTCAATATTTTCCCACTGTGCATTTCGCGTAGCTATTTGCGTGACCCAAAAGTTCTAAATCAAACTAATTACGCAATTTTGATTGACCTAGATAATAGCGACGCGTCTTCTTTGGTCTACTGCTCAGTTGTTTGTGGGTTTTCAACGTAACTCTATAATGTAATTTGAAAATGAATACTTTTATTCAGTTGTTGCATCGATGTTGCAGTTTGCAGTGCGGTAAGATTGTCAGGAAAGTATTGAAAGTCGAATGGAATTGTTTTTTTCCAAAATGGCGACTAGTCAACTGATCACGTGACCTTCTCTTCTGGAATATTTTCTCACTTTTCAATCATCGTTTTCACCACGCTATGAATCAATACAATGAAGAAAATAGCTGTTATATTAAGACTAATAAGAGACCAATCGTTTCTAATAATTTTTTCTGTACTCTCGTACGGGAATATGAACGAATATATCGTTTGAAAAATAGGTGTGAAAATCCCTATGTTGAACCTAGGAGGGAAAACAAGAAAGTATAAATTTGTTCCTCTGCGAACTGCATCATGGGAAATATTTTGACCTTATAAGGAAAGATTTTCGCGTCTCCTCTTTTGAAGAGGGAACAACGATTTCGAGAATTATGTTCATTTTTTCAGAAAAAGAAAGAAGAGACTGTGTATGTATAGCTCCTGCTGTCAGTAAGTTGTAAAACATGATGCCTTTGGGCTTGGACACCTGCTCAAATGACAGTTGTACGAGGAAAATATGAAAACGCAGTCAAAGGTGACTGTCACAGCAGAAACCAAATAACTTTCTAACCATAGTGTTTTAGCACTTCAGATTTGGCACAAAGTGTCCTCATTCAATGCATGGTGAATTTGTGGAGTTTCATCCAAATCACTTAAGGGACTTTACAGTCATGGTCAAAATGGCTTCTTAAGTCTCCCTGAACCAGGTCTTTTGACAGCGATTTGAAAGCATTTCGACCATGACTGTAAAGTCCCTGGAGTGATTTTGATTTCCCTTTACCGATTTACCATACAGTAAATGAAGATGATTTGTGCCAAATTTGAAGAGCCAAAACACTATGGTTAGGAAGTTATTTAGTTTTTTTCCGGTTGCAGTCACCCCTGACTGCGTTTTTCATATTTTCCTAGCACAACTGTATTTTGAGCAGGTGTCCAAGGCATCATGTTTTACAACTAACCATTTACAGGAGATATACATACACATTCTCTTCTTTATTTCCTAAAAATATGAACATAATTGAACCAGTATTTTTCAAGATATAGCGATTTCTTTGGGTTGCGGTTTTTTTGAACACCCTGTACATGTAAATAAGTTAATAAGAAGGTCAATGTTAATTGTTGTCTTACTTATCAGCCACTTGCTGGGCTGCTCTTTGTACAATTGACATCAACTCTGGCTGTAGCCTGCTTCTTATTGCCTGGAATATATGGAACATGTCAATATATATAGCATGTCGAATATGTAACATGTCAAATATGTACATTGTCAAATCTATAACATGTTGAATATGTAACATGTCAAATATATAGCATGTCAAATCTATAACATGTCGAATATGTAACATGTCAAATATGTAACATGTCAAATACATAGCATGTTGAATATATGAGGGTTATGAATGGGAGGTTTGGGATACAGGGTATATATAGTAGTGATTTTGAAATGCCTAACGATGAGAGAAAGCAAGATATAGCAAGTTATAAAAAGAAATTCCTATACCTCTATAGTTTCAGGTAGTTTCTTCAGATTGGAGAGAGACTCGACCATAATGGCTATGAAATGATCCTGGTTGTCCTCTGGGTTAGTATTCAGGTCTTCCACTATCTCCTCTGACACAGTGTCACTGAATGATGGAGGGTTAGGAGATTCTGCAATGGAATAAAATATTATTTTACTTTTTATTTCTGTATTATATAGAACATAATATACAACTTACATAGCTTGTGAATGGCTTTGTTGGATGCATAATGTGACGGCCATTTGGGAGAAAACAATTTTGCAATAATATCATAATTGTACTATTATGTCATAAGTCTGGCTATACATTGTAGTTTAAAATCTGGGTTAATAAACGTATAAAGAACAGACGTCAACTATCTTTCAGTGCAAGAAAATTTAAGGTGTCAGCTCAGCTGCCTTTTCAGATCAATCAAAGGATGATGCCTAAATATATCACTTTTTGCTAAAGAGTAATGTTTCATCTGCGTAGACTTACTTGGGCTGGTAAGCTCAATTACTGATACTCTATCTTTACGTTCTCCTTTCACAGATCCATGGCGCTGGAATCCTCTGATGACGTTACTTGTACTCTTAATGTAGACTTGTTTGTGTAGTTCATCAATCAATGTTAAATGGAGCTCCTGGAAGAAAATACCATTAAAAGTAGATTCCAAAGATGAAAATGTTATGTAATCTTCATGATAATTACCAATAAGGCCCATAAGACTAACTAGAACAAATGATCTACTGGTCTAAATTGGGGGATTGTACGACGAGCAAATTCCATTTTGACCAATCAACTTCCTTTTATACCTAATAATCATCATCAATGTCATACAAGCAGAATTCAAAGTTTGACAACAAAAATAGCTTAAATTATCTCTACATCTGACAAATGTTAACAAAAAGTTCCATGTAAAATGGTACCCTCGATAATTAAAAAAAATATCATAAAATAGATATTTTGATTTACTCAGCAATAGCTTTATAGAGAAAAAAGTAACCTTTATGTTGTTTCTCTAACATTGCCATGGCACCACGAATACTTACTTCCTTTTTTGTTATTAGTTCAAATTTGAGATCCCGAAGTGCTTCAACTTCAGAAAGGTTCCCCTCTACTAAAGACACTGAAACATACAAACGAGACAATGAAACATACAAACAACAAGACAATCAAACATACAAACAACAAGACAATCAAACACAGGTATAATCCACTCCTTCCAGTTTTCATTTAACATTTTATACCATATTTTGGTCTTTAATGTTCAATTTTCCAATGTATAATTGAAGAGGAGGTAGGTTTAAAGTTGAAATCCATACCTGCCGACACTAAGAGGTCTGTAGCATGGAGATAATGTTTCTTGTTCATATGTGTGTTCAGCTTTTCTGGAACATCTCGCACTTTCTCTCTAAAACATAGAACTGATTCATCATTTTACAGATGACAGCAATTTTTCTGATTTAATGATGCACATTGACAATTTAAACAAAAGTGTACATTTTAATGTTGAACAAGATACACATTGATAAATATCACATTTTTCATTCTAAAAATTCAAAATGGCAGGAAGTAATTTTCCCAGCAAGCCCAAAACTAAATCAAATCTTGGCATTAGTCTGTAAAAAGTTGAACGGTTCCTAAAATGACAATAATATTGAAAAAAATTGAGATGAAAACATTGTCATTTATCCTCCCCTTAAACTTTGTGATACTATCAAAATATTATGATGATGATCAAAATGTTTATCTGTCTCACAAAGTACCAATAAATGTATCAATACAATCATTGAAAGCCCATGATACAAAATATGAAAAATCTTTGTTATTATATTGAATTTCTTACATTTGGTCAAGCATAGAGACCACAGTCTTATGTTCAATCCCCTCAATCCAAAGTTTACGCAGATCATCCCTCTTACAATGTAGTAGATTCTTACATGACTGCAGACTCTCTTTTACACTTTTGATTCGCCCACGCGATGCTGGAAAAACATTAACAATTAATGTAAGGTTACCAAATAATGGATGACAAAGTTATGAAGTAAAATGGGAGAAAATAGATCAAGGTGGACCTGCATGATGCTAATTTTATGAAATTTTCATGGATTATATTTACCAATAATTAACACGATGGCTTACAGTTTTTATGTATATTGACACATAATGCATGGTAAGAATATATGCGGAACTAGCTAATCTATGTTAACCCTTTCACGACGATAGGCTCCATATGGAGCCCTATTATATAATACCTTTCAGGACGATAGGCTCCTTTTGGCACCATTATTTTTATCTATATACATCAATGAAATGACAATATCTCCAGTTCTATTCAGTATTTTTACACCAAATTTTGACAAGTTGTTCTTATGTGATAATCCTTACTAAAAATTGTATATCAGTGATGAAATCCAAGGTATAGGTCCCAGGGCAAAGGTATTTTGCAGTTTTCCCCTAAAAAACACTCTTACTTATCCGTCACTGGGGACAACATTTTCCTCTTATATTCACGTCGGGAAAGGGTTAAAGAGAGGCAAGGCAAAAAGGGACATAAAGCGAGACCTATAATAATGACTTACCTGTTATCCGTTGCTCTATTCCACTGTAGGCTTGTATAATAGAAGAAAGGTCATCATAATGTTCTGCAACCAACTTGTCTAATTTGCGATCACTTTCCTTGTAAGCTTTTTCAAGACGCGCCTTTTCCTTCTCTCGCTGTTCAAAGTCTGCACTGTGTACCAAAAAAAACAAATCTTATTAACTGAGTTCTTTGCTTTTCAATGTTACATAATATATGATGTACAGAGAATAATTATGCCCATGAGTATTATTTATGCCACTCGAGTGTACAATCACTGACTGGAAGTCAAAGTACTTGCACTCCAAGAATGCCATATGAAACAGCTACATTAAGTACCAATCTAACTTATAAATGCATAATTACGACCACACATGCAACAGAATGAATTGCATCTTGGTTCACTTTACACTACAGGAAATTTATTAATCATTTCCTGATTTTTTGAAAAAATATAAATCCTACCTTGAAGAAAGTGTCCGAATAAGGGACATCAAAAGCCCAGACTGAAAAATAAAAAAATGCAAATGAAGAAACAGATATTCAACTAAATTTTGACCAAATTTGAGACCCAGAGAGCAGGAATAACTAAGTATATTACCGTATCTTTCGACTTGGCCACTCCTCCCCTGTCCATTTTATTTTTGTTTTTATTTCCTCCGCATTTGAAGAGCAAAGTTTGAAGAGCTTTTTGATGTAGACAAATGTGAGATATAATTAATAACAATTTGTGGTTCGTGGAGTATTGTTTATGAATCCTGTACAGCACATACGTATATAAGCTAATTATGATAATTTTACATATGTTTCGATCATTTGCTTATCTTTAATCATAATGTTGATTCTTCATTATTTTATGGTGCTTGATAACAGATAGCAACTTTGAAAAAAATTGTCAGGATGGCAGAAGGTAAATTTTTTTTATTAATTTCATATTTCCTATGTATTTGAATCAACTTGCTGTTCAAAAATGAATTCTAGATGAAGTTTTAGTAATTTCCTTCATGTTAATTTGCATTATCCTGCAGATTTATAATGCTATCAAGAAGAAATTCAAACCAATAGTTGCACTAAAAATCCACCCTCTGGTTTCTCCTTCACATAATGAAGGAAGGGAGGGGGGTTGAATCCTACTCCATTCCCGGGCTCCAGTTTCATCCATTGTTGTCTAATTTATCATACCAATCACTTTTTGGCACTATTTGCCGATCCTGCAAATGTTTGATTCTTAACTTTTCTATGTAAAATACCCTGGACTGGTAAGTTTGTAACGTTTGCTCATGAAATATACTAATGTAAATTTATCGATGGTCTTAGATGATGATGCCGCCATGCGTCGCAAGCATGGCATGTTGAAGATGTATTATGGGATAGATGATGATAAATCAGCAGGTGAGAATTCACCTGATCCCCTCAACATCAATGGTGCGCACTTCCGACCTGAGACATATTTAGGAAAGCTTCTGAAGGTACAAATGTATTGTATATCTTTTGTAATTTTGATTTGAGATCTTGCATATGGTGTCACTCCTGTAAATCATTGAAAAATATTGAAAAAATCACAAAATTCAAGTTCTGGGGTACATATCGCCATTTTCGAACGAACTAGCCATGTTTCTGCGTTCCCCTATACATAACCTTCATCTTGACACTATATTTAACATAGGGTTTGCGTCTCAATTTTTATATATCACTACGCCAACATAGGGACTCATTTTCAGGTAAAATCCCTGCTTCACCGATGAAAATTAACGAATAAAGTAGTTCCAGTTTACGGGACTATATTCTTGCGATTTTTTTCTTAAAATGGCACATTTAGAAAGTTCTTGGCCTCAGCTTTACATACATACCTCAAATGGCCACATTGCATACACTTAAACCTACTATACACACCATTGAGGTTGGCATGGCTTCATTTTTAAAGTATTAAAAAACACTGTCCGGGTCCCGGAAGTGGTATTTACCGGAGTGACACCATTTGTTGCACAAATATTTTTATAAAGATACAGGGGATTGTTTTTGGTACACCCAAAACTTACGATTCCGAGAAAACCATTGTCTACTTGGGACCAAATTGTAAGTTATGACTGTACCAAAAGCAAACCCCTATTTCAATTAAACTAAACACATTTTATATTCTTCTGTATTTAGTCTTAAGTTAATTTTAATACATTCTGGAATGTCTGAAATTCTATGCTTGAGTTCGAATAGTTAAAGAAACAATGCAGGTTGTTTTTTTATGATGCAGGATAGATATGTGCTTAATTCAAACACTTTTTGTGCTTGTTTCAGGAGAAGCCTCTTGCTGAATTAATGGATCAGGAGACAGAAATATTGAAGCAGATCAAAAGTCTTGATAGTGACATGCAAACTCTAGTCTACGAGAATTACAATAAATTCATCAGTGCCACAGATACAATCCGAAAGGTACATTCTGAATAATCTAAGTTATTTTTTATTGGAGTCTACATTGTGTTTCAAAACTTTAAATTTATTTTCAAAAATCTATTGCTTTTACCATACTATGGAAATCATGATGTCATACCATGGGCTTTCTTGGTCATACTGAGAGTCGGGGGAACAATTTAGAATTTTCTAAATTTAGTAAGGTTTTTAGAGATAACACCTCTGATTTTGAAAAACATCAAAATTAATCTGTACAAGAATTAAGCTGTGCAAAAAACAATCATGGGAAAATATTATCTTTGAAGTCAGGGATACCAGTACCTATATACCTGTGAATACTTACCTTTCAGATGAAAAATGACTTCAAGAAAATGGAAGATGAAATGGATCACCTAGCAACCAACATGGAGTCAATAACAGAATTTAGCGGCAAAATAAGTGGAACTCTTCAGGATAGGAGGGAACAAATTACCAAATTGTCTGGTGTCCATATGTTGTTGAAAAAGCTGCAGTTTTTGTTTGAGCTGCCAGCACGACTAAAGAAATGCATTGAAATGGAAGCTTATAGCCAGGCAGTCAGGTATTTACAGGGTGACCCTATTCCGTAACAATGTCTTTTCCCTAAGATTTATTTTGTAATTACCTATGACTCTAATAAAAGACAATCTTCATATATCCAGATTTGGCAATCTATGACAAGATCAAGACTCCGTAGAAATAATCTGGAAATTTCAGATATTTTATATGTTAACCTACCTACCTTGGAACAGATGAACCTATATCCACATCCACATACTTGTAATTTATAAATGTTTATTCTTCGAGTCCTTTATCACATTATATACTCTCATAATCTATAAAAACCATGTCTTTTTTAGAGTATTTAAGCTTGTGATAATCCAAGGTACATGTAATATGTGTTTTTTAAAATTAAATTCTACATTATTTACTCTAAATCTAATCCGGGCTGACATGTTGCAGGTATTACACAAAGGCTAGAAAAGTATTGCACCAATATCAGCATATGCCTTCATTCCATGGTATCCAACAAGACTGTAACATCATTGTGAAAGACCTCAGTCAAAATTTACGAGACCAATTCAGAAATAAAGAGGTAAGAAGTCTCAATTATTGCAATTTCTCACCCAATATACTTTTGATGTCATTTTGATGTAATTTTAACGAAAAATTGATTCTGAACTATGCAATGTACTACAGTGTTCAAATATGCACATTAAACTTTGAAAACTATTTCCTGTTTCAATAATGATTGCATGGTAATTCGATAAAAATCTCATCATGGAGATCATCACAGCACAGCATGATCTGCAAATTCTAGATATTGTGCTAATTTTTGTAGTCAAGCCCTAAACAGTTGGCAGAGTGTGTAGATCTCCTGCTGCAACTGAATGAACCTGCAGAGGAGTTGTGTGAGGAATTCTTGTCACAGTAAGTTTCTGGGAAAAGAAATTGAATTTTTTACAAACTGAGTTTTAATGTAAAAAAGGTACAGAGGGAGCCTTTGATAAAAAAAAGATGCAGACACTATAGTATTGTAATAGATATGGTAGTTTCCTTAGATAAAAGTTCTTGTTTTTGGTGAGCAATGGTATTTATGAAACAGAATTGTTATGAATGGTTGCCATGGTAATCCTGATGACATTTTAATAAACTTATTGTTGTTGTTAACTTTAGTGCAAGACAAAAGATTGATGAAGACTTGGCTGAGCTTGATAGGCAGGTGAGGCTGCAATCTGGGGAGGATGTTCCTAAACCAGAGCCCCACCCTGAGGATAGGAGACCCTCTGATGCATACATGCCCAATGCTCCAATGGTATGTACATAGGTTAAGTGGTTTACATGTGTTATTTATATTTACAAGGTTTGAGCTAAAAGTTCTGCAACATTTGCTCTAATTTTTAAAAAATATTTCTTGGTGATTATTGTTCATATTTGGCCTCAACCACCCCCTATATCATATGGTGGATTCAGTTTGTGTAAAAATAAGAAATGAACTAAAATTATGTGTCTCGTTACCATAGCAACATATGTAAGTCAAATAATATATTACCTTTATCTCAGGTGGGACACTGGGAGAGTTCTTCTATTTTACCCAAACATAATTCTGTTATGAATCAAGATATCTAGAGAATAGATGCACTGTATGTTTAGTCCACCATATTTGGCATTAGTTATTTATGATATAGGCTCGCAAAACACTCTTCAAAACCAATCCTAGGTGAATACATTATCGGCATTGCATAAATGTTTACATGTTAATTTATAGAGTGAAGAAGCTGAGGAGAGAGTTGACCATTATATGGTTTGTAAAGTCACGGCTTGGCTTGCTCTTTTGATGTCATCTAAATATCAAAACACATTCAGTTTATGTTAACAAGGGGAGGGGAGAACCTTTTACGAAAGATTCATTTCTGACATTTTGATTACATGGATTTTTATATGTACATCAACACATATTTCATATATACAAGGTATTATGTATATACATGTAAAGCATTCATTCGGGGATATTCTGAAAATGTGCATAGTTATGTTCTTAATCCAATGACAAAGAGATTCATATCCTTTCATTTTGGCATCACATGCTCCTCACCTAGCAACAATCAAACAACAAACTATGGATTAAAAGTGTGTTTAGATATTTAACATGACCATATCATTGGGTGGATAGTCACCACTTGCCCAATTGTGCTGATGCTGCATATTCTTGGTCATGTGATGACTTTTCACTCCTCGTCTGTATGAGATTATAAATAATATTGATACGACACATGGACAGATTCTGGACCCTTGCTTTACCATGATACCATGTGTTTGGACCAGATTATATCATGTTCAGGCCCGTAGCCGAGGGGTCGATATGGGTTCGAGCGAACTCCCCCTGGCCAAACATTCTTTCAAAATCATGCATTTTTTCCCCATTCTGAGCACTTTTTTAGTGATTTTGGCCATTTTTGGACCAAAATTGGAAAAAGTGTTCACATGGAATATTTCAAAAACTGAACCCCCCTTGGCGCGATGGCAAATTCTAGCTATGGGCCTGATGTTGTAGAAATCTGCGTCATCTCAAAAAAATGTTATTAGCACACAATATGAGGTTAAGTAAAGGTCCATATCATGTGTATGTAGCAGAAAGCTTAGGTTCAGCTCTGACAGTCTGTCAGACTCCATGCCTGTAGCCAGCTTTCATCAACAAGGGGCTCAAAATTTACAAATCATAATTTAAGATTCAAAATTTTCCTCAAATTTATGAATTTTGCAAGACGTTAATTTGGCCCCAAAAATATTTTATCAAAAATGTTCTTATTTTCCAGATTTGTCCAAAATTTTACTAGTTTTGTCAAATAATCTTAATAAGTTGTCATTGTCCTCTGATATGAGCTCCACCTACAGGCCTGGAAAACCTTTTGTTCAAGTGTGCTACCCATAGTAAACCCCAATAGCCCATCACCATTGGATTGCTTTAGTTGATTAATCTTCATCAAATTGGACCTTTTTATATGACGTTATGCACAAGTAGGCACTAACTGTACCTACCTTAATTCTAAAATTGGTCATCCTCAAATGAGATTTACATTCATTCAATCTGATCACTTTTAGAGACACATTTTATGGTAATTTTCAAGTGATTTGAATTAATTGGGTCAATCAAATTATTTGCGAAACCTGAAATCAGACTGTTATACTCAAAAGAAAATGTGAAAAATGTTGCTTATTTCATCAGCTCTTGTTGATTTATATCCTGAAAATTATACACAAAATCTCACCATGCATAATGCAGATCTAAGCTTAATATGGACTGGGAAATATCCAGCTTTTACTTTTCAATATAATAATTAACTTATTTCCATGCATGGCAACTAACTTTCCACCATATCTAAATAATTTTTTCTTCCATCAATATTCCATATTGCATGATGATTTGACAGAGCTTAAACCAATGATTTGCCTTTTCAAATTAATACAGTGTGTTGATAATATATAATAATTATACACATAAAAGGCGTGAATTTGATTTGATTTTTTATGTGTTTAAAAGATCGATGTAGTAAAATGTTAGATACCATTTAGAGTGATATTAATAGATGTGTGTTGTTTTCTTATTTACTAGTTAATTGATAATTACTTTTATAGGCTAGGCTATGCAAAGATAGCGCAAAAATTTATAGATGTGCAGGACCATTGTAATGCTATTGTCATAATAATGCATGATTGTTTCAGTTTATGGTGCAGATTTTGATTGTGCAGTTTTTTTTACTTCTTGGTCATAAACATATTTTAAAAAATATATGAATAACATTTAGTTAGAAATAAGAAAAAATTAACACAACATTATCAATTCTATGAGTAATAAAAAAGAATCAACTTCAATACAGTTTGATTTTGGTGTTTTATTTATCAGACATGTGTCTATTCAAGTTTATACAGTTTATGTATATCAATCCAACTATCAGAGCCATCTGTTGTTCTACTTCAGGATGTCTTGGAGTTTGTTGATTTTGGCTGCAATGGTTTCCTTAGCAACGTGTGCTTGGTGATCGCCTCCTATAACGACATGTTCCTCAACCGTAACCAGGGAGAGTGAGTCCACTTATTTATTTTTTCATCTCTATATATACATGTACATTCATCCTTGGTTCATAAAGTATGACTGCAAAGTAAGATCTAAGGAAATTCATAAACTGGAATTTTTTTGAAAGATAACTTCATTACAGCTGTATTTTTGAAATTCACCATATTGTATCTTTATGCCTGGTCAAAGAATGTATGTGTGAATTAACAGCTGTATTTTTGAAATTCACCATATTGTATCTTTATGCCTGGTCAAAGAATGTATTTGTGAATTCATTATATGTACATTGTATCCTTTATACTGTCATCACACAGCTTTGACTGGAGTACAATCGACAGGTAAATGCATACTTGACAATGGTTGGTCTTACATAATCCCTTCTTCCCCTCTGTCCTCTCAATTTTCACAGACTGGGTATCAGAAATAGAGTGAGGGGGTGGTTGAAAGGCTGTACAGGTGATTGAAAGGCTGTACAGGTGATTGAAAGGCTGTAATTAAGAGTGAAGGCAGATTCAGATCTATAGGGGGTGACAAAATTGCAAGCAACATGTGCAATTAATCCAGAAAGATCGCAATATTTTAGTACTATAAATTGGTGAAGTTATTAAGGACTAAAAGTGCTAAAATGAGGGAAATTGATTTAAATACTCACAAGTAATAAAAATGGTAACCAGCCTGCTTGCTAGATCTGATTCTCTCTTTAAGCTGGACCTGGGGTAGTAACCTTAGGACATGTTCTCACGAATCACAATGCAAATCAACAAGAAAAAGTTCAAGTGTATTAACGAAATTGCCATTACAGAAACTGCATGAAGTTAAAAATCCCTAACTCAATTGTTACAGTATCCAGGGAACTTTCGTCGAGATTTAGAGTTACACTGGAGTGTAGTGACTTTGTAACAGTACAGTGTGCTCTAATATACCCTGCGTGCAGAGTCTAGTTAAACTACAGACGAAGCTCTCTTTTAAGAAGTGAAGTCAAACGAATGCAAAGGGTAGCTCTAATAAACCTTTGAGTACAGATACTTTTGCATGGGTATAAAATGGTGACTGATTGGTGATGTCACAGGTTTTTAGATGATGATGATTTTATTATGAACAGTGCTGTTTTGAAAGTAGAACAGCACTGTCTGGGCATGATTTTCAGACAGTGCTGCAACATATCACAGCTGATTATGATCATGATTTTGATTATTTTAGTTATGCATGTTCAGGTCCATAATTTAGTAGTTAGTCTATCAGTAATGTCAGTAGTTTATCAACACAAGGGCATATGCACTCTCACAGTGGTGGAAAAAAAATTTGAAGGGGTAGGGAATTGTCTGATCTTGGGAATGTATCGGGGAAAACAAGGCAGATTGGAGACGGGGATATCTTTGATATGATTTGTTCAGAGAATGGTATTTTTATTAATTATATTCCACCAATCAGATTTCAGATAACATGATCATTGGATATTATCTGTATGTATTTCTGAGGGTATGATCAAGGATTGCCCAAGGCCCATATTTGTTGATTTCTCTTGAGGCTTTGAGTATAGCTACACCACTATTGTTGCGTACTGCCTGATATTCTATGGTTAAATATATCTTTTGGGTATATGCATAAAATATCTGCATTTATTTCATATATCATATAGCCACAACTCTCTTAATGTTTAATGTATATTTTTATAGAATAAAAGAGGATTTAAAAGATATTTTTTGTAATATGTTTACAGCGACAACATAGATGGCATTGCATTAAAGAAACTGGTGAACTTCGTAAATGAACTTATGGAGCAATACTTCAACTATGTCATGAGACGCGTGCAATTAGAAGTAAGTCTATTTCATTTTTAAAGGAAACAAGCTCCTCTATCGAGCTGTATTGTCAACTACATTGTGCGATTCATATACACCCAACTCCTCTAAACATACATACAGTAAAACCTATCTTAGTGAACACCTGTCTCTAGTGAACACCTGTGTTTAGTGAACACCACTTCAAGACACATTTTACATTGACTGTATAAAATCCCTTTTCTGTAGTGAACACTTACCTACAGTGAACACATTTTGTGCCTCCATAAGGGTCACTATATTCAGGTTTTACTGTATACAAATTTTTTAGACGTAAGTCATGGGCATCATTGCATTCCAAGTTATACAAAAGCACCTTAAGTTACATTAAAGTATCGTAAAGAAATAAGCTGTAAAAGTATAAAGGCAGGCAAATAAGATATGGTAAGGTCAAAGTTATACAATTAAATCTAAAGATTATATTCACTAGATACAAAATGATGGAAACATTTCTTTCAATTTAATTCTTTCAAATTTAGCTAAATCAGTAGAATCTGTACGCCAAAAATTTTGTCATGCAAACTGATAAGTTTTTGGTAAATAACCATTGCTTTGAAATGTCCAAACATCTAAAATCTGAGAATTTGATAATATTGAAATGGTTAAGCAATTTTTTTACACTCAATTCAATATATCTAGTTCCCTCGAAACAGTTAACAACATTAGAATGCCGAATTTTAAGAAGACTGAAATTGAAAGAACCAATTGTTTAGTTGTTTGTAACCACGTGTTTTTGTGTGTACAATCATATTTCGAAAATGTCACTGAATACATGTACATAGTTTCTCTTATTACAGAGAGAGACTGGGGACAATACTATACTGGTGCGAGCCCTAGACAGATTTCACAGACGGTTACAGGCCATGAACAAACTATTGCCGGATACCGATTTTTCAAGGTATTAGTGGACTCTATAACCACCCTTCATTTACTAGTGCATATTTCCTAAATTGTATTAAATCTCATGAATCTTAAATCTTTATTATCCCATCGCACGGAGTCGTGGGGATATAGAGAAGCTGTCCATTCATGCGTTCGTCTGTTCATGGAAGCATCCATACGTGCATTTGTCTGTTTGGTTGCCTTGGCGATAAATCAAATACAGGTTGATGGATTTGGTTCAAAATTTATAGGCTTATGTCTAATGAATGTAGGACCTCTGCTCAAGAAGGAAATTTCAATATGGCCACTCAATTTAAAACTCAAATACTTGTTCAAAGATTTGGCTCAAATTTTATATGCCAATGCTTAGAGACAAAAGAGTTTTATTCAATAAGAGATTTTGAGGATGGCAACTGAATTTCAAAATGGCCGCCAGTTTTCATAAAAAACAATCTTTGATAACTGAAATAGTTGGACCGGATTTGGTTCAAATGTTATATGCATTGATGTCTTAGGGGCTCTACTCTAGATGGAATTTTCAAAATGGCAGCCATTTTAAAGTATGTGCAATTTGTTGTCTTGTTTTGAATCAATAACAAGTGCTATTGTACCCAGTTTAATATCTAAATGGAGGGAGTTCATATAGTGATAAGACAATTATATTACTTAATATATCGAGGTTATTTAATTGGAGGTTTTTGATACAGGGTTAATCTGAAGAAAATACAATATATCAATCGAGGGACCATAGGGACCAAGGGTTGATATATTGTATTTACCGACGGAGATGCCATCTATCAAAAACCAAGCATTTAATAACGATTTATTCTATACTTAGTAGATTATGAGGATTTATAGCCAAGTCCCCTATCTCAGTATCTACTCTCTGAATTTGTGACGTCGTAGATCTGATGAGCGGGTGATATATACACCCGCTCACTTCAGATATCAATTATATTCCTGCATGTTCCTATAACACTACTAATAACAATACTGGAATAAGACATAATAATTCACAAAATATTTTTAAATAGTTTTTGTTATATTTTTACAAAGATAATTGTGAGGAGACATTTTTTAATTTGTTATCAACAAGAGGTTGCAAATTATCAGAAATACCTTCTAGGTCTCTTTTTGAATGATTTTGTTTAACTCGTAGATAAGGCAAAATCATACAAAGTGTGCTTGTAATAACTGCACCACCACCCACAAAGAATGAGCCATTGTATGAATGAAGAGTATCATACATAAAACCAGCTACAGGTCCACCTAATAGCGCCCCAAATGCAACAGATGGCATCACCACACCATAACCACTTGATAGCTCATTAGGCCCTAATATCTGGCATACAATTCCTGGTGAAAGCACTCCCATTGTTGCACTAAAAATCCCAATTAATCCAGAATAGGCAAGTAATGCTCCGTATTGTGTTAGTAAAGGTAGAAACACAGTTGCTACCCCACAAATGAAAATTGCACCAATAAAGAGCAGCATGGCATCAGCTTTTGGATGATGTGCTATGACTCCAAACAAAAGTAGTCCAACAATATTTGTAATACCAAATACAGAAAACAACATCGAACTTTCAGCTCTGCCAATTCCCATCAAAAGAGAGTATTCTGATAAATGAGTAAAGACTATTATGATACCAAAATGATACACTAGATAACTGAAACATAATATTAAAAAGTTCATTGATTTCAATATTCCAAAATTAAATACTGTTCCATTGTCAGTCTCCATGGCCGGTTTATCAGTTTTAAATGGACGCATTAGCACTCCACATGTACATATATTTAATCCGATCGCTGATATGATTAGCATAGCTCCGCGCCATCCGTATTTCTCATTTAGGCCCTCAATCAGTATAGGATATAGGAATGAGCCAACGCCAAATCCAGATGTTGCTATTCCAAATGCAAGTGTCCTTTTTGTCTCAAAATAGTCATTGATTATCGTATTGGCGGGGATATAAGCTATTCCTAGGCCTCCTCCTGCAAAAAATGTATGGAGTTTGGAAAATGCAAATAAACATGGTTGTCATGACGTAACAACAAAACTGTCTTCCTGTAACTGTTGTGCAGTACCCCCTGGTTTTGCTTTTGGGAAATGACTATTTGTGAGATCAATTATTCTGTTCATGCATTTATTGTTTTTAAAGAATTTAGGCCCGGTACCCATGATTTTTGACAATTTTAATCACAAGATTCTCGTATGAGATTTCAAACGAGCATACCTCCCAAGTTAAAGGGTAGGATACAAGAAATCTTTGCATTAAAGCACCCACAAATCATTGAACTAGGTGCCTAAAAATTTCATTAGCCGTTCACTGTGGGGGGGGGGGAACTCTGGTTATGAAAAGGGATCCATTTCAGTAACAAAATCACGCACCGCACAGGTCGGTTTTTCCTTTTCCATGATTTTACCAGATATACTTAAGTATATAAGTATACAGTATACAAGTATACAGAATCTTCATGGCCTTTTGGGACAAACATGTGTCAGCATCATATTGAAAATCTAATAAGCATTTGAGAATAAATAGTTCACGAGACGCCAAAATAGAATACCTCACTTTAATTACATAAACGACACGTTTAAAGACACTTAACATTTGCACTTTTCGTCTCATGAACTTTTCATTTGCTCATTAAAACTCAAACTAAAGCCATTTAACATTAAGTAAGGTGATGATAAAATTCTGTTGTAAGTTACACTATATAATTGAACTGATTATTGTAACCTAAACTGAACTTCATTTGCCAACACCAATATTCTCAAGCACATGGATCAAGGAAAAGTACTGTTTAGCTCAAATTACTCTGGGGGTCATTAATAGAAACTTCGTAAGGTTATAAATTCGTTAATCAATTTTTGTAACCATGGATATAAGGACTTCACAGTAACAGAACAATATACTTTGGGAATTTTTAACTTTATTAAGTCTCTGTTAATGGCCTCCTGGTTATTTTTCCACTAACTTTTATGAGGCAATATTTTCCATCTAACCATCATTCATAGCAATTCCTTACCTGTAATTATTCCAAATGTGATATACAGGTGATATATATTAGTGGCAAATGCACTTGTTCCGAGACCAATTGCAGTTATAGCACCACCCAAGATAACCACTGGCCTGCTGCCATATTTGTTTGTCAACATACTGCTCACTGGCGCTAAAATATAATATTACATTTACATGCCATACTGCTCCCAGATTGGATTTAATGCACCTACCTTTATTTATGAAGATGTTGTGCTCTAGGGGGGGAGTTCTGGCCAAAAATTCTTTCATAATTATGCAGTTTTTCACCATTCTGAACATTTTCAAGTGATTTTGATCCTTTTTTGGCCAAGGTTGTCAAAAGTGAATTTTTAGGAAGTGACCCCAAATCTTGGCTACGGCCCAGTACATTGATAGCCAAAAGTAAAAGGAACAAAACTCATTTATTAGGTTTGTTGTTGGCTATACAATACATAACATAATGATGTATTTTTATGACAGATTACATTACTTAATATAACAAAACTTTTTGTTGATAGGGCTAACAACCACAAGCAGTCGTGGTGAATAGGTGGCTCATAAATGTTTTATTAATTAAAGTATATGTCCTGCAACAAGCTATATATTTCTTACTGTATCAGGGGTTTCATTAGCAGCAAGCAACAGGTGATTTTCACTGGTTGTTTTCACAAAATTGCCTGTTGTTTTTAGGAACTTTTCAACTTTTCTCAAGTACTCAAATAAAAGTGTTGATTGATGAGATAGGATGTGCCGCGGTATCTCTCGTATGATATTTGTAAATGACCTTTATAAGGGGCCGAGCAAATATTTAAATGTCTTTCAAAAAACATGATTAATTAAGTTAGCTGACGAAAGTTAAAATGTTGATTATATGCAGCATACAACTACTAGCATAGCCGTAGCACCCGCTACGCTGGGTACGCACAGGCATACCAGATGGTTGCAAATTCGCTCTAAATACAACCAAATTTCAAAATTTTCCTTGGGGAGAACCAGACATCCGTAAACGCTCGTTTTTTGCTACGCTCAACTATTGTTCCCGCGGTGATGGACTACTTCGAAATATAGCGCTACGCTTATGACTAGCATACTAATATGTATAACTGCTATTAACAACACATTCTCTTACATATCTGTCAAGTGTTCTTAATGACCCCTAAGTGCTTTAGTATGAAAATCTGTGATAACCTACCTATGAAATTCATACAAGCTCTATTCAATGATCCAACCCAAGCTGTCACTCCTGCAGAAGCTTTAAATGTATCGAGAAATATGACAAATGTCACCCCGATTGTGTTGATGATTCCAGCAAGGAAGACGTGGAGCATAAACGAGCAAAATACAATCAGCCATGCGTACCCTTCATCTTTTTTGTTTGGAGTTTTCGATGAATCTTCTTTGTCTTTTAAGATCTGCCATACTTTAAATGAGTTCCCCTCCGTTCTATTTCTAGATGCTTTAAGTTCATCCTTCTTGTCTTCCATGACTTTTGTGAAACGTTACTGATTGATCTCATACCTTCTTCAATTAGTCCGTTTGATTTTTTCCTCATGCTGTGTTTGTTACATATGACCAGTTTAAATCAACCAAGTAACATTATTATTGTATTTTTCCTTAGTGAGTAAAATGTAAAGTATTTGTCCTTAACTGTGCTACAATCATGTTGAAACACATAGAAATACTGTGATTTATAAACCTTGTCAATTTCATGTTACTTGATTTAAATATTTGGTTGAATGATAAAGATTCATCTGTTAGCCAAGTATACGCTTCTATATCTCTGTTTGAACTGAACATTGTTACATGATTATACAGGGTGTTCAAAAAAAACGCAACCCAAAGAAATCGCTATATCTTGAAAAATACTACTGTATAAGATTACAATTATTGCATTCAATAGTTAAATGCTAATAGGCTAGATGCAAGTAAAAATAATCTTGATTTACGTCATTGAATATTCAAAATTCAGTCGAAGTGATGCCATATTTGAAATCTGCATGTACGAGGCCCGATCAGAAAGTAAGTAACCAACTGCTCTCATTTTTTCGTACTTCATTCAATCACATTGATTTTTTCACAGATGATGTAGAAAATATTAACCTATTAAAGAAGACCAAGGACAATTGGTTAGCGTCAATGCCATTGTTATTGCTGTTGCTATGGTGATGATTGTTTTGGGTAGGTGGGACACCCTTTTGTAAGCGGCTTTGAAAGATGATTTGTAGAGTTTTTTACATGCTGTATTCCTCCAAATGACCTAACAATTTTTTATACAATACTGAATAATTTGTTTTATGTATTATCACAATGGTAACTACGAGGGTATATCTGTCACAATGATGGTCATGATTCAGTCGCAGTTTCAATCCAGTCAAATGTTGCTGAAGGGGAATTTTACTGGCATGACGTCAATGGTCCACCTCCTCAGAGCCAACATTACCGAAGATACAGTAGATCAAGCCTTTTCCATAGTCACACAACTACCCCAGGCTCACTATTCCCCAGACCTGGCCCCATGTGACTAAATTCTTTCCAGATGCAAAGATGTTGTTACGGAGAGTCCGTTTGGACGGCAATAAAGCCATAATTTAAGCTTTCAATGGCAGTTCTGCAGTCATTGAATGGTGACATGTTGCACTTCTTTAAGGACAGAGAGAAACATTGTCTCAACTGCATTGACCTTGGTGGTGAATAATTTGAAAGAATATAAGTTAAAATGTAATCTTACATGTGAATTTGATACATTTGGAGGTATTACAACATGTAGAAAAACTTTACAAATTATCTTCAAACGCGACTTAAAACAAGGTGCCCCACCTACCCAAAACAATTGTCACCATAGCAACAGCAATAACAATGGAATTGACGCTAACCCATTGTCCCTGGTCTTGTTTAATAGGTTAATATTTTTGACATCATCTGTGAAAATTTCAATGTGATTGAATAAAGTATGAAGAAATAAGAGCAGTTGGTTACTTACTTTCTGATAGGGCCTCGTAAAGGTACGTTGAGAAATATGATTTCAGAAATTGTTTATCAACTTTGAAAATTAAATTTTTTTGAAAATGTGATTTCTAGTTAGGGGAGATTCCCCATAAACCCCTAATGTTGTAAAATCACAAAAAGTGAAATATCTTTTCTTGTAATGGACAGATAATATTTTGTTTTACTGGACATATTTAAGAAGGAGGGAAAGTATCGCAACAGATTTCGGACAGTCATATGTTGGATTTTGGCTATTTTCTGATGATTTTAACAGGTGCATATGTTAGGCCAATACATTATCTCCAGGAAAAGCACTCATAGAGATGATAAAATAATTTAGACTTTGAGACATGGGAGATGCAAACAACCCACCCGCGTGTTTTTTCTGAAATGTTGTCCTGATTTTCAACCCCTTCCACCCCTGCTTTTTCAGTTTTTGTTGCATCAATATGCTGCATTTTGACACACGGTTAACCCATTTAAAGGAATAAGTGAATAAATTTTATATGCTGATACCTGGGGACAAAGGAGCTCTGTTAAAGAAGAAATTTTCAGTATGGCTGCTATTTATCAAAAGAATAATTGTTAGCTGGGATTTGCCACTCTGTAGAGTTGCAGTTTTTCTAAAATTATTTGCACCTGAAATTTTATACATGTTCTAGATTTAAACACAATGTCATAATAACTTGATAAATGATCATCACTTTTAACTGAGACATCAATTTCATTATGTGGAGTACTTGTATTTTTGAGAATATTTTTTTTGAAATTTCAGAGCAGGCACTGACATAGTATCAAGGGCATCCAGAGACAGGGTTAACCATTATTACGAGTCTCTTAAACAGCATTTTGCAGGTAACAGGTTTTCTTTGTTTGGCATTTTGGTAGTGACATATTGTTATGGTTTTTTTTGTGACGGTGGTTGGTGATCAACGGTTGGCGTCTGTAACAAATTCTTATAACTTCCAATAACTTAAGAAATACTGCTTAGACTTTTCAAAATCATCTGCAAGTTTTCAGAAGTTAGAATCTGACTTTATATTTAAGATTTGACCTTCAATGATCTTTTCAAGGTCAAAAAGGTTAACAAAGGTCAAAAAGGTCTGTTTTCAATTTGCATCACACCACAGCACGCCACACCCTTTTGTACGAGTTGTGGACCAATCAGTCAAACACCCTGAAGTACTTTACTCACACAAGCCAGTCAAGTCTTGACTTAACTGGGGATCGTGTCTGATACCTATTGCCTATAACTGACCTATACTGCTGACCTAATGTTGGAATTTTTTATTCAGAAATGTGTTTCTATTTTCATTCATAAACATTTTCATAATTCAGTCAATCAACATTTCAATCAACCATGAATTTTATTGTGACGTTGTTTTAAATTATGTATGATTCTTTACAGCTTAATTTTGCTAAAATAGAATATGAATTTCAATACTTGGTCACACTGATATAGGTCACACTGACCTGCATATATTTATGAAATAGTTAATTTCACAAATTAAATACCAGCATTTTTATTTAATCTTCAATTCTCTGGCAAGATCTGATTAACTATCAAACTTATAAACTATATAACTTCCTCTGACAGTTCATTATTTGATTGACAGTTCTATTTTTGCACTTTCCATATTTGGGAGTGAAATTGATGTCTATGTTAAAACTCCAAGGTCAAGCTGATCTGGTCACTCTCTAAGACATTTTAAAAACAGAGTTTTTATCAAAATGTGTTGATTTTATCTTTGTTTTTCTTAGTGAAAAGATATTTACAGAGAAAATCACCTTTCAAAGTATTCTTATCTATTAAATATAAGTTTATTTGGGAGGTTTTAATCATAATCATTCTTATTTAAAAAGAGAATTTTGCAGTATTTTATAGGGGTGTTTTGTCAAAGTTTTGCCTTCACAAATTCAGGGGTTCCTTTGAACTTTATTGTCATTAGAATAATGAGTCATACATTCAATGCATTATGGACTAGATGGAATATGAGGGGGGATTTAGAGTAAAAAGAAAAATACCATAGATGGAATATGAGGGGGGATATAGAGTAAAAAGAAAAATACCATAGATGTAATATGAGGGGGGGGATATAGAGTAAAAAGAAAAATACCAGCTTGGAAAAATACCATAGATAGAATATGAGGGGGGATATAGAGGAAAAAGAAAAATACCAGCTTGGAAAAATACTATAGATGGAATATGAGGGGGGATATAGAGAAAAAAGAAAAATACCAGCTTGGAAAAATACCATAGATGGAAGATGAGGGGGGATATAGAGTAAAAAAAGAAAAATACCATAGATGGAATATGAGGGGGGGGGTATAGAGTTAAAAGAAAAATTCCAGCTTGGCTGTAGGAGTATAAAAAGGCACCTGGTGAATAATAATGTTTTACTGTAAAATTTTAAATAATTTCAACTATTTCATGCCAAAGAATGAAAAGTGAACATGAAAAGCAATACTCTGCCAACTCTGCTGAGAACAATATCAACAATATCCTAAGCATGGAATAGGTGGGATACAACAGAATAATTGTGTATATTCCATAATTAGCATGATATTCAAAGGATAACACGTCAAAGTAAAAACTGTATTTTTTTTGTAATCAGTGGTAAAATATGATATTTTTGACAAATTTTCACTTATCGCTCGCATTTGCAGATATCATATCCATTCGTGGATAAAAATCATATCACTCATAAATCATAGGATACATACTCTATATAATCTGCAATAGCTACTCAGCATAGAACTTAATGGGCCTTCTTGTATTAGAGGACCGTGTACTACCAACTGAGCTACAGTATTAATATTAATAAAACAGACAACGATTCTCTGTTTTTACTTCTGACTTTCTTTTGTCTACAGATTGTCTGACAGATGTGCGGCAAAGTTTAGCTGCTCCACGATTGGTTGGAAAACAGGAAGATTCTACAAAGCTGTCGGATCTCCTTGCTCTTGCCCACTCCAGCGTCCTCGATCAAATGAAGTCTGTTTTGGCAAATCTACAGGTAAGTTAATGACCTTGCATAATCCCATATAACATAAATTTTTGTTGATTTTGAGTAATTTTTTCTAATTTCCTTCTAAATATGAATACGCAAGTGCCAATGGGAAAGTACTGAAAATTATGTGTTTTAGAACACAGTAAGAAAACATCTATGAGTACAAAACAGTCATAAGGAAAACAAAGCACAACTATCCCAAATCATAAACCAATGTGAAAAGAAAAAGTATCTTAAATCTAAAAATATGAAACTTAAGTGAACTCTGTGATTGTCTTGTATTTCAATATAATTTAGAATATTGACTACATGCCTGTTTGAAGGATGTCCCAAAAGAAATGAGACTGGGGCCATCTAATACTGCTCTGATCATGTTTAACAATATGCCAGCACCAGTTTTGTGCCCTTTGGGACACCCTGTACTTTATCTTCTCTCCACTATTTTCTACTATGTCTACAACCAAGAATACTAGAATATTGAGGAATATACCAGTGTTTGTTATATTTACAGGCATTTATTGCATCTGATATCACCTTTGCCATGAAGCCTTACTTTAGAGGTCCATTCTGTGTCCAGGATGTGAGAGAAGGCCTAGCAGTGGCATACATGAAACATATCTGTGATGTTTGCAATGTAAGTATGCTGGCCCGCAGCCAGCTTTTGCCAAGGTGGAATCACTCTTTGAAAAATTCCAGTTGGGTTCGATTTTTACAACTTTGCCAAAAAATGGCCAAAATCACTAGAAAACTGCTCAGAATAGTGAAAAACTGTGTGACTTTAAAATAATTTTTGGGGGGAACCCTGGCTATGGTCGAACCCTGGCTGGAACGGACCTGGTAGTCTTTGCTGTGCACAAACATCTAATAATCCACTATATTCGTATCTTCTTCTCAACATTAGAATGTTACCTAAAATTATCAATGTATTGAAAAAAACAAGATTATTATCTGTGTCATTGGGCATCTGGTAATATTGCAAAGATGGCCATGCATTGCCCTCAACAAAACAAAATATTTGGATAAAATATCTCAAGTTTTCATTATTTCAGGAATTCTGTGAACAGACAGGAGAGAAGGGATCTGCTCCACCAGCGTTGCTCCTAATTCTTTCCCGAATCTGCATAGACTTTGAGAACTCAACCGTCAACTATTTGGTAAGTTAATTTTTCACAAAATTCCTTCATTTTTGAATGCTTCAAGTCATAATATTAAGAATTTTTTTGAATGTGTTTAAACTGGAATGAATATCTTAGGCATTGGCATTTTCATTAATGATTAGATTTTCTCATTTTATTTTTCTGGTTACCTTGTTTATATACTGCCCTCTTCGTACTGGAACTGATTGCGATTATTTGTATAGCATGTGTACATGTTAATTGTGTATATATGTTGCAGCTGACCTTGACAGATGAGCAGTTTATGATCACTGATAGATCACAGTTGACACAACTGACAGAACTAACTGATATATTTAAAGACACTGCACAGAAATTACTCAATCATTATGTAAAAGTGCAGGGCCTGGCTTGTTCTCAGGTAAGTAGTAAAACCTGTCTAAGTGGAACATCTTTGATACCTCTAAAAAGTGTTCCACTTGGTTGGTGTTCCATTTATAAAGGTGCATTTAACATTAAGTCAGCTGGTCTTGTGGCTCTGAAAAGTGTTCCACTTTACAGGTTTCTCTGTATTTCATATAACTTATAATGCTATTATGCTGTACCTCATTTACATTCAGTTGGTACAAAACACACTGGCATGTAGCGGCCCTGATATCGATAAATTCTACACGCAATATAACCCGATTTTAGATGCTTGGTTAAAACTTTACACGAAAAAGCCTCGATATCCGGGCATTTACTCTTACACTGAACTGAAAATAGCATCGTCTAAACGTGTATGTCTTGGCTTCCGGGTAAGTTTATCAACATTTATACTCAATTGAAAGAGCAGTCGTGCTTATATCGTGTACCAGTTTGATTGTTTTATATGTGTGTGTATTTATAATATGATAGCCTAGTAATACCGTGTCGTTAGAACAAGTGCTAGATATCGAACTGATGACCTGAAATTAGATTATTGGACTGATCGCGCATCTGATATTAGATGATTAATTTGCATTGAATCTGATATTAACTTGCAACCAAATACCATAGTAAATACAATGACTTTACATTAGAATGATAACACGGCCTCATATTCTAATTCATTATACGTCCATTGCAGGCCAAAAATGTTTCAATGTGGATATTGTAATGCACACGATAATACATTCGATTCGTATATATTGATCATACATCAATATCCTAGATGCGAGTAGAAATAATCTTGATTTACGTCATAAAAAATTCACAATTCTGTCAAACTGGTGTCATATTTGGAATCTACATATAAAATTTCATCTAAAAATGTGGTTTTGAAAATTTAATTTTCTTTGACAATGTGATTTCTAGGTCGGGGAGATTCCCCATAGACCCCATGTTGTAAAACTACAAAAAGCGAAATATCGTTTCTTGTGGGCAGATAATATTTTCTTTTACGGGACATATTTTAATTTGTATAACTATCACATACATAAGGGTAATTTCAAAAGTGAACCACTAAAACTGATGCATATTCAAGTTTAAGGGAATTTTGTAATACCCTGCCATGTTATTTCCCCCGAATCAGCCATCTGGTGGCGAAACTGGTAACTACCTACTCGCATCTGAGTAATTGAACATGGAGATTTTCCTGTACACTTTTCCCAAACATGTGGAATATGTTACGCGGTATATGGCATACATTCATGGTTGCGCGGTATTTGTGATACGGGTGAATATGCCATACTCACCTGCGGTATATGGCATATTCTGCAGGTGAGTATGCGATATTCCGCAGTGAATATGCGATACATTGATTTCAGTGAATACCCGATACTCACCTGCGGAATATGTCATACTCACTCGCGGAATATGCCATATACCGCGGGTGAATATGACATATACCACAGGTGAAAACGTGATACAGAAAGCCTTGATTTGATTGGTTGCGAGAATCGACTCTAAATGTAAAACTACGCTGAATTACCGATATAGTTAGTGCGTCGAGTACTAATATATAAATCCTGGATTGATTGAGTAAGTTTATTACGCGAGATTGGTGACTGATACTTCTGCTAAGTTAATATATTCAACACACAGTGCCGTTGATTCGGTAATCATTATAATAATCTATAACGTTTTACTTGAGATGCAATTGACAATTGCGTACTTCTGTATCACGTTCTCATTGGTTAGTGTGTATGCCATATACCGCAGGTGAATCTGTCATACACCGCAAGTGAGTATGCCATATTCGTTGCGGAAGATGACATATTTTTGTATCGTGTTTACCGCGTAATAGAATAGACTAGATGCGAGTAGAAATTATCTTGATTTATCCTATGCCAAGTAGGGTTTTAAGTTTAGGGAGATAGGGAGTTTAGGGATATGGTTTAGGGAGATAAGTTGGTAAGATATATCCCGTATCCTGATTTTGAGGTTTCCATATCAAGAACCTCCATATCTCCCGTCATATCTCCCGCTTCGGTGCATATCTTCCCGCTTCGGGGCGTATCTTCCCGCTTCCAAAAAAGTGGAAATGCAATAAAATGACTTTGCATATGAATGATTTGTTTATTTTTTACACCTTGTACTACTGAAAACTCTACTTGGTATAGGATAAAGCAGTTATGTACGGTCGGTTTGGATATTGGGTTCATCCCTCGTGAGATATGCACATCTACTTTCTGTCCCTACGGTCCCTCAGGTAGATATGCATATCTCACTCTGGAAAAACCCCATATCCAAAACCTCCCAGTACATAACCCTTATTTATCCCATGGTTACAAGGATATAGATCGAATATCACGTGAAGATATAATTGATACGTGGATGAAGATATCATATTTTAGCAAACAATTCCCAAATCATCGAATATCACTTTTGAAACCATCGAATATCACTTTTTGAAAGGTGATATTCGATGGTTTCAAAAGTGATATTCGATGGTTTCAAAAGTGATATTCGATGGTTTTGATTTTTTCAATTTTTTTATTAATTCAGCAAAACGATTGTTTATATATTTATTATATATTTTTATTTTTTGGGATCTTGTTTTTACGGCGTTCGCATTAAATACAAACCACTCTTTTACGTCACGTATATGACGTTCGTTGAATTATCGCAATCAAAATCTCAGACGAAATGGAATTTCCATTGCAATTTATCTGACTATTCAATGTTCGCTGGATAATAATTCCCAATGGGATAAACGGACAATCCTATGGTTTTTCAAAAATATCACTTATATCCACTCATGGATATCAATATCTTCACTCATTCGCTGCGCTCACTCGCGAATATATCAATATCCACTCATGGATATAAGTGATATTTTTTCAGAGCCATAGGATATTCCTATATTATTCCATAGTTAGCATGATATCCATAGGATAACATGTCAAAATAAAAACGGTATTTTTGAAATCAGTGGTAAAATATGATATTTTTGGCAGAGGAGGAGGGAAGTTAGTGCAACAGATTTTGGACAGTCATGTTTGATTTTGGCCATTTCCTGGAGATTTAAACAGGTGCATATGTTAGGCGAGTGCATTAGCTCCAAGAAAATCACTTCTAGAGATGATAAAATAATTTGACTTTGAGACAGGGTATATGCAAACAACCCACCCACATGTTTTTTCTGAAACGTTTTCCTGATTTTCAACCCCTTCCATCCCTGCTTTTTTTATTTTTCTTGCATTAATATGTAGCATTTTGACACACAGATAATCCCTTAAAAGGAATAAATGATTCCTTTTAGATAAAGTGGAAAACAATATTTCCCATGTTATTTTCCCATAGGAAAAACCATTGCTTTCAGCTAAGTTTGGTCACCCATAATGGGTATCTTTAAAACCCCTGAAGGAATCACTTATTCCTTTAAAGTGGTTAACTATGTGTCAAAATGCAACATATTGATGCAAGAAAAATTGAAAAAGCAGGGGTGGAAGGGGTCGAAAATTAGGAAAACATTTCAGAAAAAAACATGTGGGTGGGTTGTTTGCATCTACCCTGTCTCAAAGTCGAAATTATTTTATCATCTCTAGAAGTGATTTTCCTGGGGGTAATGCATTGGCCTAACATATGCAATTGTTTAAATCCTCAGAAAATGGCCAAAATCCAAAATATGACTGTCCAAAATCTGTTGCACTAATTTCCCTCCTTCTTTTCACTTAACCATAGCATACGGTGTTTTAGCCATGACATACATAGGGGTTATGCACTGGGAGGTTTTGGATACAGGGAATATCCCGAGGGATATACAATATATCTTCCCGAGGGACCGAAGGGACCAAGGGAAGATATATTGTATATCCCAAGGGTTATTTCCTGTATCCAAACCGACCATGCATAACTGTAGGTATTCCATACCTGAAGAGGTTTGAAATAATAAGCATGTATCCCATATGCTCTGGTGTGTTTACTTGCAAAATATGTTATCATTTTCAAAAAAATTCAAATTGTTTCCATATTTGTTTTCAATTTTTTTCAAAAATGAAAAAAAAATCCCAAAATTTTTTTCACATTTTTTCCCAATTTTTTTCACATTTTTTGCATAATTTTTTTCAGAATTATCAACATTTTTTCAAAATCTTTTTACACAATTTTTTTTCAAATTTTTATTTTCAAATTTTTTTTCCGAATTTTTTTTTTTCAACATTTTTTTGCCGGTTGATATGTCCCTGAAACCTCATCAGGTATGGAATACGGCGTCGTATGCCATGGTTTATGGATTTTTGCTACTTCAGACTCAAAACGAGGCTAAGTGTCAATATCGCCGTATCGTTTGGAAAAATCGTTTTAAATCACTTAATTCCCGACGATTCTGATGATGACTTTAACTATGGAATATAAAGAACATCCTATGATTTACTCGTGATATGATTTTAATCCACTCTCTCGCTACGCTCACTCGTGCAGATATCATATCCATTCGTGGATAAAAATCATATCACTCATGAATCATAGGATATCCTCTATTTAAGATGTGATATTCGATAGTTTAAAAGTGATATTCGATGGTTTGTAAATTGTTTGCTAAAATATGATATCTTGATCCACATATCAAATATATCATCATGTGATATTCGATCTATATCCTCCTTGCAACCATGGGATGAAGCTTTACGTCCCGCTCCAAGCGGGCAGATATAGTATATCTGCCCGCTACGTCATAATCGCCGCTTGCATATTTGTTCATAATTTGTAACGTTCGCGGAATGACTGTAAACGGCAATGGAGAAAACACAGACAATCAGGGTCTGTTTGATAGTTAAAGGCCCCATATAAAGTTTAAACCACTTTGGCTTACATTGTAGTCTTACCCAATGTTATCAAAGTGTGATATGTGAAACTTTTTTTTAAGATTTCAAAAAGTGGTTTTTGATAGACTTTTTGTTCCAAAATTTGTGAATTTATTTAAAACCAACTTTTAGAGGTCACTCATATCTTTTAATTAGCCACAATTCATACCAATGCATAGCATTCATCCTCCAATGTTTTTTGCCGAAAAAATTAAGAAAATCGGTTCATAAATAAGCGAGAAATGAACTTATCAGTGCATGAAAATGGTTCTGAGAAAAATGCATTTCAAAATTTTAGTTCTCATAGAAACCAATGGTACAACGATATCTAAAACATAATTTATTCTTCCTTTTTACCTGGTTAGACAATCAACATTGGTTTTTTATGAAAGTCTAACATATTTAGAAAAGATTGAAATCGAAAAAAAAATTTCAATTTTTTTCAAAAAGTTTTTGGTACCTTAGTGACATCACTAATGCTTCAAAATATTTTTGATATGTTAAAACATTGAAGTGGCCCATTAAATATGGCATTTTATTATTGAAATAGTGTGTCCTTTTTTCAACCTTTGCATTGGTGTTAAAAAGATAATCTTTTTTGAAATGCATTAAGAAATATTTGATGATTAAGAAATTTCAACTTTTTTTGAAAAATGGCGGGAAATTTGAATATTTGAGAAATGAAATGCTCACAACTTTTTTTTCAATTTTTTTTTTTGTTCAAAAATCTCTGAAATCACTTTTTAAGTCCTGACAAATAGTAAATGAATGATAAAAAAATATTTTCAAACTTGAGACGGGGACTTTAAAAAAGGGAAAGAGCATCCACTTAATCAATAAAAAATTCGAGAAAATAAATATGGGAATATTTGAGAGAACATGAAAATCCGCCCACGGCCAAGAAAACAAAACTGGACATGAATATTCTAAAATGTTTCCACGATTTAACAATGTGAACCAGATGACCAATATTGGTATGGGATAAACATATTATCCTATAGTCGGTTCAGGATATTGGGATTATCCCTTGGCCAATATATAGGGGTTATGCAATTGGAGGTTTTGGATACAGGGAATATCCCGAGGGATATACTATATATCTTCCCGAGGGACCAAGGGAACATATATTATATATCCCTCGGGATATTCCCTGTATCCAAAACCTCCAAGTGCATAACTGTTGTATACAGTTTAGCATGATATGTACTTCTTTCTGTAACTGGAATACGATTCTAATATACAAGCAGCACATACGTATTCCCGGGGAACCATAAATATTTTGTGTAGGGTGTGGACATTTTTCTTTTCATTTCTCTAAAATCAGATTATTCTCATAAAATTCATACAAAGTTGGGCCTAAGCCTCTATTTTCGTATTCTGCATGTTAAGATATTTATAATGTAAAACCTAAGAGATAAATTCAATGTCTTCAGTTGAGAATAAGTATAAGGTAAATGTGTGAATTCTGCTTGTTGTTGCACTATTTTTATAATAAACAAGGTTCGATACGCAACACTGAATAGACTGCAGTCATAGCTTAGTTGTAAAGAAAACAAAAGAAGTTGGGACGTGGTCATGCTTGAATACGATTTTGAATATATCGCCGTTTACATTTGTTGAAATCGGCCTGTATTAGTTTCAACAGGTGATCGGTGTACAAGGGCATATATTTGAGTTATTGGTTTAACGATAAGTATGACCTATGAGTGGGTAATGTTTTACAAATGCATGAAACAAATACTCCAATGGCCTAATCTCAATTTTCCTGCATAAACTATTACATTGAAATGATGGTCATTTGCTCTCTAACTTCCGCACCGCATACGTAACTTCGTAACAATTCAATAAGCCAAGACAGGACCGCTATAATCGCTACATGCCAGTGAAAACAAGACAACAACTTGCTTTTATAAGTTCTGGGTTCATTCAGGTGCTTTCATTGGTTAATACTTCTGTCATTTTAATTGAGATCTATAGATATTCAGGGTGATTTGACAGGGGTTGATAAAGTCTCAGTTACATTTTCTCTATGGCGGGTGCATGGCAGCTATAGTTTCCAAAAATCGTATAGAGAATCTGCATCATACTGCTTATCCCTATATTTTATGCTGCATATTTCTCTCAATTTTGGAAAGCTACATTTGCCATGGACCAAATGTAACTGAGGCTAAAGTGCCCCAGTTTTGGGAACATGTTCAGTTCAGGTTAAATTTTAGATTGACGGGCCTTTTGCCCCCAACACCCAGTACACTATGAGCTTGTTTTAAAATTTAAGTCCCCAGTCTTACAATGGTCACACAATGATTGAAGAAAATACTTGGAGAAATTTCAGAATTCTTGAATTGTTATGGCCTCCAACTTTTTTGTGGACAGTACTTGCCAGTTGGTGTTAGGTGGTAGGCATTTGGCATCTGTAACAAATGGCTGGTGTTGACATTTTGCATGTTAATGGCTTGTTTCCTGTATCATCGTAATATTTTGCATATTATTTCATCAATTACAAAAAGAAAAAAAATTCTAAAAGGACCTTTACATTTCAGATGTTGAGAAAAAGTGTTGAGACTCGTGATTGGTTGAACACCATCGAGCCACGGAATGTGCGAGCTGTCATGAAACGTGTAGTTGAAGACATAACAGCCATTGATACACAGGTAGGAAATGGCTCCTATATTTATCCCATTGAACGAAGTTCGGAGGAATATACGGAATGCCTCCGTCCGTCCCTCCGTCCGTCCGTCCGTACGTACGTCCGTACGTCCGTACGTCCGTACGTCCGTACGTCCGTACGTCCGTACGTCCGTCCGTACGTCCGTCCGTCCGTCTGTCCATCCGTCCGGGCAATAACTCAAATACCGTTGGCCCGATTTTGTTCATATTTTGTACACATATATCCTATGGGAGTAGAAGTTCTGCTCGGAAGCCAATTTTCAAAATGGCCGCTCATTTCAAAATGGCGGCCATTTTAGTGCCGAATTTACAGCAATTTAGGTGCAATATGTAAAACTGTAATAGCAATATGTTTTAGATGTAAAAAAATTATATAGGACATTGATAAAGCTAGAAATGTAGATATTAAAGAAGCACATGGCAGCCATCTTGAAAAATGCGACCTTTACTCGTCATTTTACGATTTTTGCTGTAACTCAAAAAATAGTGGAGCGATTTTGTTCATATTTGGTATGTGAATACTATAAGCATTGCACACTGTCTAAAGACACTTTTGGTAGAAGGCGGCCATTTTGAAAAAAATGTTGAAAAATGGCCGCCATTTTAACATATTTTACTATAAGGGTCAAGATTGCAGTAAAAAATCCCATTGACGATCATTATAACGTTTCATTTCATAATATATTCATGGGCACAGATCTAGCTCAGCGAAACAGTGCCCAGTGTTCACTGGAGTCTTGTCTAGCTTGCCGTTACAAAATAAGCATACGGTGACCACACCGTTTTTGAGATAACTGAATCTGGAGAGAGCTACCACCGTAAAGCTATCCGTTTCAGAAAATTATTCTGCTCTACATAGTCTCAAAAATCACTCCGCCATCTATAAAAATTCTGTTTCTAACCAAACTTGTAAATGTTTCCTGATAGATTAGTACTTACCCTATCGAGAATAAACCTTGATTCATTTATCTAACACTAGATGGCGCTGCGACGGGACAGAAAAGGAGAAAAAGCTTTTTATACAGAAAACCAAATAACCAACGGTAACCGCTAGTATCCCTACTCCGGACTATATTCTAACTCGAAAAGTAGTGGAGCGATTTTGTTCATATTTGGTATGTGAATACTATAAGCATGGCACACTGTCCTATGACACTTTTGGTAGAAGGCGGCCATTTTGAAATTTTTTTTGAAAAATGGCCGCCATTTTAACGTATTTTACTATAACTCGAAAAGTAGTGGAGTGATTTTGTTCACATTTGATATGTGAATACTTTAAGCATGGCACATTGTCTAATAAAACTTGGGGAGTAGTCAGCCATTTTGAAAAATGGCCACCATTTTTATGTGTGTTATTTTACAAGTACGTGTGCGATTTTTCCAAAATTTTAGAGGTGGCTACTAAAAAGCATATAATTTCTTCTGATGACAACTTGGCTAGTGAGCAACCATTTTGAAAATAGTGGTCTTTCTGGTGTGTTGTTTTATGATATTTGCGCTTCGTTTGTAAAAATGCCAACCATTTCAGTTCGATGGGATTTGCTACGCTTTGGCGTTGCCGTTGTTCTGGTTGAAATTAACGCTAGACTTCATATCCCATAGAGATATCACCATTTGAACATTTGACATCTCATTTCTTCTCAGCTTTGAAATGATATAATGAGTTGGATTTGGTGATCCAAGAGACCCCGTGTTTCTGGTGAAACAGAAGAATGTTATGAGAATCAGAGTGCAATTTGCAAATTGCATATCCAGTTCAACATTATATGTGATACAGGTAAATAAGATAATAAATTACAGGATAAATGTTTAATAAATAAATATATATTATGTTTTTGACCCTCAGGTTGGCCAGTTATATGAAGAAGGTGTTCGCAAAGAGAGAAGTAGCGACTCCAGTAGGAGGACGTTTAGTTACCATAGCGCAGCAAAACAACAGAAAAATTGGAACTTTGCATCTAGGTATAATATTTTTTCATATTCTCATCAAATCATTGTTATCAAGAGGGCTGTAAATACACCCTCATGAATATGTGTTTTGCCTTTACCAATGAATAGATTTATAACAAGAAGGGGTTGACTGACTGGGAAGTGTAAAAGGTATGAAGGCCTCCAAAACATTAGCTGGAAGAGATAAAAAAAATTTATTATTGAATTATGGAATTGCCCATTCATCCCTCTCTCCATCCATTTGTCTATTTGTCCATCCATCTGTCAACAAAACTGCTGTTTCTCTGAATTTATGTCTTTCATGGGGTCAACACCACTGGTACTGGTACCTACATTTGCCTCATTTTGGACAAATTGCCTTTTTTGTTGACAAAATTACCGTTTTTTGTCAAAATATAAGGAATTACCATGTGATCCACCTAATAATTCCATTTATGTCACAAACAGAAGTGGGGACATATTTTCCAACATTTTTGTGGCTGCCGGTATTCAGCAGTTGGTGTTAAGCATCTGTAACAGCATTTGGTGTTCAGCATCTGTAACAGCATTTGGAGTCTGTATCAGTGGTCAGCATCTGTAAGAGATGTACATTTTGCGTGTTAATGACAAGTTCTAAGGATTTAGGATTTAGAAGTAAAATTTTTTCTATTTGATGTTATATCTGTCTCTTTGTTTTCAGTTCAATAGATAACAGTCTAATGAGCAACATACAGAAACTTTTCTCAGAAAAGATTGAAATATTTACCGCTGTTGAGTTCTCAAAAGTTTCCGTCCTGACTGGGATCATTAAAATAAGTCTAAAGGTAAGTTTTAAGGTCACCTAATAGTAGACCATCCAGTGCTCATCCTACTGTTATTATCAGTTTGATATTTCAATATCACTTAAAATGAAACATCAATATCCCTCATTATATCCATATTGTATGATTTTCAGACATTTTTGGAATGTGTTCGTCTGCGCACATTCGGAAAGTACGGCCTCCAGCAGATCCAAGTAGACACACATTACCTACAGCTGTATTTGTGGAGATTCGTCTCAGATGAAAAGTAAGTGATTATTATTGTTACCTTTGATGGGAGTGGGGTCTAACAAGATATTAGCCATAGGAAAACTGGTCTTATCACAAAAATTAAAATTGTGCTGCAGAGACAGAAATGTGCTCAAGACTAAGAGGAAAATGTGCTAAATTCAAATCCGTCTTTTTGGTCTGCTAGGAAAAAGTGTTAAGACATAAGACATGGCTCATTTGAAAGGCCTCGTTGGGCTTTTTAAGAAAAACAAAAAATCAAAATATTGAAAAGATTGTGATGAGACCCCTTTTCCTGTGACCTGGCTCATATAGTGTAGGTGCATAGAATGTTAGGTATCCAAAAGTCATTATGTCACCAGCACAAGTGGTGATATTATGTCACCACCACAAGTGTTGACATATTGTTGTAGTCTTCAACTTTTTTTGTGGGTGTTGTTCGGGATTTGGTAGATGGTGTCTGTAACAGCAGGTGGTGACATTTTGCATGTTTTTGGCATCTTGAGCCTATGAATTGAAATCACCCATGATGAAAAAGATGATCATTCTTGGATATAACGAATATCTAAGTTACAATCTTAAGCCATTTCCTAAATGGGCACTATTTTTAGAAAAATAAAACTTGCTTACTAGGTCTATTGCACAAGTAGGCAAGTGATATAGATTGTGTTAGTTACACAGAAGAATCATATTCACCTAGGAAGATCTTTCCTCAATGTCCCTTACATATTTACCAAACCTCGTTGCACAATTTATGGTTTTTAGCCAAGCTTATTACTCAGTGAGTGTATGGAAAAATCTAGATGTCGATCCATTGATCCATTCGTTCGTTCATTCTTCAACATTGATGGTACAAATTGAAACTGTTATTCATACAAGTTGTTTCTACATTTATTTTATGTGTATCCGTATGAATCTATTTTTTACCTGTCATCACCATTTCCCATTAGTCCTCCCAATTTTCGAGAGATCACTGTTTTTTATTTAAAAAAATATTTTTCTCAATATTGCAGATGCTTTTATGGTTTATTAGTTATTGTCACATACAGCGCATTTTTAAATTTTGTCAAAAAACACTGAGCTTTCTCATATACAAAGTGAATAGGTGATTTCACTGATTTTCACTGCCTTTACCTGATAATTGTAATACATGTACTATAAAAAGGTTTTGGTAACAGCTCACTGTTTGGATACAGTGGATCCTTTATACAGGGGTTTCATTAGCACCATTTTAGGGGCCTTCAACTTTTCGATGTTAAATGTATGATTATCTGTTGTTTTCATTTATTCAGCCTGTTGTAAGAAATTCTAGTGGAACTCCTGTTTATGTTTAAATTACCTCTAGTCAAATTGGCTGATGAGCAACCTTTATTTGGGATTGTCAAGTTGGCCAGGTGGTCTAGAGCACTGAAGAAGCCATGCTAGGTGCTGTGCCATAACCATAAGGTCGTTTGAGACACATGTGTTTATTCATCTTTGATCTGGATGTTTTTTTTAATGAGAGAGAGAAAAGAAGAAACATGACCTCCTTGCATCTTGCTTTTAACCATGGCTTTACACTCCTTCTCCTTTGGTCAATGCAAAACTAATGGTTACGTCAGTTTCCACGGAGACCTACCTACATGTACCACTACCAAGACATCTTGGGAAAACAAGAGTAAACTCAAAAATATTTTGCTATACGTTTTAACGAGTAATGTAAAATCACAAGAATTATTGTTGGTGGTTCGTACTTAGTCGTCCTAAAATACATACGAAGAATATTAAATAGGGTTATTGAAGCCATCCTTTATAGCCTCTGATTTTAATCCTTTAAATTCTAATTTTATTAAAATCTCAATAATTTATTTCTTTAGTGTTCTCCAATATTTTGATTACTATTTATATGCATTACATTGTGATGTGAATACCTTATATACTAAGTACACTGGCGACCCAGAAATATGAATAATCACTGCAATTTGAAAACTTCATATGATCAATAAATTTATTTTATTTTTCTATTTCAAAATGTCCTGTAAGTAGTAAATATTATCACAATATAAATGCTTGAATCCCAGGCACTTAAATTGGTTGAAACCAGAGAATGTTTCACTTTTGCCACCTTTTGACATTTTACTACATACCTATACAGCTATAGATGCTTAACTTAGTGAAAGTAGATGGCAGAGTTCATTTCTACAGATTGTAAAACGATTTTTTGTAAATTGGATGGACCTTGTTCAAATAAAAGCAATTTTAGTGAAAATTTTTGTGACAGATTTTCTCGTCACCCTTGGTTTCAAGGTCATTTCTGAACTTAATGGAAGTAGGATTCAGTACTCAACAAACTACACAATGTAGCAAAGTGATTGATATCACCTGAAATGAGATTCTCAATATCCCATTACTAGTGTTGTTAATTGCTTTGGTCAAAGATTGACCCATTATGACATTCTAAAAGCCTTTTAATGGTTTGCATTATTCTTCAAGCTCAAATGAAAACTTTGATTTCTGATCGTCTGGTTAAACGGTTTAGTATTTATGTTATATAAATAGAACAAGTGGTGGTACAGGGTGACCAAAAATTTAACCCTCGCACTTTCTAAGTTTTGATGGAATTTTCCTGAATTTTCTTGGATTTTTATGTTTAACCCTATCCTCTGAGGCGCATTTTAAAACGTGGTCAGCTACAACCCCTTATATAGATTTGGAGACATTGAGTTAAACCAATCGATTATTTATGTTTGAATGAAACTTCTTGATCGATTTAAAATCAAGATTATTTCAACCTTGATTTTGAGCTTTCAGAAATGGGCAAAGTTGCAGCACTTTTTCGCCATTTTATCTGGGAGGAAAGGGGTTAAGGAGAAACACAGTGCTGAAAAAGTGCTTCCCTGAAAACAGGAAAGTTCTAAAGTAACCTCTTCATGGTTAAGACAATTTTTCAGTCCTTCAGTGGCCTCTCCAACTACCAGTGACCATCAGAGCTAGGGCCATGAATCAATTCAAACTAACTGTGCTGACTTTGTCTAAACAAATCAGTGAGCAGAAAGTATACAATGACCATATATAGAAAAAGTCCTTCTTTCGCCAACAAACTGTGGTTGGCTTGGGAAGTTCAGAAGTTTCTCGTATTCTGAACTTTCTGTCACCTTGTAGACTGGCATTGAATTATTCACATTATTGGAAACGGATTAGTATATTCTCAATCTAAATTCGGATTCTATACATTGTAATACATGAACATGTATTTCAATGGATAAACATGATTTAGTGCTTAGGTTTGGAGAATGACAAATTCACTTTATCATCACAATTAAAACGTGAGGCATGAAAACACCAAAGATGAAGGCAAAAAAGGAAAATATGAACTCAAACAAGTCAGTAAGTGAAAAAGAGGAAGACTCTTCGATAAAAAGTATTTTGTCAACATTTGCTTTATCAACAACTGCACATGGATGTTCTCGAATTGACCAGTCGCGGTCTGTCAGTGCTAAACTTATTTGGATGGCAATATTTGTGGCATGCTTGTTTGGGGCAACAGTGTGCATAATTTCACTTTTAGAAAAGTACTTTCAGTTTCCGACTAAAGATGTTGTAGAGGTGGCAGACGATCCAATTTCATTTCCGTCTGTCAGTTTTTGTAGTTTGAATCCTTACCCATCATCTTATCGGAGCAAAATAGCAAAAATGAAGCCAGAAAATCGTTTCCTTGAGGTATATTCAACATTGGGTAACTTCGAGGCACATGTCCTTAATAAATCATTCCCGCTGTATGATCGGATGTTTCCAAATCATCACAACATAAAGTCATACAAGTGGATGTATGATAATGCCCCAAATGAGGATGAAGCTTTATCTATTGGGCATGACCTGGAAGACATTTTGCTTTCTTGTTCAATTGCTGGCGATGACTGTAACATTTCGCAAATTGAATCATTTATAAACCCATATTTCTTCAAATGCTACACCATGAATCCGAAGGATTTCAATGATTCCTCGGTTGAGCCACTTGTTCATTCTACAGGAGCTGTCAATGGGCTAAGTGCATTATTTTTCCTTGATATTGGAACAGCAAAACGGATATACAATCCAACATCTCCATTAGGAGGGAGCAGTGGTCTTCTCGTCGTTATCCATCCCCCGGGAACTCAACCTGACCCACTCCAAAACGGCTTTAATATCGCACCTGGGTTTTCAACAAGCGTTGAATTGCAGAACAAGAATCGTGAATTGCTTGGTCATCCATGGGGTGATTGTGAGAATCGTGAAAAACTTTCTGATTTTCCATATAAATATGACAAGTCGAGCTGCGAGAGGCAATGCCAGCAAAAGTTTATCATGGATCAATGTGGTTGCGTAACTTCTATTCAACCGATACCTGATAATCTGAAAAACATGTCTATGTGTGGAAAAATGGACCTCAAGAATTTAAACAGTGACTCGCCTAACATTAGCCAAATTGCAGAAGAAATCGATAAACTTGAGTGTGAGCATGCTAAAAAGAGGGTCCTCAAAAAAGACTATCCCACAGAGAATAAGTGTGATTGTCCTAGAGCCTGCCACAATACCATATATGATTACACAATCTCACAGTGTGAGTGGCCATCTGAAGGTGTCATGCTTGACTTCTACAAACATGCGATAACTCTCCGGGATATGCAGGGCTCTGGATACTTACACTCAACCATGTACAACCTCCTTGATAGCAAAGTGAACTCAAACAATACGAAGGAGAATCGTGCAAACCAAGAAATGATTAGAAAGAATTTCTTGAGACTGAATGTTTTTTTCTCTTCTTTGAATACTGAGATCACAAAGCAGGTTGTGGAATATACATTCACAGATTTGATATCTGGGGTGGGGGGAGGGTTTGGTGTTTATGTTGGTTTCTCTATTGTCACTATCTGTGAGTTTTGCGTACTTTTTGCACATCTTGTGAAGGCAATGATGAACTACAGAAAAAATGCAGTGAACGATGAACCATGGGCTTTCAAGAGAAAGTCAATGGATATACCAAGTAGCAAATAGTATCATCTATTGTAAAGAATTCATATATTAATTGTATATATTGTAAATAATTGTAAATTATTACTGGGCCTCTAGGAAGACCAGTTTTGTACTGATAGAGCTACCCAGAATAAATATAGTTTTCAAATCAAATGTAAGCACAGTAACATTAAGTTATATCACCATTATATTATATCATATTGTAACTAGGCTAGAGTGACATCTATTGTAAAGAGTTAATACTGTAACCAGGACACATACATTGTAGAGAGTATCATCTGCACATATAGAGAGTTACATATCTTTTAAAGTATTAATATTGTAACCAATACACATCAGCTAATATGAGAGCATTGGATATATGGATGATATGGCAAATGATATTGTGAATAGAGCTATGCTTGAGACACTTATACTTAGTGATGATGTACTTACTAAAGAAAAGTTGTAAAATTGGACATAAATGTAAATAACTTCATGAACACTGTTCCACAGCTGGTTGACTCTAACTGCAGTTAGTATCATTCAAGATGATGGCCAAAATTCTTTCGTTTTTTGATAACCAACAATTTCAACTGAACTAATTTGAATCTGTATTCCAAATGTATCGCCATAAAAAATTAATAAAGTAACAATTAATTGTAAACCAGGAAAAAATGCTCAGACACAAGCATTAATAGAGAATTTTCAAGAAAACACCTTCACTTAGTTTAAGTTGAACTCAAACATGATATTCACCATTGATGACACTAACTCAGATGGCCAGGTATGTATTCATCCCATAGCATATATAGCGTACCTTAGGTACTGTTACTTTGGACGTTGAACAATTAAAAAAGAAATGCAAATCTCTAGTAGACTGAAGAGGGGCCTTTGGAAGAAAAACAAATATAATATGTGTATATAGTTCTAATGCATATCCGTAGCAAGAACAATGAACACTTGAAAAATCACTAAAAGAGCGCATGATTTGTATCATTAAATGAGACCATGACTTGTATCACTTAATGAGTGCATGACTTGTACATTGTACATGTTATAGTGCGTGATATCTTCTAATTTGAAATAATTGATGCATTATAATAAGAAGCAATTGTAGAAGTTGAATGGATGGATATTCCTAATAAGGGTGTACATGTGATTAATAGATTGACAATAAATACATCATTTTATAGTTTCAGCACATTGAAATTAAGTTTTTGCAAAAGGTTATAAAAGATTAAAAGGGGTATGTTCTGGGTAAAGGACCGTGAGTTGTTTGTAGAATAAATCAGGGGATTTTTTTCATGCTTTATGCTTGTGTTTTTCATCTTAAAATTATCAATACACATTAAAACATTTTACTGACTATAAGATTGCACCATATAATTCAAAAAATATTATTTATTTTTGAGGATTATTTATGGATGAACACCCAGGTATATAATTTCTTTTTTTGAAACTTCAGAGGGCTAATCAACTCACGGTCTTTTTTAGGCGCTCATTTTGGACTTGGCTTTAAAGTCTTCTGTGCATTTCCTGTCAAACCATAGATGGATAAAGAAACTTCAAGAGCTGCTTCTTGGTATGAAAGCTGTTAACTGATTAGATTTTGGATGTTCTGGAAAAATTTAGGAGGCCATTGTGAACTCTCCATTTTGAAAACTTCTCTGTAGTCTTGCAATCATCTTCTTGTCTTGTTTCCAGCCAAATTGTTTGATGTATCAATTTGAAATTTTCAAAGATGCCTCTCGGTATGAAAGTCTATAAACCATGTTTTGGGGCATTTTTGGAAGATTTTTTAATAACACTCTATTCAAGGGTTCTACAATGTTCACTCTGTCTTGTTGTTCAACATGTGTTGTAATGGTCTTCAGGATGAATGAAATGTCCCATTGTCTTTGGGTCTTGGATCATGGTAATGGTCACTTAATGTTGAGGTATTAGACAGTGTTTCTTTACATGTTCGAACATAGTTTTGGATACTTTGTTTCCCAATTGACAATATCTGGTTGTACATTTTTCATTTTCTTCGACTGATTTTTATCGCTTTTTTATTCTGTTCCCTTTGGCACTGGTTCATAAATATTAGAAGATTTTCCCGAATTAAGTAGTTTCGATTCCACCTCCAAAAGTAGCACAATAAGACTGATTGAATTTATAAATAATATATTGAGACTAATGGAATGGTAAACCCTGGAAATTATCTACTTTTAGATAAGTGTCTATTTGAAAAATAAAGAAAATCATTATTCCTTTAATGATCTCAAATGTAGTATCATTAGTTGGAGTTTGCATGTCACTGGCCTCATATTCTGATTGATATCAATTAGACAAAGTTGATCTCTTGCACAAGGTACGTTTCTTTTTTTTCAAGTAAATGACTCTCAATTTCACTCAGAACTGTGTTTCTGGGGTGCATAATCAAATATATTTGAGAGAAAGTATTGTTGACTTGATCGAGATATAGATGCCCTTTCAAGGCTAAACCTTCATTATGTAATGTCTAGCTAAACAAAGTCAATGTTTAAAGCTAATTGAAGTGGCTTATATAGATTTAGGAATTACAAATTTCATCATAAGTATTTGAATATGTTCTGTAAGTAGTAATTAATTACAATTTAAAGGCTAATGGAAATATCTACAGTATCAGAAATCGACTAACTACACAATGTAGAAATATGATTGACGTCACCTTGAAAGAAATTCTTCAATACAATGTTATTAGTGTCATTACTTGTTTTGGTCAAAAAATGACTCTGCAAAAATTGCATGAATAAAAGATCAATTTCCCATTATGGGATTTTAAAAGCCTTTTAATGGCTTTCATTATTCTTATTTCATGATCTGAAGAAATTTTGTTTTCCAAAGAGTACCAGTAAAACTGTTCATTATTTACATTTGTATATTAAGAAATGATACAGAGTGACACAAAAATCCTACCCTCTAATTTTAAATAATTTTTTCAAGTTATATATGATCTTCAAGAATTTTCCTTGTAGATCAGTTCAATGTGAGAAACATTGCCATACATACATAGCAAAGAGAATTTCAGTATGCATTAAAACACTACATAAATGACTCACTAGAGGATTTTCTCGATAAACTTTTGAAATCTTGCAGTTTTCTGTGGGATTTGGATTTGCATAAAACTCTAAAGATTTATTTTTCTTTCTTTTTTTGTTTGAATCCAGTAAAACGTTTTCTACAATAAAAACTTTGATTTATACAGTTATGTTATTTAATGTGACTTTTTCAATTTTTCTAACTCTATGTGGGCCATGTCTCCATTGATGTTATGTTAAAAACCAACCTACCAAAACAAATTTAAAAAAAACACATTGCTAAAATGTATTTATTCAGCTTTATTCAGCAATAAAGCAACTCCCTTATTGATGGTGAAGGTAGAAATCTTAAATTCAGAAAATATATTTTTGAAAATTTTTAGATGATTTGACACAGCATGCTCTGACGATAAAATCTCAATTGTATAGAAGTTTTTGTTTAGCTACAAGCATTGTTTCAACCATTAAACTTTATGCCTATATTTATAAAAATAATTTCAAAATTGGTGTTCCATTATTGTCACCTTGTATTCAGGCAATAAATTATTCACATTATTTGTACTGTATCTCTTACTAAATTGGTTTCCATTGAGTTGTAGTTTCAATACTTGAACGGATATAGGTTTGGAAAATATGTCATTACTGCTCTAAGCTCCGGGGAGTGACTAAGTTACTTCATCATTACGTATTTTAGCTGCTGAGGAACAATAACACCAAAGATGGATACTAAAAAGGAAAATCTAAACTCGAACGAGTCAGTAAGTGAAAAAAAGAAAGAGTCTTCAGTAAAAACTATTTTGTCAACATTTGCTTCATCGACAACTGCACATGGATGCTCTCAAATCAACCAGTCGCAGTCTTCTAGTGGTAGACTTATTTGGATGGCAATATTTGTAGCATGCTTTATCGGAGCAACAGTGTGTATAACCTCACTTTTACAAAAGTACTTTGAGTTCCCAACAAAAGATGTGATTGAGGTGTCAGTTGATCCAATTACATTTCCGTCTGTCAGTTTTTGTAGTTTGAACCCTGTACCATCGTCATATCAGAGGAAAATAAACAGAATGAAGCCGGGAAATCGTTTCCTTGACGTTGCAGCAACATATCGCAACCTTGAGGCACATGTCTTAAATAAGTCGTTCCCACTTTACGATCGGATGTTTCCAAATCGACACAAAATAAAGTCATACAAGTGGATGTATGATAATGCCCCAAATGAGGATGAAGCTTTATCTATTGGACATGACCTGGAAGACATTCTGCTTTCTTGTTCAATTGCTGGCTACAGCTGTAACATTTCACAAATACAATCATTTACAAGTCCATTTTACTTCAAATGTTACACCTTGAATGCGAAGGATTTGAATGATTCCTCTATTGAGCCACTTGTTCATTCTACAGGGGCTGTCAATGGGCTTAGTGCAATATTTTTCCTCGATACGCATGATAAAGCAAAGGGGATCTACAATCCATCATGTCCAATAGGGGGTAGCAGTGGTCTGCATGTTGTCATCCATCCTCCGGGAACACAACCTGACCCAATCAATGAAGGATTTGATATCGTACCTGGTTTCGCAACAAACATTGGACTGCAGAAGAAGAGCCGAGAATTGCTTGGTTATCCATGGGGTGATTGTGAGAATCGTGAATCACTATCTGAATTACCATATAAATACGACAAGTTAAGCTGTGAGAGACAATGCCAGCAAAAGTTTATCACGGATCAATGTGGTTGTGTTACTTCTTTTCAACCGATACCTGATGATTTGAAGAACATGTCTATGTGCGGAAAAATGGACCTCAAGAACTGGAACAGTGCATCGCCGAACATGAGCAAAATTGCAGAAGAAATGGATACCATTGAGTGTGAGTTTGGTAAATTCTGGGTCCTCAAAAAAGACTATCCGGAAGAGAATAAGTGTGAATGCCCATCAGCCTGTCACAATGACATTTATGACTACACAATCTCACAATCTGAGTGGCCATCTGGTGGTATTAAGCTGGACTTCTACAAACATGTGATGCATATGCGGAACATGCGGGGCTCTGGATACATTAACTCGACGATGTATGACCTCCTGGATAGCAAACTGAACACAAATGACACAGACGAAAATCATAAAAACCAAGGAATGGTCAGGCAAAATTTCCTGAGACTTAACATATTTTTCACCTCTTTGAATACTGAGATTGTGAAGCAAGTCGAGGAGTATCCTTTCACAGATATGATATCTGGGGTTGGAGGAGGGTTCGGTGTTTATGTTGGCTTCTCTTTCGTCACTATCTGTGAGTTTTGTGTTCTGTTTGCACACCTTGTGAAAGCAATCATGAATCACAGAAACAAGGCAGTGGAAGATATACCAAGTGGCAATATCATCATTGTAAAAGAGTACAAAATGTAACCAGAGTACCAGATATTGCAGACTTCAAATTGAAAATAGAGTAACATTTATTGTAAATCAAATTGTAAGCATAGTAGCAATTATTGTAGAGTTTGAATTGTTACAAGATAAACTTTATTGTAAATAATTCAAACTGTTAGCGAAGGGGACAATAATTTTAGTTTAAATTGTTACAAGATTAACAGTGACATTTATTGTAAAGAGTTCAAATTGTCACAAGATTAACATCCATTGTAAATAATTCAAATTGTAAGCATAGTAGCAATTATTGTAGAGTTTAAATTCTTTCGATTGACATTTATTGTAAAGAGTTTAAATTGTTACAAGATTAACAGTGACATTTTTTTGTAAAAAGTTCAAATTGTTACAATATAAACATTTAATGTGAATAATTATTAAAATTGTTAGCAAAGTACAATAATTGTAGAGTTTGAATTGTTACAAGATTTACACTGACATTTATTGTAAAGAGTTCAAATTGTTACAAGATTAACATCTATTGTAAAGATTTCAAATTGTAACCAGAGTAAAATTTATTCTAAAGGGTTTATGTTGTATTCAAAGTTGCATTTATTGTAGCTAAACCAATGCACATGCATGTATTTAAGAGCACTTGTAGATATGGATCACGTGAGGAATGATATTTCAAACAGAGTTATGCTAGAGGCACTTATACTTAATGATGTTATCCAAGTACTTAACAATATATAAAAAAATATATAAAAATAGCACTTTAATTCCTGTTTAAAGAAAAGTTTAAAAATAGATCAAAAAATGGTCAAAAAAGTGTGAAAAATGTTTTTTTGCTAAAAGAAGCAGATCTGACTTTATGTCATCAGGGTATATCTGTTGCTTTGTTTACCCCATGTAAAGTTTAAATCACTTTGGCTTATATTGTAGTCTTATGTTATAAAAAATGACATATAATGATATATACATGTACATGTATATACTAATAATATATAATAAAAATGTGATTCAAAAAATGGTTTTTGAAGAACTTTGTGTTTGAAAAATCGTTAATTTATTGAAAACCTAATTATAGAACTCACAAAGTCTAACATATTAAGAAATGATTGACAAAGAAAAAATCAATTTTTGCACCCTAATGACATCAGAATGATGTCACTTAGGGCGCAAAATTCTTTTAATATGCCAACACATTTAAGTGTCACACTAGATTTTATTATTGATATATTTCTTGTTTGTTCAATCCTCACAATGGTGTTAAAAAGATAATGTCTTTTGCTATGTATAATGGAATATTTGATGATTAAAATCTCGATAATAACTTTTTAAGTCATGAAAAATATTAAATGAATGATAAAACTTATTTCCAAACTTTACATGGTGACTTTAAACAAATAAAAAGGTGGACAAATAATCAAGTGAAAAAAGCATACATCCCATTTTCATGTTGGGAAACTCTGAATTCAAAAATCAAATTGAGAGGAATAGACACGACGTATATCTGCATGTCTTGCACACTTTATTGCATGCGTAAATAGGGTTCTAATTTGAAATAATTGATGTGCTTGTATTGTAATTAGAATCTTTAGAAAGTTCTTGAAAAGGAATTATGAATATCTATTTATAAATGCAATAATTACATTAAGATACAGAATAGCACATTTATTTTAGAATCAATGTACAATGGCGATAATGTACATTGATTGATCTCACCTGTAATTTACCCGTCACATTGTTGAAAATGTGTTTGCAGGAAATATTGAGATATTTTGGTCAACATGTAATGTTAGAATTGACAACCCCTGTTCAGAAAGAAATCTAGAGATCACTGAAAAAGGTGAATAAAAAATATCAAATACCAAATGGTATATGCTATACAGTGTGTCCCAAAAGCACAACAAGCAAAAACATTGTGAAACAACAAAACCAGTGATGATTACATCAATTTCATTTAATTTACCATGAAGCAACATGTCTCCTCTTTCCAATGGTTTGTTATTTATTCACATATGACCACAGACCACTGAATAATCATTCCTTTTGCACACCTGCCTAAAATCTGCTCTGGAGCAAGTTTTAGACATTGCAAAAGAATCACAGTTTGCATTTTTCCTCCAGAACCCACAGGATTGATTCAAAGAGGTGTTCGGCCGCGACATGGAGAGACGAGTCAATCTCTGTGTGTAGAGAAATGGTGGCAATGAAAGGGGAATAGAATATAACCTTATATAATATGAGTTATCTTAAATAAGATGACAGATAATGATTGTGACGTAACTGTCTATGCCACTTCTTTTCAGCCTATTTGTAATGTTAACTGATCATTTTGTTTTAATTAAACTGGAATAAAACATACCATTTTATGAAAAGTCACTACCTTATCCTCAGAAATGCAGATTATGCTGTATAGCAAGTTAGGACGGCAATACTAAGTAACACATGCTCAAGGAGATTAACTTTCTATAGACACCAAATACATCTCTGTCAACAGAAAAATTAAAAAGCCTTGGGGTCCTAACCTTCTTTGTTTACATTCCCAAAAATGTGAAAATGTGACAAAAGTCATAACTTTTTAAAACTAAATTCATTGAAACCAATTTCACTTGCCAGCAACTGATACTGTAGTCCTTCACTGACCTGTCAATTTGGTTCATTATATCGATCAAAATAAATGATTTCAATATTTTAAAAAACTCGGTGCTAATCCACGTGTTAAAGTATGGCTATATTGTACTGAAATTGTAGGTATTATAAAGTAGATCATAAATATATAATTGTATCTTCTTTCTGATTTGTGCCATGATAATTCAAAATAACCACCCAAACCTTGAATTTGCAGTTATCCATAAAATGCATTATCATTATTTTCACAACTCAAAATTTACCTCCATTTTACATGGCCTTGAAGGTTCAGCGGTAGTCATTGATTGCTCAATCACCATGGGACCCATTGTTCTATTTGTCTTGTTTAGGCAACTCGCATAAACAAAGCCAATGTACAAAGCTTGTTCAAATGGTGGATATAGATTTTGTAATTATACATTTCTTCATCAGTATTTGAATATGTAGTAATTAATTACAATTTAAAACGCTTATTGGAAGTTGGTATCAGAAATCGACTGATTACACAATGTAGCTATTTGATTGACATCGCCTGAAATGGAATTCCTCCATCCAGTCCTATTAATGTCCCTACTCGTTTTATTTACAAAATGACACAACAGGAATGGTGTGAATAAAATATCAATTTCTAATTATGGGATTTTAAAAGCTTGTTAATGGTTTGCATTATTCCAGGAGTTCAAAAGAAAAAATTGTTTTCCCAACAGTTCCGGTAATAGTCCAAAAGCCTTTTAGTAATTTGTATAATAGAAATGGTACAGAGTGACACAAAAATCAGACCCGTCTAATTTCTTCTCGGTTATAATGAAACTTTTATGTAATTATCTTAATTGATGAGTTGGTTGAGTTCAACATGAGAAAAAGTGCTAATTACTTTCATAGTATTGTGCAATCAATATGCCTGAAAATGTTCCATCACTGACTCAATGGATGGTGAAGATGTTTTTTAAATTTTGGGGATAATTTGTCACTATAGCATGATATGGCAAAAAACACAATTTCGTTTTATTTTTGTGTCACCTTGTATATAGGCAGTCAATTATTCACATTATTGGGAAAAGGGGGTGTTATGAGTATCTATTAACAAGGTACGATTTCTTGCAGTTGTAATGTCAATATTTAACCAATATAGGCGTGGAAATTTCATCATTTATGCCTTGAGCATTTGGGAGTGACTATGAAATACGAGGAAAGTCACTAAAGATGGATACAAAAAAGGAAAATATGAGCCCAAACGAGTCAGTAAGTGAAAAAGAGAAAGATTCTTCAATAAAAAGTATTTTGTCAACATTTGCTTCATCGACAACTGCACATGGATGCTCTCGAATTAATGAGTCCCAGTCTGCTCGTGGTAAACTTATTTGGATGGCAATATTTGTGGCATGCTTTATCGGAGCAACAGTGTGTATAACCTCACTTTTACAAAAGTACTTCAAGTTCCCAACGAAAGATGTGATTGAGGTGTCAGTTGATCCAATTACATTTCCGTCTGTCAGTTTTTGTAGTTTGAACCCTGTACCATCGTCATATCAGAGGAAAAAAAGCAGAATGAAGCCGGGAAATCGTTTCCTTGACGTTGCAGCAACATATAACAACCTTGAGGCACATCTCTTCAATGAGTCATTCCCACTTTATGATCGGATGTCTCCAAATCGACTGAGAATAAAGTCATACAAGTGGATGTATGATAATGCCCCAAATGAGGATGAAACTTTAGCTATTGGGCATGACCTGGAAGACATTTTGCTTTCTTGTTCAATTGCTGGCTACGATTGTAACATTTCACAAATACAATCATTTACAAGTCCATTTTACTTCAAATGTTACACATTGAATGCGAAGGATTTCAATGATTCCTCTATTGAGCCACTTGTTCATTCTACAGGAGCTCGTAGTGGACTTAGTGCAATATTCTTCCTCGATACGCATGATAAAGCAAAGGGAATCTACAATCCGTCATGTCCAATAGGGGGTAGCAGTGGTCTGCATGTTGTCATCCATCCCCCAGGAACTCAACCTGACCCAATAAACAAGGGATTTGATATTGTACCTGGGCTCACAACAAATGTTGAACTGCAGAAGAAGAACCGTGAATTGCTTGGCTATCCATGGGGTGATTGTGAAAATCGTGAAAAACTTTCTGAATTGCCATATAAATATGTTAAGTCAAGCTGCGAGAGGCAATGCCAGCAAAAGTTTGTCATGGATCAATGTGGTTGCGTAACTTCTTTTCAACCGATACCTGATAATTTGAAGAACATGCCTATGTGTGGAAAAATGGACCTCAAGAACTTAAACAGTGCATCGCCTAACATGAGCAAAATTGCAGAAGAAATGGATACTCTTGAGTGTGAGTATGGTAAATTCTGGGTCCTCGAGAAAGATTATCCGGAAGAGTATAAGTGTGAATGCCCTTCAGCCTGTCACAATGACATTTATGACCACACAATCTCACAATCTGAGTGGCCATCTGGTGGCATTAAGCTGGACTTCTACAAACATGCGATAAATCTCCGAAACATGCGGGGCTCTGGATACGTTAACTCAACGATGTATGACCTCCTGGATAGCAAACTGAACACTAATGACACAGAGGAAAATCACAAGAACCAAGGAATGATCAGAGAGAATTTCCTGAGACTTAACATATTTTTCACTTCTTTGAATACTGAAATCGTGAAGCAAGTTGAGGAATATACATTCACAGATATGATATCTGGGGTTGGAGGAGGGTTCGGTGTTTATGTTGGTTTCTCTATTGTCACTATCTGTGAGTTTTGTGTTCTGTTTGCACACCTTGTGAAAGCAATCATGAATCACAGAAACAAGGCAGTGGAAGATATACCAAGTGGCAATATCATCACTGTAAAAAAGTAACTGGAATATAAGAATAATGTAAGCAGAGTACCATTTATTGAGAGTACAATTTATAAGCAGAGTACCATTAATTGCAGAGTTCACATTGTAAGCAGAAAACCATTTCTTGTAGAGTTCAAATTGTAAATAAATAACATTTATATGGTAAAGAATCTAAATTGTAACATTTTTAACAACTTGAAACATTTACTATATTATATTGTCTATTTATGTTGTAGTCAAAGTAGGATTTATTTTAACCAATGCAAATACATGTATGTTAGAGCACCTGTACATATGGATCATATGAGAAATGATATTTTAAACAGAGTTATACAAGAGGCACGTATACTTAATGACGGTACCAAATAGAACTCGATAGAAAACTGTAAATAGCACGAAAATAAATACACTGTAAGTTATAAGTTAAAATTAATGCATGTACAATAGCAAATTGAGAGTTAGTTTCAAAAAATGGTCACAATTTTCCAATTTGTTTGGAAAAATTTATTTGGATATCTCAAATCTTTTGTAGGTAATAAATTTAAAAAATAAATCCCATTTTTAATTCTTTTAAAAAGGAATAAAGTAAACATGCATGTTGTGAATCTCTTAATTCAATAATCAAAGTGAGATGGAATAGACACGACGTATCTCTGCATGACTTGCACAATTTATTGCATGCGTAAATAGGGTTCTAATTTGAAATAATTTGAATAGTCCTTGTCCTGTAATTTGAATCTTTAGAAGGTTCTTGAAAAGGAATAATGAATCTAATATAAACACAATAATAACATTAAGATTCTAATTTGAAATAATTGATATAATTGTTCTGTAATTAGGATTTTCAATGTACAATGTCGTCAATGTATATCCTGCGTGCAGAGTCTAGTTAATTTAGACGAAGCTCTCTTTTAAGAATTGAGGTCAAGCAAATGCAAGGGGTATCAATGTACAGTGTACATTAAAAGAAGTGATCTCCCCAGCATGGATGATGCACTCTGTTGACAATTTGTCACACCACACTCCCAGGGATTCACACTGTTGAAAATGTGTTTGTTGAAAATACTTTCACCAAAGAATTATATTTAAACATTCAAAATAAAAAGTATAGACATGCATTAACTAGGCTCAGGATGAGTTCACATAAATTACAGATAGAAGTTGGGCGGTACTCAAAACCAAAGCCAAAACCCACAAGTGAAAGGTTGTGTAGTGAATGTGGGGTAATTGAGGATGAGCTTCACTTTATCACAAGCTGTACAAAGAACTTAAAACACAGAGAGCTTTTGTTTGAAACTTTAGAATCTGATCTGAAACAGTGCAAAGATCCAGATAAACTGTTTGAAACTATTATGTCTAGTAAAAGCTCTCATGTTAACTTACATTTAGCCAAATTTGTATATCACTCTTTTAAAAATTTGGAAAATGATTAATATTATGTAAACATTTTTTTAAAACACATGTATTATGGATACACCACACTGATATCATACCCTGACATGTGAAACTGATGTAAAGTAGTTTTGTAGTATGTAGTTGTAGTTTGTAGTTTTTTGTACACTGTAGTGACTGATATGTCATTTACATGACATGGTTATTGAGTCAATAAAAGATATATATATATCCCACATCATTTTGGACTGAATGCTGTATCTTGTATGAGTATTTTGATCACAACTATTTTTGATGTAATGGGTATTGGATATCAATTTCTGATATTTTCTTCAACATTTTTGTTATGGCTTCTGTATGAATGAAATGTCCCTTGCTCTTCTGGTCTTGGGTTGTGATATTGGATCTTAAATTGATGGGGGTATCAGGCATTGTTTCTTTTCACTTTAGATCATGATTTGTGATGTATGTTTTCGTTTTCTTATGACTGGTATATACTAAGAGTTTGCTTTTCCTTGTTATGTTCTAATTACAATTTTTGGTCCTTTCCCTTTTGGTGCTTTTGCTTCGATATTTGCATGAAATATTGAGACATTTTGGCCAACCTGTCAAGTTAGAATTTACAAACCCCTGTTGAGAAAAAAATGTTAGGAGATCACTGAAAAATGTATATACAAAATATTTAAAACATGCTGTATAAAGAAAGTGAGACATAATTATCAGAGAACTTTGTCTTTGTGATGATGTATTTACATGCAAGAAATGAAATTTGAGAGTTTTGTTAGAGGTTTATGTTTATATAATGAATAATATCGGAGTACCTGTGTTTGATAATGAAATTCTCATTAGAGGTGTACGTCAAAAGGGATGATGTAATTAATATTAATGACATTGACAATATAGTTTAAAAGCAAAGTAAAACAATTGTAACTTGTTCAGGATATTGTCATTGGCACCTTATCTCTGTGCTAATGTTAACTTTGAAAGGATTAGAAAGGATGGAATGTGAAGACGTGTTAAAAATATTGACTTAAGAAATGGAAATCTCTACAATGCAATGATATTAATCAGTAATTAGAAGCAAGTTCTAGAAGCTAAAATATTGGATATTCACAATACAAATGAAATTGGCAATAAATACATCATGATTTAATTCCAGAACATTGATTTTTGTTAATTAAAGTCTCTTGAATTAAGTAATGTTGATTCCAAAGTTGCAGTTTCCAAAGTAACGCAAATAAGTCTGATTGATTTTATAAATAATATATATCAAGACTAATGGAATATATTGAGACTAATGGAAGGGTGTACCCTGGAAAGTATCTACCGTTGGATAAGTATCCAATTAAAAAAAAAGAATTTTTTATTATTATTCCTTTAATGATTTAAAATGTAACTTCCGTGCCTTAATGGAATATGAATTAGTACTGCTTCATATTCTGATTGATATAGACCAGCTCAATAAGACAAAATTGGGCTCTTGTAAAAGGTACTTTTTTTCATTTTCTCAAATGTCTAGAATTACTCAAAGAACTTATTTTCTTGTAGGCTATGGGTAGTACAAAGAATGTTCCTATATAGATATATAGATGGCAATGTAGTTCACCTATCAGCTGTTAAGGATAATAACATATGAACTGCAATACTGCCATCTTTATATATGCCCAAAACCTATATGGTTTTTGGAGAATAAAATTGAGGTTTCATTAATAACTATCATATAATGTTTATCATCTTTCTTTTTTATCAAAGCTTGATCTGACCTGACTTCACCCGATTGAAACTAGATTTAGCCAGATTTAATTGACTACAATTGACCAGACTCATCAAAATTTGGTTCAACTGACTATAGACTCTATCAGACATGACAAGACTTGACCAAAAGATTGCCAGATCTGGCAAGATTTGGCTTAGATGTGGCTTGATCAGACCTGATACTGAACCATACCTAACAAGACTCTATCAGACATGACAAGACTTGACCAAAAGATTGCCAGATCTGGCAAGATTTGGCTTAGATGTGGCTTAATCAGACCTGATACTGAACCATACCTAACAAGATTGGATCAGACCTGATAATACTTGTTCAGAAGAGCAGACGAGACTTGGCAAAATATGAGAAACTTGGCTAGTTATTACAAGACTTGACTAGATATGACAAGACTCCATCAGATCTGACAAGATTCCATCAGATCTGACAAGACTTAACAACACCTAAAAGGAAAAAGATTTAGCTGCAAGTAGCAATCTCTTTCACTTAAACAAGGATGAATAAAATTATCAATGCTGAAGCTGAAATAATGAACACTTTGATTTCTTGATGATTGCATAGAAATGTTGTTGTTGCTTCATGCGCCATCTATATGAAGATGTTGACTTTATAATGATACTCAGATGCAGTTATCACTCAGTCATCTAAAATGAAATAATTAAGTTTTTCAATTGTCATTTGCCATCATTAATTTTCATATTTTCACAATCAAAGAAGTGCTCCATTTACAGCTGTTTATCGGGAAATGAATATTCAAATATCCTGTGTTCACTTCCTGTGCGTTCTGTGTTTCCTGAAGCAATACATGTACCTGTATATCTTATTTATTAGACTTTGTTTCCTCATAAATCCATGGATTCTAAAAATATTCCGGTTAACCCCCATGAAGTGGGAAATATTCATTATGCTGTAAGTTTTATGATGTGGTGGTATATCGTTGTATATCTTGTATAAAATAAGAAATATACAAGCTGACGTGGCATTTGAGAATTTTCAGATGGTCTTGAAGTTGTCAGCATGCATATTGTGCCAGTTAGTTGGCCATATAGACCTTATATACAGACCTGCCGACCTATCAAAAGATGTTTTTTTTTTAGTAAAAGATCTACCAATTTTTAACTGCTACCTAACATTTTGTTTAATTTTGTGTGTTTCAGTTTGGTCCACGTGTTATTGGATGAGATAGTTAGCAGTACAATTCATAGATGTATAGATCCACAGACCATGGAGCCTAGCGTAAGTTATTCATAAACTATATTTGGGTGCATTTTGTGGACATTGTTCAGCATTTGGCAGTTAGTGTTCAGCATCCGGCATCTAACAAATGGCAGGTGGTGACATTTTGCCTGTCAGTGCTTGTTCTTTTGTAATGTCACCACCACAAGTGGTGACATATTGTTATGGTCTCCAACTTATTTTGTGGATCATGATGGCGGTTAGTCTTGGGCATTCAGTGTTTGTTGGTCGTTTGGTATCTGTAACGAGGCAGGTGGTGACATTTTGCATGTAAATGCCTTGTTTAGGATTGCATTGAAGGTTATTGTTACTTCGGATTCCTATACCTTTTCCAATGGTTGATTTTGCTTATTAAAACAGCACTCATAGAGGAATTCCAAAGGATTTAACCAGAAACTGCTTTCATAGGAATATAGAATGAATGATTGCAGTTATTAAATAATAACGATACTGTTGCAATAACCATTAATGAATATTTATTTTTTCCTCCAAATTAAGAATTCATCAAAACACTAAAATTTATGATGTAGGCCTAATAACAACTGAATAAATCAGCTCATATCATACTACATTTGTATCACTTATAATCATATGGGAGTATTATCTTGGCCATCTGGATAAAACCCATATGCAATCCCTCCCAGTAAATAACCTCTTTATGCTTCTGAGTATAAAAAGAGAAATAATATTCATTTAGAATCAATGATGCATAAAATGATGTATTATATTTTCTACTTTTCATACAACAATGACCAATCGCCATCATAGCAATGTAATTTATTAAAGGAAAACCATTCCTATAGGAACACCATTGGAAGTAATAGTTGATTTTATCAAAACGGCCAAAACCACCTGTTATTTTAAGGAATTTTCAAACTATTTCCATCCATGTTTAAAAATTCATAGTTTCTAATAATTTTGGCTTTTGTTATGGCACCACCAGAAGTGGTGACATATTTTTATGGTCTCCAACTTTTTTGTACCCTTTGCATTCGTTTGACTTCACTTCTTAAAAGAGAGCTTCGTCTTCACTCTTTCAAACTAAAATAAACCTTTGAACTCACCGCGCCAATCAGTGTTCGTCGGCCAAAATTGACCGACGTTCTGACGTGTCGCAAAAAGCTCGCGCACGCATTGTTACACATTTTGTGGCGTAATCCAGAGGATCCTCGCTTTTAACATGATAGAATGTGACGTTTTTGAGAAAAATGTACACACATGAAAATCCTTTCGTCCTCCACATTTACCTCTATATCTCAAAACATTTTAGACGAATAACTCTGATATCATATATATATTGTTAATGGGCTAGGAGCATCATAAAACACGAATCAATTGATATTTTAGGTGAAATAAATATACGTGTTGCTGTGCTTGAAAATAGGCGAATGGCGTAAATTAGCCCTATTTTAATGAATTTTGAAAACCTTTCGTCCTCCACTTTTCCACATACAACAGAAAACACATACTTTTGTGAACAAAATCAACTATTTATTAATAAACTAGAGTTTAGGAGCAAAATAATCATGTATGATTTATTAAAAATTGATCTCGTATTTTTTGTTTAATGTACACCTGAAAAGTTGAAGATACCAAAAAATGAGCAAAAAAGGTCGCTGTCAACAGATTCTATTTTCCAGACTCTATGACGTCACAATATGGGACTCTTACTAAAATTCATCCTTTGAAATAAAACTTCCATCTACCTTTATCAAGACGAAAAATAAGTATAACAGTCATATATTGTTTGAGTTATGAGCGTTTAAAGACGAAAAATAATTCAAAATGTAACGTGTCAACATGGGACATTTGCCAGATGTTTTGGTAAAAAACTCTTTTTTAAAAACGAACGCGCAAAAAATGTGAACGGAGTGTAGTTGATCTAAAATCTTCATCGAAACAGCTTTAAAATGATATATAACTTTAATTAGAATATTATCTTATAATCCGGGGAATCAAAGTTACATTCACGCGATACCCTTAAAAAACAAATGCGCCACCTTTTTGCGACACGTCTCTATATATGGTCATTCCTTCTGACGTCATCGTGTAGCCCGGAATTGACCAATGACATGCGCATATTTAATTAAAACGCATTTGGCGTATGTTTCTTCAAGCTCGCTGATTGGTGGAAGAAAGGTCAGCGCGTAGGTCAAAAGTTATTTATTACACAAACTGTCACCGGTACCCGTCGTGGGGGCGGGGCTACCAAACTGTAATATGGTCTCTACTAGGCAGAGTGCAGTTTAACTAGACTCTGCACGCAGGGTAACTTTTTTGTGGATGGTGTTACATGGTCATCATTTTACTGATTTTACTAAAACATGGTATATACATTTATGTGGAATGTCAATTTAAAAATGGGGAAGATCTACCAAATTCTTCTCAAATGAAAACTGAAATAGTTGGTTAATGTTGGGATCCCTCTACTAATAAACGGCAATAAAATATGACATGTGCGATTGGTTAGATGGCAGAAGCTTTTCTTTTAGACTGATCATCGCGGGAAGGGGGGGGGGGTGATGAGTGTAGACACCATGATCCCTGGGGTACCAATGGTCAGTCTAAGGCATTGTGCTTTTACAACAGTGTCGAACTCCCAAACCACAATTATTTTCATGTCATTCCTTTAAGAACAATTAATGCCATTCCTTTAACAATAACAAATAACTATAATAATTATAAATAGATCTCAATGTATAAAGGATTATTACAAATGTACACAATAAGTCATTAATAAAAATTACACTTAATATGAATAGGTATTTTTTCTTTGAATCGTATAAGAGTTGTATCAAAATGTCATTATTTCTTGATTGGATAGATCTGGATGTAATTTCAGTTATAATTCAAGGTTTTATTTGACATGTGTACAAAGCTGTTTTATTGTTGCGTTTTTTCATTCGTAAATGTTTCCCATTCATCACCTCCACTGCGGGAGAATGTCACGGAACAATACACCAAGGATTATGAACTTAATTGGAGAATTTGAATATCATTCCTACTGAGTAATTGATACATCATTGTTATCCATGTCATATATAGTATGGGGTGACAAAAAATTGAAAAATGCAACCCTCTGATTTTGAAATAAATATCTCAATTATGGTGAAATCCTCTTGAATTTTCAAATGTGGATAGAGTGTTTTAATCAGCAAACAGTTGGTTGTGTACTTCGAGTTCATGACATACAACTTTAGAGACACACATTTTCTGTCTAGGTCATAATTTATTGTGTCAAGCTGTATTGCAACATCTGTTCAACTTTAATGAGAGCATTATCTTTTCGATTGCTCTTGTAAACTTTCTTTTCATATTTGACACTTTCAATTTTATAGTGAAATTGTTTACTCCAGTTAATTTAATTCATTGATTGATTAATCTTTGCAAAGTGCAGGCTCCCATAAAGCTTTATTCAAATTCTCAACTCCTTTCCTCCAAAGAGTTTTTCTTCAACACTGCCCCACACCTAACCAAATTTTTCCACCTCACCCAAACAGCCAACAGTACCGTACGATACCATTTTAACTACGGTACTGTCTGGTGCCATTGACTAATATAGTACTGTACAGTACACTGAACACGATGTCACCATACTCAAATGGTATCATAATCTTAATGTACCTTATGGTACCATGATTTCAGAGTGTGGATTGGGGGTGTAAGTATCTCCCCATCTCTATCTACCACATTATTTCCCCTCCTCTCTACCTTCCAAATCAGATTTTATCCTAATTCTGAGCCACTCACCCGCCCCACCAAATAAATCCACTCACCCGCCCAACCAAATAAATCCTTTCCTCATGTCATGAAAACTTAACCCCTTCCCTTTCTCCTATAAGGGTGTCTAGTGTCTACTAAGAAGGGTATTTTCGGAGGATGCTGTTGCTTTAAAAGATGTCATTTTGTCAAACATTTTCTCTCTAATTACTGTGTCAAACAGATATCATTATTGCCTACAAAGACTTATAAACCAATGTCAACTTCCATATGGATTCCACATGGGAATAATCCACGTAGAAGAAAAATTAGAGAGGGTGTCAGTCTTGTAACAATTACTCAAAAAATAACTCAATAATCTCAAAAATTATATCTGTATAACTTTTTATTAGTTTAACCAAGCAATTTGTAGTTCATAATCAATGTTAAATATTATCAAAAATGCACTTTAACATTTGAACAACTTAATCACTTAGTATGATTATACTGAAACTTCATGACTAAATCAAATACATTATATTGAGTCCATTAACCTTAGTCAGGAGTCTTATTGTGTTTTTCCAGGTGTTTTAATCTTTATGTTTGATATACATGCTGTTTTAAAAGGGGGATATACAGATATAAATGAATATACTGTTAATGTCTTTCAGTAGTTATTCTGTATTATGTCGCGACCACAAATGGTGACATATTGTTATAGTCTCCTACTTTTTTGTGGACAATATTCAGCAGTTGGTGTTTGGTGGTGCTTCATGTTCGGTGGTTCATGTTCTGTAACAAATGGCAGGTGCTGACATTGTGCATGTTAATGCCTTGTTTATTTTATGATTTATAAATTTATGTTATTTTCATTTTATCATGTATTACCAAGTATTTCATGTGCTACATGTACATGTATATATTTTAAATGCTTTGCTAGTATTAAACACAGTACTGGAAATCAATGAAAAATGGAAATTGTCATACCCATATGCATACGTATGTCTCTATACATTATTCATGTACTGTTTTATTATCAGTACTTATATGTATAAGCAATTAAACCATGAATTCTGTCATTTAAATTCTACATACAAAATCCACACTTTGTCTTGGATTCTGCATCCAAAATCCAAAGAGCCAAAATTCTGCAATATTTTATTCACAAAATTGCAAATTCTGAGAAAAAATCTTCAAACCAAGTGACAAAATTCAGGTGGCTTTCAATACCATTGTCATTGCATAAAATTTGGTAATCATTATAAACATGCTTTTTATCCTTAAGTTTTGACTAAAACAATATTAAAGGTCCCCAAATATAATTGATATTTACAATTTTTGAGAAATTGTGATGAAAACGTATAAAAAAAGGTTAATCCAGAGTCGCAACTACATTGATGAGTTTATGTGAATTGATAACAAGTATTGCATTGGCTATAATATTTCTAATATTGTTGATATTATTACCACCATATTTTAGGTACCAGGTTGATTCTTAATAAATGCACAAAATATACTGGTATCAATTTGAATTTGTTTGAACATCATTCGATATATGCAGCCATATAATATTGTTTGTGGAATATGAGAATTATATTGCACCCTCACCAGAATTATATTGCATTCTGTCCAGATTTATATTGCATCATCACATGAATTGTATTGCATTTTTTCCAGAATTACATTGCATTCTCACCAAAATTATGTTGCATCATCTCATGAATTGTATTGCATTTTTTCCAGAACTACGTTGCATTCTCACCAAAATTATATTGCATCATCACCAGAATTGTATTGCATCGTCACCAGAATTATATTGCATCCACACCAGAATTATATTGCATCCTCACCAAATGTGTTTGTGTATTTGCAGGTGGTTGAGCTGATATGTGAACGAGGCTAAACAGCTGTTTGAAGCAAACCATTCCAGGAAATGTAGACAAGAAATAGAGAAGTCTACAGAATAAACACAATGCTATAACTTATCATAAAGACAGTATACTTAACTTACTTAAAGTTAACTGTATATTGAGAATTTTATAAATGGAGAAAAGACATCCAGAGAAATATGCAAATAGACAGTTTGAGACTCTAACAAGAAAAGACAAAACATTTTCAAATTAAGACCATATAATGGAAACTTTTACATGTTGTACTTTCCTCCTTTTAAGACTATTTGGTGGAAATGATAATACTATAAATAGAACGTTATTATGCAGTTTATCACACACTTTTTCAATGAAGTAAAAAGTAAATGATATATTACTCAAGTTCTATACTCATTGTTTTTTCTTGAATGTTAAGACAAAAGATGGCATATTGCACAAGCCTAATAAATTGTATTTTGCTTTTAGAAAAAGTACATGTATATAGTATTCAACTGTGGTATGGTGTGGTAGGGTGTGGTATGGTGTGGTGTAGTGAGGTGTGGTGTGGTGTGGTGTGATATGGTATGGTATGGTATGGTATGGTATGGTGTGGTGTGGTGTGGTTTAGTATGGTCTGGAATAGTATAGTATTGAATGGTATGGCGAAAATAATTGCAAGTTTGGTCATTTGATAGATCTCAATCCCACATTCTCTGAACAATGTTTTCATTTTTTGTTTGAATCAGAATAAGTAATATTGAATGGCCTATCATTATTTATTCCTTAAATAACCAATGCATTGACAATGCCTTGTAACTAAATAGAAAACACGTATATAGATATGCATTTTACTTGCCAGTAGGACCATGATGACTCCAAATGTAGCTTTCATTGCATTGCCTTTAATGACTGTTTCAATATGAAACTCATGGAAGCATGAGATCCAATTTTATTAAAGGGTTCCGATTAGCATCCCGTATAAAAACAATATGGCGGCTCCAGGCGAATCAACTGGATCAGTTCATTTTTAAGAAATAAGGGGAGTTCTGTAAAATCCAGTTTATTGAAGTTGTCTTTGAGATAAAGTAATCCGTTTATAATGATTTTGAAAACGTTATCCAAATAGTGATTGCGTTCAAAGAATACATGTACAACAGCCAATATAAATCATTATTTTAGAAACCGGTTTGTCTTGCTTTGTTTCATTTGTAGGATATTTCATATGCCAAGCTGTGTGCTATTACGTTATGGGGAAATTTAGATGCCAATTTTTCCTTATTATACACAAATAAAAGATCCTGTACTTCACCCATAAATTTGGAATTGATTTGTCAAAATAAAAATCACCCTTTTATAAATGTGTGACGATCTATAATATACTTATGCTATATAACAGGTAGAGGTGTTGACAGAACGACCTCGAACCTGTGAACCCTTGAGTATTTTTCCGGGATCGGGCCTTTTATACTAAACGGTGAGCAACACCAGAAACGAGCGTTCGATTTGCTAAACGATATACGTCACCCTTTAAATGCTGTTTTAATTGGGTAGCTTGTTTAGAATGTTTTGATCAAAGGATTATCTTTTACTCAAAGAATGTCAATGAAGCTATCTTTTAAGGAGTAAAATCAATATATGGTAAAATCAGAACACCACTGGGACAGGCCAAAAGTCTTCATATTACAAGGTGTTCACATTTTGAGTTTTTTACATGGAAGTCTACGACAGACTTGAAAATTTGATTTCAAGTGTTCACATTTTGAGTTTTTTTTACATGGAAGTCTATGACAGACTTGAAAATTTGATTTCAAGTGTTCACATTTTGAGTTTTTTACATGGAAGTCTATGACAGACTTGAAAATGCGATTTCAAGTGTTTGCATTTTGAGTTTTTTACATGGAAGTCTATGACAGACTTGAAAATTTGATTTCAAGTGTTCACATTTTGAGTTTTTTACATGGAAGTCTATGACAGACTTGAAAATTTGATTTCAAGTGTTCACATTTTGAGTTTTTTACATGGAAGTCTATGACAGACTTGAAAATCTGATTTCAAGTGTTTACATTTTGATTTTTTTACATGGAAGTCTATGACAGACTTGAAATTTGATTTCAAGTGTTTGCATTTTGAGGTTTTTTACATGGAAGTCTATGACAGACTTGAAAATTTGATTTCAAGTGTTCACATTTTGAGTTTTTTTACATGGAAGTCTATGACAGACTTGAAAATCCGATTTCAAGTGTTCACATTTTGAGTTCTTTTTACATGGGAGTCTAAGACTTGAAAATTTGATTTCAAGTGTTCACATTTTGAGTTTTTTTACATGGAAGTCTATGACAGACTTGAAAATCAAACTAGAAAAAGTGTTCACATTGAGAGGTTTCTAGATAAAATAAGAGAGGTGTTCAGATATACAGGTTTCACTGAGTTGAAAGAGTTATCCGAAGAAATGCAATATTCCCTCATAAATAAGTATCATAAATACACTTCTTGTAAACTAATAAGTTGAGAAAAAGTTAAAACAATACTTAAAATGTATCAGCTGTGAAACATAACATGCTCTTGCAAAATTTTTTAACATAAAAAATATAACACCACATGGATAAATCACAAAAACAGCTCTATGCTGACCATCGTGATTTTTTTCAACTTTTCCACAAAGTCATTGTGTGATATTTTACATATTTATAAGAAGTACTAAGTAATAATTGATGGTAAGCAAAAATGAATGTGTATTGTATTTTTGATTGAATTTTTAGAGAGATACTTAAGTGTATCTGAGCCATGAGATATGTCACAATGACATAGAAATGATGCTGACATATCTTCTGTATTTGTGTATAAAATCATCTCTTGCTTATTAGAATACTATTGGAATATGTATTTCAGTAACATTTCTCACATCATTGATGACATTCTTCAATATTAGAACTGTCAGCTGCGCAAACTTATGAAATTTTATTCATTTTGACCAAACTTTCCATCCTGGCATGAGCATGAATTTCAGAATGCACACATTTAGTTTTATAAGATGAGGAAACACCCAGAATTCATAGATGAACTACTATCTTCATTTGAAATAACCTATCTTCGTGGGAAAATGAACCTAGAGGTCCGCTATACATGCAAATAGGGTCCTGTTTGTATTTTGGGATATTTACTGGGTTTATAAATTATTAACCAGTAAACACTTATAAACACCCTAAAAAGAAAAGAAAAAATTGAACATATATGAACACCCTGTATAAGTTGGGTAACATTGAACGTGTATTGAGTTGGTTAGATTATGTAGCTTATATTAATTCATCTGAAAGAGTACAACAGCTACATCACCATATTTTTAATCTAAATATTCTTTTAGAATAATTAGAAATATGTGTGTGCTTTTTTCTGTAAGAATTTAAGCAAGATGTATCAATTATTAAAAAACGTTACAAGAATTTGGAGCAAAATTAGCTTTACTTATTGAGCACCCCTGGGTGAACGCCCTGTATAAATAATTGTTTGCAAGGGAAGTAGACGTCTCTCAATAATTGAAGATCAACATGCAGTTAATCATGGAGCCTTTATTCTAAAATTTTGATGAAAGATTTTATATCGCAATTATTGCTTCAATATTTCAGCATGCATCAATGTCGATTCTTTGTAGAACAACTGATCAAATATAATGCAATATAATATTAAAGTTAATGTGATGCATTTAGGCATGGCTTTCATTAAAACAAATAAAGATTTCTAATATAATTCATTAATTTGCATGTACAGTTGAGGGCTTAATGGGATTTTTTTATTATTTCTTTGAACTTTAACGGCTTTAACACAGCTGTTATTGGATCCTAGGCTTTAGTATTTTTATCTAATTACTGATGTTTACAAGTATTGTACTCTCTTGCACAAAATATCGAAGTCTGCAAATTTTGGTTCGTTAAAATCCCTTGGATTTTCATCATTGTACGGAATGACATCAAGGCCGTGACCTAGATATGTTACTGAACTGGGGGCGTATTTGCTTTCTATTGTTTTACATCATTTTAAATCGCATTGTAAGATGTTGACAAATCACTTATTGGAAACATTTGAAAAAATTGTTTGAATACATTAGAAATCTTTTGTCTTCAGTGAAATGGTATTTTTAATTCAATGGATTTATTGAAGATTTCCCTGTTTAACATGTCAATCTAATTACAAATATTTTCCAGATTTTCTGACATCTCAACACAATATGGAATGTTTATTAAACATCTGTTAACGTCAAATCTTTATTCCTCTCCGAATCCATTTTTCTTCTTCATTTTGCAATTTAAAGCTTACTTAATATGAAAATTCATTTTTACTTTTTCAATTTTCTATTTATTGGGGATTCTGTTTCAATAATGATATTCAACATTATCTTCAATATGTTACAACATACCCACATGCATCATTATTGATATGCTGATTGTAATAGATCTATGTGAATTCTAAATGTTCTATTATATTTTTATTGTTTTTTATTTTCTACACATATCTGTATTTCCAGTCCTAAATAAGCTGACATTGGTGAAATTTGGGTTTATAAAAGTGATATACTAGTAAAGAAAAAATGTATTGTTTTGGATTGGTTTACTCTCATAATTCAAGGGTTTATTTTCAAAAGATGCCTATCCCACTCATATGGGAATGTGATCATTTCAGCTTTTGATATAACATACATGTACTTGTGTATAAGCATGGAGGACCTTTGGTACTTTCCTGTTATTCTTCCAATATTGAGATATATTTTGCAATCATGGGATAAGATATGTTTTCGATTCTCATTGGTCAAAGAAGGATTCATTATTTTGACAATGCAATACATTGTTTAAGATGGAATTCTAAACTGATGTCAAGTCATAAACTGTAGGAAAAATTGTGAAATAATTTGGTATGTCTTGTAAGTTTGTCTTTTTCCTTTAGCTATTTTCTTAAAACTAACAAAACAAATGTAAACATGCCTATCAAAATTATATACGTCCAATGTGTACATAACAGGTTAATAGTCAACCTGTAGAGAGGTCAACAGTAGTATATTGTAACCCCAGTAAGATATTTATTGTGTCTTTCTAACCAGTATACATCTATCCAGTCTACATTTTTTTTATTTGTGTACTTCTGTAGCATAATTTTTCTTCGTATAAAAAACTCAATTTATCTTGTAGTAAAGTATTTTTTATACTAGTACCATCAATCAATTTTAGCAAAAAGGCAAATGTGTGGTCTCATCATTGTCAATGTAGATTTCTTCATGGATGCAAAGTAATCATCCCTTTCAATAATAATTCAATTCAATTGCATTATTGCATAAAATCGATTTATCTTATGAATACACGAGAATGTAATATCATTCTTATGTATTTCAACAGGCATTTGTAAGAGGATTTTATTCGATTTTGAATCATGTAAAACTAGACCCATTTTACCTATATTCAAAGTACATTTGTAATAAAGTTTCACATACCATAGCATGCATTTTA